ATAATACCTAGTTTTAGTATAAAATTAGGCTATTTTTAAAGTAAGGATTAAGGATATAAGGAAGTACTATAGCTATGTATATATATATAATAAGCTTTTAGTATAACTTTTAAGGCTATAAGACCTAGTATAGTATTTTAATAAATAAATAATAGTTATTAAATAGCTAGTATATTTTTTAAGTATATAAAGTAACTATTACTAATATATAAGGGTAGATAGAGTAGTAATATAAGATAAAAAATAGAGCTATAGGAGTTTATGGACAGTGCCCCCTACAGACTTCCGTAGGTTGGCCTGTTGCTTACCCTATCTGCATACACGAGGTTCCTTTTGTAGTCAAATAGAGAGCCCGCAGCATACTTTGATTGGTCGGGAAAGGGCGCCCCTTACACGTCGATCATAGCCTCATTGGCTACAGTAACGATCTTGGCCGACGACCGTCAGTACACTTGATCGCAGACCATTCGGCATGTTTATTCTTAGGGCCTCAAAATCGCCTGCAGAAGTTACCGAGCATGAAGTCCTTGAGTCCTGCGAGGTTCATCGAACGGGGGCTAAAAGCGCAGGATCGCATCGTTCAGTTAGCGTGGCGCCCAAGGAACGAGATAATTCCCCTTGGAGGATCCAGGGATAAGCCTCGTTATTCGTACGTTGTAGAAAGGCAGAGGTGGCTGAAAAGGCGAGGAGGTTCAAGAACACAGGGTGGCGGTTACTGCTTTATGTGGCTGCTTGATCGACGTATTCCTCAAATAGCAAATAAGAGGATGCTAAAATAAGCTTAGCGAAGAGCGCTCTAAGCTTTGGCAGGAGTTGCTTATGTATTCTCGGCATTTGAGATCGAGATCTTAAGATTTTTTAGCTTCCCTAGGTATTAGAGGAGTTATGTAACACGGACTCTATTTCCGTGGTGGCGTGCCTGGGTGTCATCACTGCATCCATAACAATCTGATATCTTGTTTACGCACAGATATCTGTTCCCCAACCTGCCTGCAGAGGTGTTAAGACAACATTCATGATGTTACAATTAAGCACCTTCAATTTCCTTAAACCGTTCATTTGAGAGTCCACAGCCCTGGATGCGGCGACAGCTCTCCATGGGGGTTGACCCCGCGCACCTGGAATGCTATACAAGCCATCTGGGTCCAGATGCGGCAGCCACCAAAGCCCCGACCCCGCGAACATCCCTGAAAACAAATCTCACTGTGCAACAGATCGAAATTTGTATGCTCAAAGTGCCGTCATTGCACAGATCGAAGCTATATCCGTTGCACATGCGCCACGGTGCCTGGAACTTGCCGTGTGCAGTCCCCAAAAGAGGCAATTCGATGCAAAAAGGCGTTAGCTTTCCGCAAATCTGCGCCACAATGGCAGGTATGTAATCTTCCCCTTGCATAAGAATGATGATCGCGCTCCAAGGAAGGCATTTTGTGTTTTGTTTTGTTTTTCTCGGACAAAATCTTTGGTTTCAGATGCTACAATGCTCATATATCGAGTATTATACGCGTTTGCACTATGCTTGATACCTACTGGAAGTTTAGTCCAAGCTCATGAGCTTGACAGACGCGCCGTCGATCCTCTAGCGGGAACATCCGAGTGTGCGGTCAGTACCAATCCTGTGATTGCTGTGATCTGAGACTGACGAGTGTAGAGGACATGTTATACAAAGACGAATGGCACAGAAGCGTTTCGAGGCAGCCAAACCGACGACCTCTGTCGAGACAAGCCACTTTATCATAATGTTGAGATCTGTGTAAAACACGACTGCAACTTCACCGAGATATTGGGTAGGCTTAATCAACTTGCGTGTAGTGGCTCCAACATCAATCGCTGATGCAATAGCTAGACTTCAAGAACAAAACGTCCCGGGCATGCGAGTGGCCGATCACCGATCGCCGACAAGAAATCCGAATCAGCTGTTTGACGATAGGCGTGTTAGCTATGGTCTTCTTTACTATGAGAGCCATCTCAAAGATAATCGGGTTTGTGCCATATGGACATGACGATAGCCTCATCTTAGCAGCTCTGGTATGTGATGCAACCGAACTTTTATGGTCGTGCCTCTGACTATTAAACAGCCGTTTATTATTGCATTTAATATTTTCTGTCAAATCCGTAGGTGTTACAAACCCATCTGATCACGTCGTTATACAATGCTAACACGAGCTGTGTGACTTCAGTCACCTCAAAGGGTCTTGGACTCGATATCTGGTTCGTGGAAGACGATAACATCCGCACCTTTCTCATCGTACGAGCTCAGGACATCCCGGTGTAATTGCAAGGCTAACTCACCTAGCTGATCTTCGCTTCCGAGCTATCCTACGCGACAGCCCTCGCTCTCGTGAAACTATCAATCCTAGCCTTCTTTCTTCGCATATTCCCCGACCAAAAGTTCCGCACCATTGTCCGATGGACCACGATCTCTATTCTGGCCATATGTCCCTTATATCTAGTCCTAATCTTCCTTCAACGACGGCCACTCGGTGTTCTTTGGAATGGATGGAGGGATAAGAATCCGCAAGGTGTTGTCTTGAGTGCAAATCTCATAGGGATAACTCACGGTGCATGGAACGTTGCTTTGGACATTTGGATGATGATTCTTCCAATGACTCAACTTCTCAAAATCGGAATCAAGCTGAAGAAAAAGATTGGAGTTATTGCTATGTTTGGAGTGGGCCTCTTGTAAGTTGAGTCAGGCCCTTGCGCAGTAACATTTCGTGCTAATCGTATGATATAGCCTCACGATCGTCAGTTCCGTCCGCATCCCAACCCTGATAGTATTTTCAACGTCACGGAACATGACCGGTATGAAAATGTCCTCCTCAAGGTGCTGAAACATTCTAACCGTCCACGCAGCTGATTCTGTCGGAATAATAATCTGGTCAAATATCGAGATTTGTGTAGGCATGATGGTAGCATGCATGCCTGGAGCACGTCAATTCGTCCGCGACATTACACTTCGAGTAAAACGAGGAAGCGAGTCCGATGGGTCCAGCACTGAGAATATCTTTATTGAGCGGACGATAGAGACGATCCAGACTGATGCGGACGAGACAGTTACGAGTTCAATAGTGAGACCGGATGAAGTGCTCTTGTCAAAATGACAACTAATTGCTGGCTGCCGTCTCCGTGATGCAGGCCATGATGATGATGAACGAAATAAATATTAGTTCGCTTTCGAAGCATGCTAGATTAACTTCTACTAGCCTGTTATCATTGCTCATTTCAGCCTTGGATGAACAGTGCTTATGATTGTTCGCGGTGGTTCACAACAACTGAAGCATTTCCCTTCTCCTTGCCTCCCATCTCCTCAACATCTCCAGTCAAATCCTCAGGTTTGTAGTTTCCAAACTTGCGAAGAGGAATACCTTCATTGAACATGCGATCAACCTGCTCCAAAGACTTGCCCTTGCACTCAGGAACGCACAGGACAACAAAGACAATAGCCAATGCCAAAATGCCAGCGAAAACGAATCCAACCTTGGATCCAAGACCGGCATACTGAGGATACAGCATATAAGGAATGCTGAAGCTGACAAGGAAGTTGGCTACGACGTTGACGATCGACGCCGTTCGCTGGGAGGCGTCGCGAAGTCGCAGGGCGGGAATTTCGGTGGTGATGACGTAGTTGAGAGGTGCGAAGGCGAACGTGAAGCCGGATCCGAAGAGGGTGAGCATTGCTACGATGCCTGATTTTATACCGAAGGACGGGTTGGGAACTGTTCCGAGAGCGCCCATCGTGATGATGGCGCAGAACATCCAGCCAGCGCTTGTCAACAGAAGAGGCCTACAAAAGTCAGGGACATTCAGATATTGGAGGACCAAAGGGACTTACCGACGACCAGCCCGATCAACGAGATAAAGACCTGCAAAAGCTGAGCAGAGATTGACAATGGCATTGACGATGGTCATAGTGAAAGGGTTGACAGTTCCGATATCTCGGATGAAGATGGCGCCATATGTCGAGGCAAAGGCTTGACCAGTTGCTTGCTGGAAGAAGTTCATAGCTACGACAATTGCCGTACGCTTCAGATTCTTTCCCTGGAAAAGCTCGAGGTAGTTGCCCTGCTCAGGTTCGTGCTCCAACGCGTATTGAAGAGCAGCAAAGCTCTCATCGATGTCCGCTTCGGTCTCTTTGCCCTCTCGAAGCTTTCCAAGGGCGGCGCGAGCTTCCTCAGTTCGGTCTTTGGTGAGTAGCCATCGAGGAGACTGTCTTTGGTCAGTATGAAGACATTCGTGCTTGAATTGGGTTATATACCTCTGGGATGAAGAAGATGGCGCACATGACGACGACAGGGATAATGAAGAATAGACCGAAAGGGATCCGAAATGAGAGATTGCCGGATAGAGTGCTCGTTCCTCGGCAGACGCATGCCACAATGAGAGTTCCAGACTATTCTTTGTCAGCTTATCTGAATGACGCGACGTTAGGAGAACTCACCATTAAGCTGAACTGGTATGAGCCAACTGCGAAGCCACGAATTTCGCGAGGCATGATTTCGGATTGGTAAACGGGGACAACAGCAAGCTCCATGCCAATGTAGATATCTGTTTATAGGTGTCAGCTATGCGGATCAGCTCGGCAGATTGGGTAGCACTTACAGTTGAGGATTCTCGTAGCCATGATCTGGTGTTTGTTCGTCGATGTAACAGCCATGATAGCTGGAACCAGCGCCCAAGCACTCATGGTGAACATACACCATCGTCGTCCCCATCTCTCACTGACAAGACTACCAATGATGACACCAGCTCCGAAGCCAATGTAGTTCAAGCTGTTGAAGAGAGATAACCACGATGGCGGAATGGCATATTTGCCCTTCTCAGCATCCCACTCGCCGAATTGCGCCTGGAAAGCTTCCATGGCCTGGGTGTTATTGTAAGCTGCATTGTCAAAGCCATAGTTGAAGGTTGACACGGCGATGACTGCGAAAGCAATGGCCAAATGGCGATTGAAGTGTTGAAGGATTCTGTTTTTTGATAACATTGCGACTGCCTCTGAAACTTGAATGATGTTGGGCTGGATTGATCGTGAAGATCTTGACCGGGATGATGCTCTGCTGATATACCCAGCCACCGAACCCCAGAGCAGCTCTCCCCCGCAAAACTTTACTATCACGCGTCGACCTGGAGTCAAGGTAACGCCTGTTCGAGACCTGCAAAGTCTGCTAGCCTGGTCACTCTCCTGATTTCCCCAGGAGAAGGTCTGGGGTAAGTGGAGTTCCGTAGCGTTAGTGCATTTCCGGGCTCGGATGTCGGGCGGAGAGATTTCTGCGCCTGGGTTTTGGGGTAGACCTCGACTGTTCTGTTCCCCCCGACTTCCTTTTCTCATCCTGGCCTGAACTGTTCGGATGAAATTCGCAATGGAACCAAGAAATGGATCCCGTATGCGAAATCGCAAGACATCCGAGATATGTGCCCAATGTCGGAACCGCAAGGTACGCGACAGCTCCGAGCAAATGACTGTCGGCTAATGGAAATCGACTGCAGGTGAGATGCGATAGCGATCCTAAAGGCTGTAACAACTGCAAGAGGCTCAAGTTCAACTGCTCTCTTCTGGTATCAGACTCCGAAAACGCGGTAGAGGTACTAGAAAGACGACGCGTAACTAGGGCGTGTATACCGTGTCGCGATCGCAAGTTGAAGTGCTCTGGCCAGAGACCGGCGTGTTCACGATGTTCGGATCGCGGAAGTCCTTGCCATTACCCTCCAGCCGCAAGGGCTAAGAGTCATGAATCTGGTCTGTCACCCCGTGGTGAACCCTCGATAGCAGCGGACAGCACCCCGTCAGTCCCAGGATCCGATCGCCATGGATCTCAACACTCACAGGCCCCAAGACCACTAGGCCTTCAACTTTCACCAGGCTCGATGCCAACACCGCTACAGACGACACAGTGGTAAGCCATACCATACTGCTACTCGTGGTCGCAGCACTGATAGGAAATAGGGACCTAGGAATAAGCAAACAAACTGTTAAGAAACATATCGATGCCTACTTCGACCTAATACACCCGATACCTTGTTACGGATTTCTCCATAGAGCAACCCTGTTACAATCATGGTCAAAGAACGAGCTAAACCCATGCGTGCTATCAGCGATATGCGGAATCACGTCGCGGTTCATCAACCCAGGCAGCGCTGAACATAGAACAATGGCAAAGAGGTGGATCGAAGATGCCGAATCTCACCTCCTCAGACGAGTCGCCCAGCCTCGGCTATCGGATATCGAAGCATGGCTTCTCGTCACGTTGGACCACTACCTCTCGCAGCGCGTCAGCAAGATGCTTGTCTCGATGGCTCTTACATCGAGGCTCGCTTACATCCTTCGACTGAACCACGAAGATCCGCGTCAGAAGTTCCTAGTGCAAGAGCGTCATCGGCGACTGATGTGGGCCATCTATATCATGGACTCGTTGTACTCGAGTGGGAAGACGGAGTTCACGGCCTGTACTCCAGAGACTCTCCATATCAGGCTACCATGCGCAGAAAAGTCTTTTTCCATGGACGCCCCAGTAATAACGGTACCGCTGCACTCGAGTCCACATGAGGATACATCCAATATTGGCCTGCTTGGCTACTGTATTCGCGTTCTGGACATTCGCAACCGCGTGCAAAGGTTAGAGCCCAGATCCACTGCTGCATCATCTTGCCTAACTGTGACATAGACTTACTCTCACGATCACAAATCACCGAGAACCCATCGATCAATGCCTGCTCGCAGTAGAGTCTATCGAAAACGAATTGCGCCAATTCTCCGCTAGTTTGCCGGCAAGATACCATTGGGACCCTACAGCCTTCTCTCTACGAGCCTTTTCGCCTTCGCGTACCCCATTCCTGATGTTACATGCTTGGTGGCATCAGACACATTGCGACCTCTTCCGCTTTACAATCCCAGGATTCCGTGAAGGCCTCCCAACTGCTGAGATATTACAGCTGTCACCAGACTACACCTCAGCATGTCGTGAAAAGTGCCTATATCACGCTATATCTGTTTCCAAGATCCTTGAGGTACGCAAGTCGATCGGAGGATCCGAGCTAATCAGTGATCCTTCAATTGCGATGTGCGCTTTCCATTCTGCACGGATTATCTCAAGACTCGGACAATACCCCATGGGCGATATGCCACAGGCGGAGCTTATCATGCGATTGACTGCGTGTGTTGAAGCATTGGAAGAGCAGGCAGTCATTCTGCCAACTACTGCGATACTCAAGAAAGGCATTAACGATTTAGTAAATGATGCACAACGAGATCGTCATGGACCTTACGCCTGTCCCTCAATCTGGGAAGAGGAGGAGTCAGAAAGCTACAATGCAGCTGGAGTATCAAGAGATATTAGTGGCTCTGGGGCCAGAGAAGTCTTTTCCAAGCACAGCGTCACCGAGACGGTTCAAAACCTGCAGTTTCAGCCCGGCGAGCAAGGCGACTCTGAAGACCACGTAGACCCTGCGCAGCCAGCGTCTGATATGCCTTTTGGGAATGAACCAGCTTCTGCATCAGCAGCAAACTTTATGTCTATGAACATCTCGCCACTACCTGAGCAAGGCACTCAGGATCAAACAGACTTTGGACTCTACCTAGAGGAGGCTGAGCCTCACCTGGACAGTATCTTCAATTTTGGTCTTCACGGTCAGTATGGCTCTGGGCAACCTGATGTCTTCATGGATTCATTCTGGCCGCTTGCAGATACATATTGGACCATGCCAGATGTAGGCAGTATGTAGCAATGTGATTCTTGCTAGGCATTTAAAGAAATTATAAGATCCCTCCTGTCTAAATACGCATGCCAGCACTGAAGCTATGCCCCGTTCCAATATATATCCTTCTCCACTCTGAAGCTAACTTCTAAACTGTCACTCGAGCTCCTGACCGAAGCGGTGTATGTTCCTGCTTCGCAAAGCCAACTATCGGATGTCTCGTCCCATACCGCGGTGCTGTACTTGTCTAAAGCCATAAACGCTGCCGTTTCTTGGCCCGGCTCCAAGAAGACCTTCTGAAATCCAGCAAGTGTTCGCACAGGGCGGTGAAATCTCGACTTCTGACCTGATTTTGCCGCATCGTAAGAGATGTAGAGCATCACAACTTCGGCACCAGCCCTCTTTCCGGTGTTCTTCACGTCAATATGTATACCGTCCTTCGCGGCTCGGATGTTGGATGTTGAGAATGTTGTATAGCTGAGGCCGTGACTAAATATTGTTAGCGGTAATCATCAAAGTCACACGGAATGGACATACCCGAACTCGAAAGCTGGCTCAATGCCCCGAGCATCGAACCAGCGATGTCCAACAAAAACATCCTCCGAATAGTATATCCTTCCGTTGTCGCTTCCGAAACTCAGGAAAGTCGGTCCATCCTGGAGACTATTCGGGAATGTGATGGGTAATTTGCCACTGGGATTGACCTTGCCGAAAACAATGTCGGCTACTGCATTTCCTGCTTCATTCCCCCCATACCAGCTATGCAGGATAGCTTTCGCTTTATGACGCCATGGCATCTCAATCGGGTTTCCAGCTTGAGTCACCACTATAGCGTTCGGCTGCGCTTCAAGTACCGCAAATACAAGGTCATCGACATGTGGCGGTAGGCTCATAGACTCTCTATCCTTGCCCTCCTTCTCGAAGTCTGCATTGAGGCCAACTACAACGAAAGTGTGCTTACACTTCTTCGCTACTCCGACAGCACGTCTGATGCCCTCTTCTGGATCAAGCTTCAGACAGCCGCCCAAGCGGCATGCTCCACCTGGTATGGGAATGAAAGAGCCGCCTGTTGTTATTGAAGTCGATGCACTGCCAGCTTCAACGCGGAGTCGATATGTCTCACCAGCTTTCATCTCGTAAGTCCCGCGTTCTTCTCTAGATCCATGACCGAAGAACATCCCGGCATGGGTCTGTAATGTCGCGTTGTCGATAACCAGCTGTTCGTCTATATATAATCTCGAGACTCCGTAGCTAGCGAGACCAAACTCATAAGTCCCGTCTAGGTCTGGCTTGTAGTAAGCTGTCATGGACATATAAAACGTCTCGCCCTTCTCAGGATGATCATAGTCCATTAGTTGATACGTAGTGTCTGGTATGCTTTGCTGGTCAAATGGCTTCCTCGTTTGCCACGCTGACTCTGGCTCGTTAAAGAAAGAAATGGAGACGCCTGGTTTTCCATTCTCATCCGTGACATTATCACCCGTGAAATATGGTAGCAACACGTGGCCGAATACTCCAGGTTCAAAATGGACTTTTGCCTTGGATGGAAGTTGGTCACTAATTCCCTGGAAGACGGAGCTGGTATAATATGGTCGTAGATTTGCACTTCCCCCACCACAAGCTGCAGCAAGCTTGGCGTTTGGCCCAATGATAGCGACATCCGCATAGTCCTTAGGAGTAACCGGCAAGATGCTGTCTGAGTTCTTGAGAAGTACGATACTCTCAGTCGCGAGTCGTTTGTTTAGCGCTCTGTCTTCTGGTGAGTCACGAGTTGACTCTTTCGTTGATACTCGAGCTGAAGTAGTGGTATTGACGAGCTCGAGCACCTTTCTGGCTCGCTCATCTATCGTCTTGCGACTGACTTTGCCTGAAACTACAGCGACCAAAGCCTTTTCAGCACGATGTCTTGAGGGGCCTGGCATCTCAACGTCCACTCCCGCATTGAGTGCATCGGTGCAACCATATGTGCCATACCTAGACTGTCAGCTTGCCGCCATATGATGAGTAGTGAACTGCTTACCAGTCACTCATGACGAGGCCGTCGAAACCCCACTCACTTCGCAAGATATCCTTCAGTAGCTTCTTACTTTCTGACACGTGTACACCGTTGACTTTGTTATAGGAAGACATGAAAATCTTGGGCTTGGCATCCCTGACTGCCATCTGGAAAGGTTTAAGGTAAACTTCTCGCAGCGCCCTCTCTGACATGCAAATATCCGTGGACATCTTGGCCGTTTCTTGATCATTGGCCACAAAGTGCTTCAAGGCTGCTGCAGTACCTCTGCTCTGAACTCCACGGATAATTTCTGTCGCTAAAACGCCACTTAGATACGGTTCTTCAGAAAAGCTCTCAAAACCGCGGCCATTGAGGGGTCCTCGGACCAGATTGACTGTAGGGCCTAGCCAAATATGTGCACCTTTAGCATCACATTCTCTAGACAGTAGTTGGCCGGCGGAGTAGAGAAGATCGGGGTTCCAAGTTGCACCAAGACCAGTTCCACAAGGGATACATAATGCTGGAACAGGGTTGAAGAATCTCCCTCCTCGGGCACCGTTAGGCCCGTCAGTGCATTTTATCGAGGAGATGGCATGAGATGGTATAGCTTGAGAATGCCAAAAGTCGCTTCCTGCCTGTTGTCAGCTACGGTGTACTGAATGGTTGGCTAATGGTAGCATACCAGACAGAAGGGAGATCTTTTCAGCAAGAGTCAAGGACGCTAGCGTTGACTCGACATCAATGGGTTTTCTTTGTAGAATATGCATAGTTTCGGATGATTGCAAGGCTAAAACAAGACACAGACGATAAAGCTCAAGGTGTGAACACTCTTCATTTCACTGGAGGCAAATAGGTCCAAGTCGTTCATGTTTTGCTCCTCGATGAAAACGGCCAAGCGTACCTGACTCGTGGATCTGCTGGTCTGTCGGATGTCGGGCGGAGCGCTTTGCTGATCGGTTCCCCGAGTTCTCTCGCCAAAGCTTAGCCAATCATGGAGTACTCCGTAGTTTAGTGCCTTTTTGTTACAGATCTTAGGCGAACCAGACTTCGTGGGCTATCCGAGATTACCCTGTAAAGCTGTCAATATTACACATTGCTGAAGACAGCCACGAATATTCCAATATGTTACCCTAAGCTTGAATGAAGTTGGTCTAAATTTATACCAGGTCATTTAAATCGTTTACTATTTAGGCTCAAGGCTTTGAGTCTTCTGACTTGGACCTGACTGAACAAGGGATGTCAGTAACCGAATCTTGTCCCATGCGATATATGTGTCGAGAAACAAAGGCTGTTCTTTGTATTTTGAAGTGGCTCAATCGCGAGATACAGATAATTAAACGTGTTCTAACACTGCTCTGAAACCTTACAAAGTAAACAAATTGATACCATCGTCCGACTCCCGAAGTTTCTTATTGGCCTTCTGCAAGCTGAATCTCATAAACACACAAGTCGCGACTGACAGCGCCGAGAAGGCCATCATGAGCAGATTTGCTTTGATGTAGCGCGGACCATCACTAGCAGGGAAAAAATATGGACTCCAGATATTGCCAAGTTGGCTGAGAAGATTGATGATAGCAGTGGCACAAGCGCGCTTCTCAGGCGTCTGGTTGAGAGTTGAACTAGCCCAACTAAAAACCATGGCGTTGGATGAGAAACAACCGCAGATATAAAGGAAGGCAGCTGCATATCTCGCGGCGTTGTTGAGCGTGGCGACGGAAATGGTGAAGCCAACACCTACTGCTTGAGGGATGGCGATATGGTAGCCTCGGTTCTTGCGACGATCACTGGATCACGCTGTAGCAAAAGCAGTGGCTGTAGCGACAAGATAAGGAGGGGCAGTCAGAATGAGCGTAAGAGTTGTGTTACCGAGCTTGAATCACTTGACGATAGTGGGAAAGAAGCTGTTGAAGCCGTACGCACTATGGTTGGCCGTAAGCATGATGACCTATTCACTGTTAGCATTCCCGTGTAGCCTCTTGCAAAAATGAAACTTACGAACACCCAGGTTCGGAAATCCGTGACAGCCATCATCAAACCCGCAAAGACACCGTGATCAGCATCTGGAAGAGAGACACGGTCTCTGTTAATACGCTCAACGGCAACCTTCTGCTCGTCATCAGATAGAAGCCACTTCATAACTCCAGTCTTCTGTCCAGGGAAGTCAGGCAAGACGAAGAAAGCGACAATGGCAGCCATGAAGCTTCCAGCGCCTTCAAGGCCTGACAGAACGCCAGCAGCAATAAGACCCGAGAAGGCGGTGGCGAGGAGAACACCAGAGTATAGTATCGCGGTTCGAAGGGCAAGCTCCTTGCGAGGATACCAGCAGCTGAGCAGGAACATGGCACCTGTGCACGTAATTAGTCAATGTGTTCAAATTGGTCGCGGAGGGAAGAGACATGCCTGGGAAGAAAGGTGCTTCAGCGATACCAAGGAAGAATCGGATGACGATCAAGTGAGTATAGGTACCAGCACCAGCAGTAGCGGCAGACACAATGGACCACAAAGCAGTCCAGGCTGGGATGTACATCGACGGGCGGGTTCGAGTAAGGAGCATGTTACTAGAACGCGTAAGCCTTTGAGCATCGAATGTCAAGAAGTCGTTTTACCTGGGGAGTTGCATAAGCATGTATCCAACGCTCAGGATCGGCACTGCAACATTGAACTGATTGCCTTTGAGACCAAGGTCTTGTTCGAAGGTACTGAGACGCGCTTGTCTTAAGATTGTTAGTGATTGCTACAAAGTTTTCGCAGTGCTTGGCAAGAACTCACGCGATATTGTTACGGTCGAGATGATTGAAGAAGTAAAGAAGCCAGACCATGGGCAGAAGAGTAAAGTCCAGTTTACGGACCAGGCTCTTCTCATTGGTATCATATTGCTCATCCGTCATGCCAAGTCCGTTGCCAACGGACTCTTTGGCCTTGACTGGTATTTCGTCGATGTGCTCTGAAGAGAGAGAAAGATCCTTCTTCTGCTCGGCCATGGCGGCAGTCATTCTCAGGTAAACGAATATGATACAAGAACTTTATGGTTGAATGGATGTCTCTAGGCCAAGCTGAAGACTTCACTGATTGATTGAAGTGATTTCGAGCGCACCGGTCCATCCTTATATCGATTTTGCCTCCTCGCCAGTTCTCCGCCAAAGTTTCTGATGCTGGACTTCCCCAGTCACTGCCAGTTCCCCAAAGTTGATACCCCAGACTCTTTGGTTGAGAGATCTGGACTCAAGGAGCAGTCCGCGAGACGGAAGAGTCCTCTTAGAGGCGTTGACCAATAGGAACCAGCCCATTTCAATTCTTCCCCACAGGGCGCAAGTAGCGCGTCTTCCACTCTGGGCAGAAACACGGAGCTGTCCCTTTAACTTTGAATCAAAACATCCGAGCCTCAGCTTCTCAGTAGAACGAGAACGTCACAAGCCAAGCTCCCACTGGCTCTTCAATTCACGGAAATCGGCCATCATGTCATCCCAAGCCCGCGAGCTGTTGCGCAAATTTACATCATGCGACGTAAGACAAACCCCGCAAGTACCTACCTATCCCAGCTCCAACTCCCTGACCGTCCGTTTTCTAGATTGGAGATGCGCTGGTCAAGCTTAAGTATCCCAGAGGCGGCTTTCTTCATGGTATAAGATTGCGGTCTGTCGACTCGCAGACTCGCATCTTCGGCCCAGCTGTCACGGTCAAGATGGTGGTAACAAAATGGACAGACGCGCCCAAGCTTGACACGCACTTCGTCGACCATAATGTGAAAGGTGGAGTCATGTACATCCAGCAGCCTCCTTCAGTGCCCTCTGCTTGCTGGGGCGGCCTCATGTCCACCCGCGCCAAGTATCTAGGTGCAGAGGGCGTTGTCATCAACGGAAAAATGAGAGATGTCAACGAGCATAAAGAGATCGGATTCCCTGTACATATTGCTTCCTCGCCCTTACTAAGATTGAGTTAACCAGGCGCAGGTATTTTCGCGAGGCCAGTCTATCTTGGGATCAAACACTTTCACACGAGCCTCAGAGATCAATGTTCCGATTCTGTCCGGCGGTGATTTGTGGGTAAACCCGGGCGACATCATTGTTGGAGACGCTGATGGTGTTGTATGTGTTCCTCCGTCTCTGATGGAGCAAGTCGTGGCTTTGTGTCAGGAGCGAGCTGAGATTGATGAAAAGATGTTTGCCGAGCTACGTAACGGTGCGGCCATGGGGGATTTGATCCGTACTATCCGTAAGGATAAATAGACTCGATACGAAATTGATAAATCGGGAGTCAGAATCGGCATTGTTGAGAATAGACATATGCCCCATTCCTTGTTACTACGATAACGAGGGCCTTCGCTTTTGGGTAACTTGGCCTAACGGTGATTTTTACAGGTATTGATGGCTCTTTACCCTATGTTATAGTAACTCCAAGGGTATCAGAATGACTGAACGTTAATGAAATGTGAAGATAAGGTTAAAAAGCGACCTCAAATTTATATTGTGTTCTGCTCTGATTCTTTCTATAGAGTAATCTACAGCCATTGTCTAGCCAAATAATCTCTTTGGGTTATCAACCATCAACATATTCCATTCCTCATCTGAAAGCCACTCCCTCAGACTCCACAGCCATGCCTCATCGTCGACCTCAAGGAACGGCGTCTCCTTCATAGCTTCTTCATGACTTCGTACCTTCATCCTTGGTGTATGCGGCCAATCACTACCCCAAATGACCTGACGCGGGTTCGCATCTACAAGAGCTCGCACAAGAAACTTCAGGTCGCTGTACCGTGGGCTCTGTTCACTGACGCGGTATGGAGCGCTGAGTTTGACATAGAGAAGACCGTCTTTGACGAGCCGTAGAATGGGTGAGAAGCCCGGCTGTTGAGTTGGGTCTTGCCGGTACTGAGCTGGGAGCATACTCGGTCCTTTTAACAGTCCGAAATGATCTGTTATGAGGGGTCGGCCTGTCGGAGCCACCTCTTGCCTAACAAACGGTTCTAGGGTGTCCCAAAAGTCCGTGCGGATAGTCGTCATTGTGAGACTCCAAGGGAGAGACAAACGAGTCACCCGTTCAAGGTACGCACGGAGAGTTTTCTTCTGAAGCTCCACATCTTCCATCGCGTTATAGTGATAGAGATTCACACGGAGACCGCAGATACCTGTCGCCTGCATATCTCGTATCTCATCATCGGTAGTATTCTCGGGGTCAATAACACCAACGCCTGATGTACTAGATTTTCCCAGTTGGGTGACGAAAGTCTTGAGCGAAGTGCAGTCATCGCCGTAGGATAGGCCGTGGGTAAGCACGGAATTGGTGATGCCGAGTTTCTGTCGGAAGGTCTTGAAGGACTGGACTGTTGCGGCGGGGGGCGTCAAGTGGCGTGTTGGACTGTAGGAAAAGGTTGATGCTGGTATGATGTTAGTTAAGGTCTTGGAAGATCAAATCACAAGAGAACATACGCTCGAAAATATGGTGATGGGTATCCCAACCGCCATTGGGGAACAGCTCAGCTTTGGTGGACTTTGTGAGAACTTGGGTCGCCATATTTCTTCGATGCGTGATGCCAATTGAACGAAAGATCATTACTGGAAGGATGTGAAGGCCTCTAAGCTTATGGGACCAAAGCAGTCCTTTCTGAGCATTTTAGTCAATATTTGGAGTCCATTTCTTTGGCGGCTCGTCAGTCATGGAATCATCCCGACCTGCGGTGGCGAGCATCGGAGCAGTCCATGGTGGATCTAGCCCGATCAGACATGCCCTGGAGCGGAACGGAGTACTCCTTGTGCTGGAAGCGTGAGCAACATAGCAATAGCATGGATGGCAGCCGATCAATCAATCGATTGATGGTCTAAACTGGTCACCGCATGTGTGAGCATAGATCGCCTAATGTAAAACGGAAATCCGGCATCTCTAATATTTTTGCTGTTGATGTCACCACTCGGCTTCACTGGTAGGAAGGCCCTTGTAGACCACCGTAATCTCATGCGTGTTAATTTGACCTGTGCTAACATTTAAATGTCCTTCTATAGAGGCTCCGTTGAATCTCCAAAAAGGCAAACATACACATCGTATGCCTACACATCGTTAGTCTTCAATCTGGAAACAGACTCGTCGGTGCACTTACGGTCCAACCCGCAGAAAACTCGGTACCCATCCTCGGAAGATCCAAGCGGGTCCTTCAGTCCGGAATGCCTCCCTTGCAGTAGCTACCATACCTGTCCCGTCTGGAGATATGGAAGACATGGCCCTGGTTTTCAGGACATCTAGCGGATTAGTCACTGTTACCGCGATCACAGCTGCTAAGAATGCAGAAGTCGCTTGTACAGCGGGCGTCTCCTCCGTCTTTCTATAGTTGAGGATGGACTTTTTGATGATATCATAGCTTGCAAGCTGCCCTGCTGTCTGTGTCGCAGCGCGTGTGCAGTTAGGCAGCCATCCTCTCATGTAAGCGCCAATACCTTCTTCACGTGCCATTCGTAATATTCCGTCGCCGACGTGTCGATAATTGTGTCGTTGGTGAGATGGAAGTGAGCCATCATGCTGCATTCTAACATTTAGAACATCGGCAAAGTTGCCCGCCAAACCACCTGCAAATCCAGAACACCACGCGGTGGTAAGGAGATATTGGCTGCTAGGAGCAGGTCCAGATTTCGACTTGAGTTCTTCGTAGATGCCAAAGCGGATGCCCGAATAGGTGAGCTGGCGTACCACAGATGCTGTTAGACCACTGTATAAACCCGATACACCTTCATCACTGATGATGATCTTGACGGCGGAAGCAAACGACGGGGCCACGCGTAGTACCCTTGTCTGCAAACGGACCTGTACACAAAGATCTAAGGTGAATCAGTTGGTGGGGATTTGAAGTATGAGAGTCTTTACCTTGACTAGGAGACTACGCGTTAGTCCATTTAATTGTGAAGAAGACGGTTTACTGTACCAAGATCAAGAGGATGAGTCACGCAAGCAGCTGAAGCGCTGGCGATACCGCCAAACCAGAATGGATATTTGATGTTGCTCTCTAGTGCATTTCCTTTATTTGCTGAGTGGTCGGTCATCGTCTCACGGCCTCTGGTCCGCTGTATGTATCGATTCGTGAGGGTCAGTAAATGGCTTATTCATCTCAACAATGTCACCGAGAGAAGGAAAATGTTTTACATAAACACGACTAGCTCTAAATATCACTTTTATAGCGGTTTATTCGGAAGTCGTGGTACGTCAGTTTTGGTCGCCGGATTGTCTGTTCGCCGATCAGGGGAACCCAAGAGTCGGCGACTGTACATATTTTTGATCCGGGCCATTATGAGCAACTGTGGGGGCTTTCAAGGTAACAATCAAGAATATTCAAAAGAGAAGTGCGTAAGATCGGCTACGTCAATTTCCTTCTGTCGGTCCTCATTTATACCGAGGACAGTAGATGCTCCAAACTAGGTTTCCACTGTATGACCACATAACCGCCTCGATATATACGCGAAGATCCCGAGATACGCTCAGGTCACTCTTCGTCCTTGCCACGATGTCACGGAACAGACCGATGTTCTGCGCAATCTCACGTCGACAAACTTCTTTTGCCTCTTCCTCCCCAATAGCACTCTCTCTCATAATGACCCAAATTGCATTGAAGACGTAGTCCTGCCCAATATCCTGCGCTGCCTTTCTTTCTTTCTCCCAAGAGTAAAGGTCATTCGTCAAACCTAGTGCGGCATATCCTGGCTTTGCTAGGCTCATACATAGATCGTATTCTTCGTCGGGGATGGTAAGACCCATTCCGAAGGTCAATGACCCGAACCAGATCCTATTTCTGTGAGCAGAATGTACATATCATCAGTATATTGCGCGCAGGCTTACAGTTCACCTGCATCTATGACTCGTGTTGGGATGTATTCCTCCAAAGTCTCAAAGGGCGTCATTCTTGTTCGCGATGCTAACTGGACAAAGCTTGCCCATGCCTTCATCGTCGTAATAGCCCGCTGGTGATCTATAGCCATCATTTCCGAGAATATCTGTGCTTGGAGTCTTTTCTCGGGACGGCTTCGGGCATCGGCCTCAAGTGCCGGGGTTACAAACGGCTGGAGAAAACTATCAAGATCATTTGTCGGGATTTTAAGTTCAAGCGTTTCCATATCATCTGTAAATGCTTAGCATATCCCCACCAACTGGCTAAGGGGGTCGCAAACCGTCATAGAGAAACGCAAACTCGTTCGCATACGAAACAATCTCAAGCCTTTCCGGGCGATATTCGGGGATAGTTACGCTGATGAAACCGAACGGGTCGGCCAAGCCGCCTTTATACCCATGCACTGGGCGTACGTAGCGAGTCCAATCCTTTCGGGCTCGAAGTGCTCCTTTGACCTCTATTGCCGAGTCCCTATGCATTCGTAGTGGTATGCCATGATCCAAGTCATATGTCTCATAACGCGAGGCGTCAATTTCGTCAGAATAAAAGAAATCCATATCTTGAGTCCGAAAAATATAGAGTTCTAGCTAGATCTACTATTTCTTGCGTCCGTTGGGTACGCTAAATAGTCGACATGAAACTCCAGAACTTCACCTGATATTCTCATGGGCAGTTATATCGTAGGCTTAAAATGGTCAATCAGCCGCTTATGTTAGACTAAAATAGTTCAGATCATCCGGTATATACCATGATTAAAGACATATCGCCATAGCCGAGATAAGGATAAATCCTTCAGTGGTTGTCCTAGACTATAAGAGGAAAGACCCGACGACTCGAGACCCTGACCTTAATTGGCAAAAGGACCTGGCTAAATTAGCATAAGTCTAGGATACATTCAGCTGTGTTTATCTTGTCATCTTACCTTACGATGTGATGTTTTATTGCTTCTGGAGAATAGCGTCACGGTAAAATCCCTTCATTTTATTTTATACCCGTATCCTTCTCTATAATGCCATGACGGGCCTCCCTGAAACGTCATCGAACGCTGTTCTCAGCAACCCAACAATGTTGACATGATGGATCAGGACGTCTCACACTAGGAGGGTAACTGATTCAACCCATTTTAGAAAAGATAACAAGGTTCACTATTATGTTTTGATACCAATGCCTGCACAAGAACGTCAATTTCAACAAGCTACCTAAGTACTAAGTTTAGGTGACTGTCTGCTGCCTCTAACACGTGACATATTCCCCAGCGGGGTCATCCACTCGCATCATGAGCAATTGTCAGTGTCAGCTTCACTAAACATCCAGCGACAACAGCCAACCACATCGCCTGCCTGTACTTACCCCTGTAACCTTATCAAATCCCATGGCTACGCGTATCAACGCCCCTAAAAAGGTCCGCCTGGCCTGTCGACGCCGTCGGGTCCGTCGCATCAAGGTGAGAACAATCGACTGCTTCCAGCAACTCGACCCTCCAGACTAAAGTGTTTGCTCCTTGGCTCGTGTTAGTGCGATGGTCAAGTGCCCGCTTGTACCAACTGTGCAAAGGCTGGGCAGGTCTGCTTAGATGTCGACAGTCAGAACTCAGATGTTGTTATTCCCCGCAAGTGAGTACGCGTCACGACATCGCAGAACATTGATTGACAACTAAGTTTCGTGTCTGCCGCCCGTGAAAGAATACGATGGTTGGAAGATATCATCAAAGAACGTCTACCGGACGTAGACCTACGTTCTGGTCCTCAGGTCGATCCTTCGTCTGACCCAACGGCCCCTGCGCAGGATGAGAGAATCCCCGAGGTTGCTGACATCTCAATATCATCAGTTCCACCAGTCTCCACGATCTCACGCAAGCGGTCAGCAGAGGCATCAGGGCACTCTGATCAAGACGAATCCTTTCCAGAGCGCGCCCATTCTGTCGCCGTTAATCTTGGCATGCTTTCTCTTAATATCGATTCCCCTCAAAAACACTACCTTGGCTCAAGCTCAGGGCTTCTCTTCACAAACCTCATTGGAGCATCGCCACCGAGTGTAGAGTCCACGCCTCAAGGCCCTCAAGGGGACAAGGCTGCTGGAGAGCTCGAATGGAGTGATGATGTCGTTGCTCAAGATCAGAACAGGAAGTATTACCAAGAGCTGTACAGTCTTCTCAAACAAGTGAGTTGATTCCTCCGGAGCCCTAATTTGACCTCTAACTATACATAGGAGCTACCCTCAAGACACAATGCTCTCGTATTGATACACACATACATCCGTTGGATCCATCCCGACTTCCCCTTCCTAGAACCAATTTCTCTCTTCAGTGCCGTCGAAGCCATATATCCCTGCCTTGACGGCATTTTGGAATGCGATATCTCTTCTCACGGATGGCCCGCTAACATGCCGCCGTTTCGATGGAACGGAAGAGTGATAGTCCCGGGAGTTTCCAATGAAGAAGGCGTTACCTTCTCGGCAGTCGCCTTTATTCTCTTTATGGTCTTCAATATCGGCGCTCTGGTCAAGGTACGATCACGTAACTACGACTTTCCGCCACAGCGCTTTTACCGTGCTGCCCTCCACTTTTCAAAAGAAGCCTTCGCTCATATTACCTTGTCCTCTATTCAATCTTTAATGATGCTGGTGATGCATGGCATGCTCACTCCTGCAGAGGTCAACTTGTGGACTTTGGTGCATCTTGGACTGGCGTACTGTGTCGAGACTGGAATACATCGGGAGCAAGGACAGTCAAGCCGGGAAGGCTCTGCTATACAACAAGTGAGACGTTTCACTTTCTTCACAATTTATTCATTGGATAGGTATCATGCCCCAGGGCGCAGCTCTAGGGAGACGTGCTAAGTGTAGCAGGTCTTTATCATCGATACAGGGCCGGCCACTTGGTTTCAGAGACGAAACATTCGACATAAAAATACCTGAGCCTCTTTCAGACCTTGACGAGAATACGCAAGGACCCCTTCCGCCTTCGTTCATAACTGCCGTAACACGTTACTCATCGTATCATTTCAGACTGGACCGCATCGTGTCCGATATTAAACTCCACCTGTATCACCTTCCCGGTGATTCTAGCTTCTTCCCATGGCCAGACAATCCTACAGAACAACAGGCCAGGATCCAGCATACTTTGGAAATCTGGTGGGAGGAGGTCTCAAACGATGTATTTGAGTATCCCAGTCTTGATAACAGACAACGGGAAGTCTGGAAGATAAAGCTCAGACTGAAGTACCATACAACGATGGTCTTACTTTTCCAACCATCCCAAGTCGTTCGGCAACCAGCTTCAGAGGCGCTCCAGGCTTGCTTCGACAGCGCAGCCAGTATTCTAGATGGGTACCAACGACTTCACGACCTTCATGGCCTCCACTTTGGATGGAGGGCCGTGCAGAACATCTTTGCAGCTGGCGCGACACTGATCTACTCATTCTGGACATCACAGGCCGTTCGGGAGAAGGCGTCACCAGAGACAATGTCAAAGAATTTGCGAAGCTGCTCTACTCTTTTAACAATTGGTGGCGAATGGTGGCCGTCTGCAAGGAATGGACAAGCCAGCTTTGGTTCAGTCGCAGATTTGACCATGAAGAGGCTCTACATGGCGGACGCGTCCAACAAAGCTCCGCGACTATCTCTACAGCAAACTGCGTCTTCCAGACCAAGAGAAGCAGGGGACGCTGATGTCTCTGGAAGTCAACATCAGCCTCATTTCTCAAATGAGACTGGCCAATCGGTAGTGATTGACACAGATACAGCGTGGCAAAATCTAGACTTGGATGTCGGAGGCAACCCAGACCAATTTGACTGGCCATCAATTGAAGGCGGCTTTGATCCCGAAATCGAGATGTTCCTGGAGGACTTCAACAAATCCGATTTTACATGGAGCTTTTCACTGAATGACAATCAAGATCTGGGCCTCTTTGGAACTGATCCAAACACTGGGTTCTAAGGTCGCACGATAGTGGGCTGTGGGAACGGAGCAGTCCGTCAGCGGCGAGAAATGGGGTGCGGACTACTCCACGGTTCCTCGGCTACAGCATGGAGTTTTGTATGGGCGGGTTGGGTTTGTGCGATATCAAATAAAAACATGATGATTACCATGCACAGGCAACACGATTTTAGCATGATAATTGCTATGCATATTCTGCAATCATCGCAAGAATGGCGCTGACAACATCACGACTTAGCCTGCGACGGGTTTGCTCTGCGCGACAGAGGCCAGTGACACAAGTGCGACGATGCTTAGCGACGCATTCATCCCATGTCGCATTGAGCCCTCTTGAGCCAGTCAGTACTTCCACTCATATCTCAATGCCAACTCCTAAGTGTGTCACAGTATAATGTCCTCGATTACACCACCCGACTCGAATCCCTCCGCCGCGTTCAAGGCGCTAATAAACGACCCTTGACCCTCTCCGAAAAGCTCCTCTACAGCCACTTAATCCACGACAACGATGATTGGGTACTCGACCAAATAGAGCGAGGACAGACAATCCTGCGCCTACGGCCGGATCGCGTTGCTTGTCATGATGCGACAGCGACAATGGCGCTTCTCCAATTCATCAGCGCTGGTCTACCACGCGTTCAAGTGCCAACATCTGTGCACAGTGATCATCTCATTGTCGCAGAGTACGGAGCCAAAAAGGATCTTGAGCGGGCTGCGGGTGATCATCGAGAGGTCTATGCTTTTCTGAGCAGCGCAGCGAAGAAATACGGCATTGGGTATTGGAAACCTGGCGCAGGTATTATTCACACTACGATTTTTGAGAACTACGCTTTTCCAGGTGGTTTGTTCATTGGCACTGACTCGCATACTCCCAATGCTGGCGGAATGGGTGTTCTGGGTATTGGAGTCGGCGGCTCTGATGCTGTGGATGCTATGGCTGGAATGCCATGGGAGCTTGTTTGTCCCAAGGTCTTGGGCGTTCGTCTGACAGGACGGTTGTCGGGATGGGCATCTTCCAAAGACATTATCTGCAAGCTTGCGGGTATACTGACTGTCTCCGGTGGAAAGGGTAAGGTCATCGAGTTCTTTGGTCCTGGTGCCGAGACATTGGGAGCCACGGCCATGGCCACTGTTTGTAACATGTCAGCCGAGGTTGGGTCAACCTCGTGTATCTTCCCCTACTCACAGGCTATGGCACGGTATCTTAAAGCGACCAAACGGGGAGACATCGCTCGCTACGCTGACGGCTTCACTGAGACGCTGCTTACTGCAGACCGTGGCAGTGAGGATTACTACGACGAGGTCATTGAGATTGATCTCTCAACGCTTGAACCTCACATCAACGGCCCATTCACTCCCGACCTCTCGCATCCCCTGTCTCAGTTCAAGACACGAGTTCAAGAGAGCTCCTGGCCCTCCAAGATCAGTCATAGTATGGTAGGCAGCTGTACCAATAGCTCCTACGAGGATCTCGAGAAAGTCTACGACTTGGTACAACAGGCCAAAAAGGCAGGCATCGACCGGCCTAGAACACCCTTCATGGTAAGCCCAGGCAGTGAACAGATTCGTGCAACTGCGGAGGAGAGTGGCATCTTACCAAGTTTGAGAGAGGCTGGAACCGTTGTTCTCAGCAACTCTTGCGGACCCTGTGTTGGACAATGGGACAGGAAGGATGTTGACGTTGCTGGTGCTGAGAACAACTCAGTCATCTCTAGCTTCAATCGCAACTTCACTGGTCGCCATGATGGAAACCCCGCTACACATTCTTTCGTCACATCTCCCGAGATCGCCACTACTTTTGCTTATGCTGGTGATCTGTCATTCAACCCCATGCACGACGCTATTCCCACTGATAAGTCGGGTACCTCTCACTTCCGATTTACCCCTCCTGTCGCCAACGAGCTTCCAGAAAGGTTCATCGCTGGTAGCGATCTCTTCCAGCCGCCTATACTAGAAGATACCTCAGATTATAAAGTTGCCATCGATGAAGGCAGCGATCGCCTGGAGCTTCTGACGCCGTTTGAGCCATGGAAGCCAGGCCAAGCAGAGAACATGGAAGTCCTCATCAAAGTCTCTGGAAAGTGTACCACAGATCATATTTCTCCCGCAGGGCCATGGTACAATTATCGTGGCCATCTATCTAACATCAGCCACAACATGCTCCTCGGCGCAACAAACGGATTCCTTCCCAACGCCAGTTCACTATCTATGACTGGCAAGACACGAGATCCTACAGACGGCACCATCAAGTTCATCCACAAAGCCGCACGAACAATGAAGAATGCTGGTATCAGATGGTGTATCATTGGCGATAACAACTACGGCGAAGGTAGTTCCCGGGAACACGCTGCGCTGGAGCCCAGATTCTTGGGTGGTGTAGCAGTCATTGCAAAGAGCTTCGCCCGCATTCATGAGACGAACTTGAAGAAGCAGGGGATGTTTCCGTTTACGTTTGCGGACCTATTGGACTATGATAGGATTCGGGAGGGCGATGTTATAAGTTTACTGGACGTTGATGGTGATGCGCTTCAGCCGGAGAAGCAGGTTACGATGAAGGTGGTGAATAAAGACGGGACTGAATGGACGGCGCAGTTGAACCACTCGTATCATGAGCACCAGCTTGCATGGCTACGGGCCGGGAGTGCGCTGAATCATGTCAAGAAGACGATCTTGGGTAGCGCAGCTTAAGTGATTGACATGAATTCGGGTCTGGCGTCAGCGTTGATCATCTATTTGCTCAAGTATTATGCACAGAATGCCCAATACTGCAACTTCAATAAATAAAACGTGAATTACTAATTTTATACTCGTTTTGACCTCCACGGAGTTCCTGTTCACATAACTAAGCTGGCCATTCGAGGTGTAGAAACACAAGTAACGTAATCGCCATGATCTTACCAATCGTTGAAGACCAGGCCCACTGCTGGTTGTTCATAACATTACATACTTACGAGACAATCTGCAATACATCGGGAAACTCGTTGTATTTTTAAATAGCGCAACACCTCAAGAACCCCTATACACATATTGCCCACCAGTCCCTCTCAACGGCCAAAACCATACACAACACTAACCGGAGTCGAGCGACAAGATGAATTGGCAAGACATAGCCAAAGAATCTCAAGTGAAAGTGCTTAATTCCATTCCTAGCCGCTGGCGATTAGATGTCAATCAATACCGAGACCTCAAAGATGTCACCAATGTGCCGTACACCTGTGGCCTACTCACTGAAGAGCAGCTCAGAATCACGGAACTCACAGCGACAGAAATAGTCAAGAAACTCAAGACTCGCGAGCTGAAAGCAGTGCAAGTCTTGGAAGCACTCGCCGGACGAGCTTCTATCGCACATCAACTGGTTGGTAATCTAATTACATGCTGGTAATTGGCTAATGGCAGTAGGTCAATTGCCTGACAGAATGGTTCTATGAAGAAGGCCTCGCACACGCAAGAGAGCTTGATGAAGCGATAGAGAAAGGTGGTCATTTAAAGGGTGTACTGCATGGTGTTCCTATCGCTCTAAAGGTAAGCTATCTACTAGCCATAATTCCTTACTTGCACTGACTCTCGCTGTCAAGGATATCCATTGCGTTGCAGGTCATGCTTCAACCATGGCCTTCGTCTCAGGCAGAAACAATGTCGTTGCTCAAGATTCCGCCGTCGTAGCTGCTCTACGTGCTGAAGGCGCCATATTCTTCTGCAAGACCACCATGCCTCAATCGGCCATGGCAATCGAGACAGTCAGCAACCTCTGGGGACGTACTTTGAACCCTTCCAATCGGGACCTGAACGCCGGAGGTAGTTCTGGAGGCGACGCTGTCCTGGTAGCCATGAAGGGTACACCTCTCACGCCCTCGACTGATCTCGGAGGTTCGATTCGTGTACCAGCTGCTTTTAACGGACTCTATGCACTCAAACCAACAGCTGCCCGAATCCCGAAAGGCGGGATGCCGGACCTTGGCCAGAGTCTGATTCAAGTTTCCTTTGGACCTATTTGTCGCTCCCTCGAGGATATGGAGTTGCTGACCCGAGTCATAAATGCTCATCCTTACAACAGATTTGATGTAACTTGCGCGCCTGTCCCATGGAGGAGAGTCGATGCTCTAGAAGGCAAGCTGAAGATAGGGCTAATGAAATGGGATGGCGTGGTGAGGCCTCATCCGCCAATCCTTCGAGCACTAGAGCATACCAAAAAGATACTGATAGAAGCTGGACACGAGGGTAAACTCATATTAGTTGTGAACTGTGGACTACAAAGCTAACTTCTGTCTCAAGTTGTTGACTTCAAGCCGCCCTTCGACTGCTGGCAAGCTTTGAAGACAACCGTAAGTACCTCTTATCTACGCGAGTATAGTAACTAATAGGATCCAAGTTCGACGTTTACTACCAAGGTGGAGCTGACGGGACAATCGCTGCGCTTGAAGAGTCTGGTGAACCCATAATCCCCGCGTTTGCCGACTCACTCAAGGTTTTCAATGTTCGGAAGCTTCCCGCTTCAGAGATTCTACAGGTAAGTCAAAACACAACATGTTCTGTCTTCTAGGTTAACTATTAGTAGTTGAGTGGTAAGGTACGAGACTACAAAGAACAGTTCCTAGCAGCATGGGACAAAACAGCCAACGGCAGCCGTCCCATCGATGCCTTGATATGTCCTCCGGCACCTGGCGTTGGTTATCCTCATGACTTCAATACATACTGGGGATACACCTCGCTCTTTAATTTGATTGACTATCCTGCTGCGATATTGCCAATACCGGGACTCAAGGTCAATTCTGAGCAGGATTCTCTTGATTTAGAATACGAACCGCTGGACACCAATCCCTACGATAAACCCAACTACAAAATTTGTATGTAAAGCCTTTATCTTACTACTCATGCGGATCCTAATCATGTATTGTTTATAGATGATCCCAGTCTTTTTGGGAACCAAGCAATATGTATACAAGTAGTCGCTCGTCCATTTGAAGATGAAGAGCTCATTCAAGTGTCCTCAACTCTTGATGCATTGCTTCGCGGTCTCTAGAAACAACCTCCAAGGCTGAGCTCAAGTACTGATTACTATTGGCTTGATCAATTGTTACTAGCAAGTGGATAGATTTGTAGTAAATAGTGGAAATGCTCTCTGATGTCTATAGTATTATATTAAGCTTGAACTTGTAAACTGATCGCCTCTCTATAGCCCCACCGTGGTATCGATCACTTTCCCTCCTTCTACCGCTGGTCGAAAAACTCTTCTCGTAACTTGAACACGATCAAGCGCGGTTGAAACCACCGCTCGCCCGAATTCTGTCCAAAAACTTGAGAACAGCCGGTGTCACCTCCTCAGGCCTCTCCATCATAGGCGCATGTCCAACGCCCTTAACAGCAACAACCTCACTATCCTCAAAGTTCGACGCGACCCAGCGCGCCTCTTCAATAGGATCAGTCCAGTCAGGATCGGCATCTCCATAGACAGCTAGTACTGGAGCCTTGACTTTGCTGATGTACGGTGCGACAACAGCGTGGTCGGTAGATAGTGTAGCGTGGAATGCCTTCCAGCGACCGGGGCCTGTCAACATTGCGATGGACCTGTCAACGCGCTCCTGGACCTTGTCGCCAAGACCGGGCCAGAGCTTAGGGGCGTATGACTTCCAGATCATAGGGCCGATGGGTTGGCGCATGGAAAGGCGGAAGAGACTGGCGACAAGCTTGCCAGTTCCAGGTCGAAGGAAGGCTCCAAAGAGTATAAGGCCAGCGACCTTTTCGGGATGGCTTCCACCAGCGATCGTAGCAGCCGCACCAGATAGAGAGGCGCCGGCTAAGACAGCAGGTCCTCCACCGTAAGCGTCAATCAGAGTAATGAGGTCGTCTGCGGTGGCTTCGTCGCCATAGCGGTTAAAGGTAGTGCTGCTATCGCCATGACCTCTCAGATCAACCATAGCGACTCTGTAGCCAGATTTACGAAGCTCGGTGGCCAGAGCGTCATATGCGTCGCGGAAATCTCCCATCCCGGGAGAGCAGATGACGAGTGGGCCTTCGCCAGCAATGTCAACGGCGAGCTTACCACCGTCTGTTTCAATAAATGTGACAGTCATTGTGGGCGTGATAGGTGGGCTGTGGATTAAGTGTAAGTAGAGAGAATTGCAGTGTTGCGTGATGCAGTTTGTAAGTCTTGGAAATGATGTATTTATGAGACTGGTGATGATGAATATTTCCAACGACTAGCAGAACAACGCAAGATATATATAGTCAGACTCGAATCCTTTCCACGAATGCTTATTATTACTCCCGTGCCTCTGCGCTGCATTTTCGGGTTGGTAGGGCGAGCTTCGCCCGATAAGTCGAATACACAAGACGTTGATTGGCTCGCACAAATGCACGAGAAAATGCCGAGAGTAACGCGAGACCAAGGATTCGGCCTGGCAGCTTTCGCTCTGTGTAATTGGCTATCCTAATGGCCTGTCTCGGCCCTTCTATTTCTTCCGTCTCGGTGATTCCTTCTGTTGAGGTGATAAGATAAGCTCAATTTTATCTGATTGCAGGGTAGTGAATGTAATATTTTTGGGTTCTGGGACTTCTCGATAGCAACAGTGCCTTCAACATGACTCTTTGTTTGATAACTTGTCCAAGTTTAATTTAGCCCACATCAGTTTATTGCCTTTATTTGTCCTTTCCTGCCTATAAGGTTATCTCCCCGAACTGTGGGCTACAGCCCTTCTAATTTTGAGGAAGTTTCAATCCCACCAAGCTCTGACAGGCATCAACAACCCGCTCCTGCAACTCAACCTCACAACACTGAGGAGTCGGCTCTGCCAGCTTCCTCTTAGGCTCAAAATAATTCCCTGTCAAGCTTTGATCATAGTCTCCCTCAGCCAACATGACATAGGTATCAACTCCATCCTCCAGCTTATCTGGCCCATCCTCTCCTCCAAGCTTCGTTGCAACCCATCCTGGATGAACAGACATGACCGACGTGTTCTTGAAACGTCTGGCGACTGCGTTTGCAAGCAACATGACATGAAGCTTTGAGTCGCAGTATGCGGGGAAGTCTCGGAATTGAGACTCGCCTCGCTCGAGCCAGAAAATATCCTTGACGCTTGTATCGGCCTGGGCGTGTAGTTGAGACGCGATGTAAATGAGTCTCTTGGGAGGTGTTAAGAGACAGGTGAGAATGTAGGGTGCAAGAACATTGACGGCCGTCTGAGCTGGGATACCGGTGTCGGGAGTCTTGCGGAATGGTCCGGCCAGCAAGCCAGCATTATGAATGATGGCATCGAAGGTTCCGACTGCGTTGACTTCCTCGGCGAGCCTTTTTGTCTCTGACACGAGTGTCAAGTCCGCTACAAAAGCACCAGCTGCACCAGGGCACTTTTCTTTGGCCTCCGCTGCTCGTTGAGCGTTGCGCGCATGGAGATAAACGGTGTGATTGCCCTTAACAAGTTGGCGCGCAGCTTCGAGGCCCAAGCCATCAGCGGAACCAGTAATGAGAATGCGAGCCATCGATATAAAGTGATTGAAATCAGATTAAGTTGTTGAACAGAATTTTTAATGTTATAATTGTCAATTTATAAATATATGTCAATGAGAGAGAATACGAGAAAATTTCTTGAAACTTGGCACCGAGTTCCGTTCCGCATAAATGTCAACTACCGGCTTTCAAATATCCAAATTGGCACCTAGCGTCCCGCTTTGACGTGTAACCTCGGCGTTGCTAAACTCGTTTCAGTTGACGATTTCCGCGCGAGCTGTGGATAGCGGATATACCGGACTTTGAACACTACCGGGAATGGGTCTGGCGGATGAAACCCAACGCCGAGATGCGACTATGGGCCTGCCGGATCATTTTGTTCACCGAGATACATAGATAAGGATACCTTGATTCAATTTTGATTATGCGATCATATCAATTCTGTCTAAATGTGGCCTCCCAAATAGGTCCTGTCTATCGGCCTCATCTACAGCTTCAACTGAGTTCCCTTCCGATGGTCCACCAACTGCCTCAACACCAACGCCGATTTCTTCGGCGTCCTCTCTAACGTCTCGTAATCCGTAAATGTCACTCCGAACCTAGGCCCATAGCCATCAGACCACTCAAGATTATCCATCAACGACCACGCAAAATACCCCTCGATAACAGATCCATCTTCACCGACCGACCTCCCGATCGCATCAAGGTGATCCTCAAAGTACTTAATCCTATACTCATCCTGCACCGACTCCTCACGCGTCATCTTATCCTCGCCGGGACAGGGACACCCGTTCTCCGTGATGATGATAGGCTTGCCGTACAGACGATATACCCGCGTGAGATGTTTGCGGAAGAGGTCGGGGCAGGATCGGAGCCAGTGTAGGCCACTTTCCAAACCGACAGGGTCGCCGGTTTTGTTGGTTTGGAGCTCATCGAGGTTACCGATGTAGTCTGTGTCTAGTGCGGGAGTGGACTTGTGCCGAGCGAATTGGGAGGTGTAGTAGTTCATGCCGTAGAAATCACTTTCTGCTGAGCGAAGAAGTTTGAGCTCTTCGGATGTAAACTGTGGCAGGCGGTCTTTGAGCTGATCGCGCATGCACTTTGGGTAGTCTTGTCCTAGGCTTCGCAGAATCAGCATTTATGGTCCGCGCTGCATGGAATGCTGGCATGACTTACAAGATGGGATTTGCAAACCACCCAATATGGAACTGCATCCGTCGCTCAGCAGCTTCACTATCTCTCGGATCGCTGCTGTCCCATGGCTCGTAGTAATCTCCATTCAATGAGATTCCTATTTGGCCTTTTTGTGATACACGGAAATCCTGATTGTAGGCTGCGACGGCACGAGCGTGGCTCATGATGAGAGCCTTGCCAACAATCCACGGCTCCGTCGATGTATCCCCCTCAGTGGATTGGGGGTTGATGCTGCTTCGTCCTGGAGCATTGCCTCCAGTGGCATAGCCCTAGAACGTATTGTTAGTATTTTACTGTTGTCTTTCCGAAGGAATAACTTACGAATATAGAGACAATCCAAGGCTCATTGAGTGTGATCCAGTGCTTCACTCGATCGCCGAACCTCTCATAACAAAGCCTCGCATATCTCTCGAAATCCTTTTGAGACTCTTCGACATCCAACCATCCACCATATCTCTCATGCAATGCTTGCGGTAAGTCCCAATGGTAAAGCGTGACCCATGGCGTGATACGTCTCTTCAGACATCCGTCAATAACCCTATCATAGAAAGCAATGCCTGCTTCATTAACAGGATCATCCCGTCCACCAAGAGGAATAACACGAGACCACGAAATTGAGAAGCGATACATATCAGATCCGTATCTTTTTAAAAGATCGAGATCTTCTTCAAGGCGGTGATAGTGATCACAGGCAACATCGCCGTTTGCGCCTTTTGTTCGCGTGGGTTCAAGATGGCAGAAGACATCCCAGATTGAAGGACCGCGACCGTCTTCAGCGACAGCACCTTCAATCTGGTAAGACGCCGTTGCGAAACCAAGTCTGAAGTCGTTAGGGAGAGAAGGCATCGTTGTCTTTGAACTTGACACAAAAGTCTCTAGTGACCAGAACAAGTTACATACTTCGGCATTCTTTATACCGTGGAATTACGGGCCGATAAGATAATACCCAACTCGTCGTGATTGTCGATCGCGGTGAAATTCGGTTGATCCACTGGGTAGTTTCCCCGACGGTGAGGGGTTTCTTCGAATAGCGCGATGCTCTATTTCGCCGTTTTCCCGTAGCTTCACGGAGCAGACCATTCCCCACGGGGAAGTTGGAGGCTAGGTCGAAATGGGGCTTTTTCGCTGTAACCTTGGTTCATGGCATGTTTCTGGACCGAAATTCTCTCTTCTTCAGCGTTGCATTGTGTATATATAAGTATGCTAGAGATCGCCGAGAGTTTATCACAAGACTGTAAACACATCATCAGTCACTCTTGACGACTCTTCTACACCTTGTTTCACGCCATCTGTCATAAAATCAACATGGCTCCGAAAGCGGCGCACGCCACTGAAGATATTCAGTCTCCCATCGACCTCACCACCGTTCCGCCGTTTTGGAAACGCAAGAATGGTGTTCTTTTGTACTTCTTGCTTACGTCCTCGCTGTTTGCCAGTATGGCTCTTGGCATTGACGGGTAAGTCCACTCCCAGCCGGCAAGTTGCTACACATACTGACTCATCGTGAAGCTCTATGACCAACGCCCTTCAAACGCTCGAGAGCTGGCAAGACCGCTTCGGACATCCTACTGGCTCCAAACTTGGCTTCTTCGGTGCTTCCAACGCCATTGGAGGTGTCATACCATTTATCTTCCTCGGTTGGATCAGCGATGTCGCTGGCCGTCGTGTCCCAACTGCCATGGGATCTATCGTCATTATCGCCGGTGTCATGGTTCAACTCTTTGCGACCTCCCTCAATATGTTCATCGGCGGCAAGATCGTTCTCGGAATTGGCTCCTCGCTTATCCAGATGGGTGCCCCAGTCTTAGTCACCGAGCTCTCGCACCCTAAGGAGCGTGTGCAGATCACGACGCTGTACAACACAAACATTGTGCTGGGCTATGTCATCGGTGCATGGGCGACATATGGATGCTTTCGCATTCCTAACCAATGGTCCTGGAAGCTCCCCACTCTTGTTCAAGTCATTCCATCGGCATACCAACTCATCCTCATCTTTTTCTGTCCCGAGTCACCTCGTTGGCTGATCGCAAAGGGCAAAGTCGAACAGGCTCGGGAGATTCTGATCAAGTATCATGGCGAAGGTGATTCCGACAGCGAATTGGTCAAGTTTGAATGCGCTGAGATTCAGCAAGTCATTGCTGAGGAAGCCGAACAAAACATGACCTGGAAGGAATTCTTCTCATCCATTCCTAACCTCAAGCGTATTTCGCTCTGCTTTGCCACCGCGCTTTTCAGTCAGAGCTCTGGCAACCTGCTTGTCTCGAACTATCTCACACAGATCCTGAAGGATACAGGCATCGAGGCTGAGAAAGACATCACTCTCGTCAACGGAATGGTTACTCTCTGGCAATATATCGTTGCTATCACTATGACTCTTCTGGTTGACAAGTTCAAGCGCCGCACTTTTTTCCTTGTGGGATCGGGTGGTGTTCTTGTCACGTTCATCATGTGGACCATCGCTGCTAAGCAGTATCTAGAGGGCTCTTTGGCGGGCGGACGAGTTGTGTTGGCTTGCATCTTCCTCTTCCAAGGCTTCTATACCTTTGGTTGGACAAATCTGGTCGTCACTTATCCTCTCGAGATCGTCACCTATCAGATGCGAGCCAAGACTTGGGCATTCGTACTGCTCACCATTCAAGTCTCTTCTATCTTCGGTGGCTACGTCAACCCAATTGGTCTGGAGGCTATTGGGTGGAAGTTCTACATCTACTACTGTGTCTGGGTCGCCATCGTCTTCTTGGTCGTCTACTTCTTCTTTGTCGAGACATCGGGGCCTACGCTGGAGGAGCTCACATATCTGTTTGAGGGTAAGGATGCCAAGCAGGAGATGGTCAAGGAGATTGAGGTCAAGAAGGAGGAGCACGATTTTGTTCACGAGAAAGGAGTCTAAAGAGTAACTTGAGGAGGGAAAACGTGTGATAATATTACAATAATCTAGTGTATCAATGAAGAGGTATTTCTCAATGCATCGGAGGCCTTGGAGTCCAGTCTCGTGAGCAGATCAAGGAGAACGGCAAAGTCGCTACGCGCTCTAGCAGCGATAGGTGAAGACCCATTTCTGTGAATGATTTCCAGAAGACTCGCACCAGTGAGCCGTATCTTCTCGACCTTGGCAGAAACAACTCGTTAGCTTTATTAATTATGTGGTATACTGTTGTACTTACATAAGGCTCGCCGTTGACTTGGAGTGACCAAAACGGAGCTTCTTGAATCACCCGCAGCATATCTCTCGCGATCTCCGTTTTGCGCAAATCCGAGTGCCCAATGTCCGATTTATAGTACGGAAGATTCTCCAACTTTTGCGTTATCACCATCCTTAAACAATGGATGGAGACCTGAAGATTAGCGCATTGGATGAGGAATTGTTTGGTAGTTTCCCTTGACTCATCGGCCAAGGCAGCGAATGTGTACGACTGCAGATATGGTGGTAGATCATCGAGACAGGTGATGAACCTGACATAAAGAGCGTCCAGTCGATCCTTTTCCTGGGCGCTGATCAATGGCTGAAGGTTTGACATGGTTAGATCTTGTTGGTTTCGGTCCTGCATTAGTCGCAACTCGAGGAGCAGATCAGATGCATTTTGCCAGAGTCGCAAATTGGCGTTGAAGCCTTCAATGCAAGTTATCCGCACGACATCAGAATTCGTGACGAGATTGCCAGGGGAGAGAACAGGAGCTTCGTCCTCGATGCCAGAAGGATACGACGTGGTTATTCCCGACTCGAATGAGAATTTGTGGATCGTGATGGGTCGATTGTTCAGGATGGCAGCTGATTTATCGCCCATGTACACGATCCAGAAAGCTCGACGTCGTAACTCAGCTTCAATCGGTTGCAAGCCCTCAAGCGAAGTTTCGAGGTTTAATTGCATAACTTGCGCAAGTCGCGTTGCTTCTCCAAAAATATGCCACGAGTACTTGGGCTTCCCCGCGGCATGTAAGCAATTAGAGTGAAAATAGCGAATGGTGATTGAGTTGGCATTCGGATTCTCCAACTCGGCCTCAAGGTACTGATTGAGGCATGACCTCGAGGCATTGAGAAAGATATCGGCCACCGATTGACCCTCTGGGAACAAATCCTTCGGCAATAGGAACGCTGCCTCGGCGCAAACAGCAGTGATCAAAGTAAACGTCGTCTCCGGCCAGAGCTCCAAAACCCCTGTACTAAAATTCTCAGAAGGATACTGCCCAAAATACGAAAGCGAGTCCCTCAAACTCGGTTCATGAACCAGCGGCGTAAGCGGGTAGAGGTACTCAAAAAAGAGATCAAAGCATCGCGTAACAAATTGCTGCAGATCGTTCGTAATGAACGCTAGCGCTCGCGATAAATTCTGCCAGCGCTGGTGACTCGTTACATCACCGCTAACCAGCAAAGGCGGCGAGAGTCCGAGATCGACAGTGTTGGTTTCCCATTGTGACGACTGGGGAGGCGGTAATTCCGCTGTGGAACTGGCTGGTTTTCTGGAGCGGATTTTGGGGCCGCGACGGGCGAGGGGGAGGTTGAAGGTGCATTGTGTGCCTGACTCCCTGCAGCTGGTGCAACGCTCGCCCTCTGTAAAGTCGCACTAAAGATTCCGTCAGTGGGTGAGTTTCGCCGATGGGAGAGGGGAGATTTAGAGATTAGTACCTTTGCTTTTCGCCGACGACAGCGGTCACAGGCTCGATTCTTTTGGGCTGGCGTGTTTGGACCCGGAGATTGAGGGGAATCTGGCGTGGGACTGGTCATTGTGTGAGATTGAAGAGGTAAAGAATGGAAGGATTGAGACGGGGAAATGTAGCGGTGAAATAGATTCTGTCGTGAGGTGATTCTCCATTTCCCCGTGAAGATCTATTCCCCTTTTGATGTTGGTGAGCCGACAAGCGGGGTTGAGTCTGGGGAAGGAAACCTTGTTTCTGGGCTCAATACGTACTCAAGTCGGCATTGGTTCATCCAAGATCCTGGAAATGTTGTGCAAGTCTTCATTTCCCATTATATAAAGGCAGCCTTGTCATCTCTTTGTCTCTCCAACCAGCATCGAGACACCAATTGAGCTCGGAGACGACTCATTATCGCATCATGAAGTCCTCGCTAAGCTCTTTTCTGGCTACGCTAGCCCTGTCTTTACCACTGACAGCGGCCTCGCCTCAGTACTCCAACCCCAAAGCCCCATCTTGTCGATTCGGCCTTGAATGGTCACAAAAGGACGTCCTTCAACACACCGACGACTTCATCTGGGATCTTCTCTACTGGGAAGGTAAATTCCATCAAAACGACGTAGCCTACAATAATCAAAATGGCATGTCCTATGATGGAACCCAGCTTGATTGGAAGACTGGCAAGCGCACTAACAAGCATACGTTCAGTGCAGCCAGTAAGGAGGTCAGTCATTCTACGGTCTCGAAGACCGAACCCCTTTACTAACAGTACGATTCAGGCACTGCAAATTATGCTCTACGCCCAGGCTATCTCTGGATCTAAAGAAGCTGCTCGTTTCTTGACCCCAGATAATCTCAAGGCTGCACCAGGCTTCGCTGCGTCAATCATGGAGACGAAGCTTAAGACTTACAGCCAGTTCAACCAGACATATCCTGGTTTCGGTGGCTTTCTCCCTTGGATTAAGACCGACACTACGACCATTTCTCCCCAAGATGGCTGGGATGACCGTGTTCCTGGTCTGGACAATGGGTAAGTAAGCGGACTTCTACTTCCTCGCCTGTACTAACAAGCTGTGTCCAGAGAGCTTATTTGGGCTGTCTATGCCTGCATTGAAGCTCTGCAGAAGCAGTCCAACCCCAAGTTTCACAAGATCGCCGACGGTTGGCAGACCTGGTTCAACTACGTCGCTTCGACTGCCCCTAAAATCTTCTACATCGGCAAAGGAAAGGTCTGTGCTGTCACCGCAATCGGCGACCAGACGCTTCCAGTCAACGACAAGAAGCAATCCTACAAGTGCGAGTCAGAGACTTATCTCGATGACCCTTATGAGGGAGAGCTTTTGACGTACTTCTTCCAATTCTTCACTGATCTGTCCAAGACGGACAAGCAGACACTTTGGGAGTACAAGAGAGCCAAGTTGGAGAAGGCCGAGTATAACAAGGGTGGCGTTGGCCCTATCACTGTTCGCAAAGGCTTTTGGTTCTCTAGTCATGAGATTTGGAACCAGCTTGAGTTGCCATACCACGACGTTGATATTGTCAGGTAAGCATCACCAATAGCATCAGAAACGTCAAGCTGACCTTTTAGCCGCCTCTTCAAAAACGGCGAACGTGCTCGTACCTGCAACTCGGTGGTCACCAAGACCCCTGGTCTCTATGCCTCAGTCAACAACTCTACCGATCCCAAGACAGATGAGATCATCGGATACATCTCACCCGCCGGTATTCCCTCCATTGCCAGCCAAAAGGACCAAGAGCTCGATGTCATCACTCCATATGGTGTCTTCCCTGTTGTATTATTCGACAAGGCTGTTGGCATGGCTTGGTGGAGGAACATGATTGTCGGAAAGAAGATGCAGAGTAAGTCTTACAGATATCACATTAGACTCCAATGATCGCTCACAATCGTGCAACAGATCCTTATGGCAGCACAGAGTCTACCCGCGTTGACGGCAAGGGTGTTTCAGCACTCGTGACCTGGGATAGTAAGGTCACTACTGTACTCTCTCTCATGAATGGTGTTGTGGATCTTGTCCGCGAGCGAATGAAGTCTGATGGTATCTACAACGAGTTCCTGAAGATCACAGATGTGAGTTTTCCTTGATGTATTTCCCATTGCTGTGCTGACAAGTCGTTCATAGCGTGAGCATGTTCGGGTGTTTGGTAATAAGCTCAAGGGCGAGGATATCGAGTTCTGTCTCCCCAAGAATAAGGTTCCCGACGCAGGGCTCAAGGACTTCACAGCTTGTCAAAAGTGAGTAGGCATAATGTATTGATATCAAAGAAGGTCTTTGAATAGATATGGCGATTCTTGTACAAGTAACATCAAAGTAGAATCAGAATGACCTCCAAATATCTTTCTCGCGTCCATGAACCTCTTTTAGAAGCTTAGCTTCTGACCTGCCTGTCCCGGAACCGTCGAAGCAACCTTTCCAGATCCCAGAAGCGTGAACTGGTACGGAATCTTGCTTGAGCTCATTGTCCCCTTCGGAGCCGTGTTTTGACTCTCACCACCGAGAACAACGTCTTCCGCAACAACATATCCAACCTCGGAGCTTGACTCGCTGAAGATGGCCTTCTTTCCAACATTGGTGAACACAGATGATTGGATAAGAGCCTGAGCACCCATGCGGCTGTTGAGACCAGTGTCCATGGTATCATAGTACTGACTATGGGTTGCTTAGTGGCAAGTCAAAGTTGAGGTTATATGTAAACGTACTTGAAGATATGGGCTGTGCCAAAGCGCAGAAGAGGGCCTCGGCTTCTCACGTTATTGAAGTGGTTGTTGGCGTATGTAACACGTAGGGTACCAACGTCTTCAGCCGCGTTCTTGTCGGAGTGTCCTACGAGCGATCCCTTGGACTAATAAATAATTAGAAAGCCTGTTCCAAGATTAGAACGTGAGCTGGAAATGCTTACGTGGTCATGGAAGTAGGTATACGAGATGGTGACCCAGTCAGCAGCATGCGACAGATCGACCAAGCCATCATAGAAGTCCTTGTCGTCGCCTCTCACAGCGGAGAGATCACAATGGTCAACCCAGACATTAGTAGACTTCTGGATAGTGATCGCGTCACCGTAGTCAGCTTCGACCTTGGAGATCTTCATGTTGCGGACAATGACGTTCTTCTGCCCGTTGATAGTCAAGCCAATGCCGGTGAGAGCTGGACAATGCTGTTAGCGCTACATCTGTGAGAGAACATAGTTGACTTACAGCTACCGGTCTTGCCAATGATGGACTTGTTTGAGGTGACTTGGACCTTGGCTGCGCCAGAAATACTACCTTGCACGAAGATGAGAGAAGGTCCGTCTGCTGCGGCTGCAGCGGTGAGCTCCGCGAGCGTCTTCACAGTGACCTGTGCAGCGCTTCCGCCTCCAGTTGTACTATTCGTATCAGAATCATGAGAATAGGCTCCGGGTCAATCAACTCACCCTCCATTCTGAGTGCAGTATCCGATGTTGCACGGGTCATTGGCCGCAGCTCTGGCTTGGAGGCCAGCACCAGGAGCCGCAACAGCAAAGCTTGAGAAAAATAAGATATCAAGAAGTTTCATTTTGAAGAGGAATTCCGGAAGGGCCCAGTAGCTCTCAGCGATGTTGTTGGATGAAAGAACTGTCAAGTTGAGGATATAGTTGCCTTTAAATACAACTTCACATCCAAACAAACCCTCATCGTGATGATCTACAAGCTTCGGACTGCACAGTTACCCCCAATGTACATCTATTCTCCCTTCTAATTGACTATTTCATGAGTCGTTGCGTTTCAGCAATAATAAGTAGGCAGTTGGATAAGCTCCGCTGATTGGTGGAAGATGTCGACGAGATCTTCCGTTTGTCGATGCCTTCCCCCAAAGTCAATGCAAACCACCGACTGCGGTCTGCAGTTTTTGTAACGAGCCTGGAAATAGGCCTACTCTTGTGGTATTTGATGAGCTGCTGGAAGTAGGGACAGTTACATCACTCGGAAGTACTTCCTCCGCGTGCTGAATCGGGGATCTTGTTTGTGGGGTAATGGGGGTTTGACAAGGCTTGGCGTAGTTAAAGGCTGATGAAGCACGAGATTCATAAATTTAGGAGATAGTATCATTTCAGAGCTATCGGATCTATTTGTGGTGCTCGCCTTGCTTGAAGAATATTGTATTTGATAGCTGTTTGGGCTCATGGTCCTTTCATCGAGACGTATTACTGGGTTGGAGCCTGTGATAGCATCAAGGCCCCGGTATATGAACATTTCCTAGGTCAGCAACTACAAATAATGAATTTCTGGCTCATCTTTCTAGACTATATACCATAACTATGGAAAGCCTATTCTACGATGTGAGTCCTTATCCGATTTATCGTTGAGCTCTTATCTAATCTTATCCATCTGACTTGAGACTGATAACCAGGTCTCGGTGTTGCAAGCGGGCTGGCTGGCAATCGACTAGCTCCCTGAACAGGCGAGATCAATCCAGGATGTTTCCTGGTCACGAGATTCGGCATTTTCACATGCTTTTAGGCTTCCATCTGACCACTGACCAAGCTACCATCTGTCGATCATCGCACCGAACAACGCCTTCCAGGCGTTCATCCGGGTGCATCAGCCGACCACTAACGCAGGTCACTCCCATCCATCACATCCATCACCAGCACCCGCTATTGTCCAATCCCCTCCCCTAGAGCCAAGCTCGTAGCGCGCGACTTATCTATCAAGTGGGTGGCTCACGCTTATCGTTGATAGGCTTTCCCCGCAGCCAAGCTCAAGTCCCTTAGGATCTTTTGTTGGCGTGTAATCCCTGTCATGAACGCATCATCACCTTCCCAATTCGAGAATCTCCGAAGATAGTCGAATGCTTAAAAGGTTATTTAACTGGCCAATATACCGCGTCTTGCTCCAGCAGGTTTCTGAGTGGAACTTATCGATACTGATGCTTTTATCAACATATCACGTCGTTCCAATCACTCTCGCTGCTTGCGCTGCGCTTTTGAACTTACCAGCGGTTTTAGCAGCCATGGCGGACCGAAAGGTAAAATATGTGTAATTTGTTGATAGGGCATCTGCTAAGAGAAATCCTCAAGGCTATCATTTATGACTTCGAGAAGTTGGAGGATTATCAACAGAGAAATGAAACCGTCCTCGAGTCAGTACTTCATCATCGTGGATAGACTACCAAGCTAATCACCATACCAGCATCGTCAAAAAAGACACTGGTGTTGATTTCTGGAGGCAGACACGAACGATTCCACCAACTTCCTATCCTCCGTAAGTATGGCACTCCTGTTTGCTGCACCAGATCTAACGGGTTTGATGACAGGCCGATGACTTTGGAGGCTATTGAGAAGCTGAAGGAAGTCAAGGGCGTGATCGTAAAGGATGCTCCTACTGAGGAACTGTAGCTTATTAACTCTTGAGGTGTCTCAGAGAAGAGTCTTTGTTTGGAAGACTGATAAGTGTAGTTATACTTGTCTATAAATTGTGACCTGTTGGCTTTCGGTTGCATCTCTATGGAGAGGTGGACCTGAACATCTCGTTGTGTGTCTAATTGTTTTCCTTTTTCTTTTTCCGTAGCATTGTCCATTTCTCACATCATCAATCAAATATTCAATACTACTAGCTTAAAATCCCTTCATACTCATATACTCAACCGATTGATAGTTATAATGCGGCCCTTCAGGCAACCAACATAGATACTGAGGAAACGATATTCATGCTCGGGTCACTTCACGTACAGATAACGTCCAACTTAATCCATCAGTCAGATTCTAGGTTCTTCATGTTGGTGTAAGCTCTCAGTCATGAGTCTCAATCATCCTGGGTCACTCCGCACAACTCGGAGAATATCAACAAGGTAGGTAGATCCGAGAACATAACAGTCTCTAATCATTTTCCATACTGCTATACGTTTCACTTTGAATCCATCAAAATAAATATTCCATCAAATTTCATATTCAATTTGGGCTATCTAGATTGCTGTGTTACTAGCAACCAGGACTAAGATCCAACTGAAACCAACTCATAGCTTCTTAACTCGCCGGAACCTGTTTGAGAAACAGGTTCCGTATCCAAGACTCAGGCTAGAGAATATCCGAGGAACATCTCGATGCTTCCAACGAGGTGTTTAAGCATAGGTGTCAATGAAAGAACGGAGAGCACCAACACTGGCATAGACACCAGCGTAGTTGGGTCGGGCACATCCGTTGCCCCAAGAGACAGCACCGATGAGAGTGTTGGAGCTGTCGACGATGGGACCGCCGCTGTCACCTTGGCAAGAGTCCTTGCCGCCGGAAGAAACACCAGCACAGAACATCTGGTTGGTGATGGCGGAGGTACCATACTGCTGTCGGCAGGTAGCACGAGAGACGATAGGTACAGTAACCTTCAGAAGGTTGGTGGGAGTAGAGCTGCTGCCCTCAGAGGTAGCGCCCCTAGTTGTGAGTTAGTAGATGGCACCCCAGATGTCAGAGAACGACTTACCAGCCAGCAACTGTGGCAGAAGATCCAGCGACAGGGTCAGAGCCGGAAGCAGCCAGACGAGCATAGCCGATGTTTCCGCTGGCGGCGATGGAAGTAGAGAGCTTCAGAATAGCAAGATCGTTGTTGTTTCCGCGGTAGCTAGGGTGAACTCTGACGGAGGAAAGCGACGAGGTAACACCACCAGAAGTGCGAGACTGTTAGAAACGTTAGTTATGCCGCTCCTATCCCCTCAAAGACTAGATGACTTACAAGACTGCCAGCACGGATCTGGAAACCGCTCTGAGCGTATCCGGAAACGCAGTGGGCAGCAGTCAAGACGGTGTTGGCGTTGAGGAGAGAACCTCCGCACCATGGGCCACCGTTGCGGCTGATGCTGACGATGAAGGGAAACTCGCCAGCGCTGGCAGAAGTGCCACCAACGATGTTGGGGATCTCCTGAGGAGCGGCGGCAGCCAGGGGAGCAACAAGTGCAACGACGGAAGCGAACTTGACCATGGTGAAGAGATAGATATCCAAGAGATGAGAGTTGAAGAGTGAAGAGTGGTTGAGGATAGACTACTTGGAACAGACTATCGTCATGCTTTTATATTCGAGAATCAACATAGCTTTGGATGTTGTTGTGTCTTCTTACCTGCCTCTCTGGTTACTATCCCGCGATAAGCTTGCTTGGTTGTATCTTCGGACTTTGTGAATAGGCGGACCTGCCTTTCTGGTACTAAGCTCCGTTGTTCCGTAGTCTAGTTCGGCATTTAGAAGAAGCATTAACCTTATCATTCTCCCGTGAAAGTGATCGGCATATAAGGCCCTTGGCAGCAGGGGTCAGTATCCCGATGAGGAAAGTCGATAACTCTATCGCCAATAACACTGTGGATATGACGGATAAATTGGACGAAAGGTAAGCACTGGACGAAAACGAGCTTCAAGATGAATGTAATTATGAAGCTGGTAAGAACAGTTAAAGAGCTGATCTACGGCATATCTTTGATCGGCTTATTCTTCCCAAGATCTACGATGAATGCCGAAGGATCATCGCGTCAGCATCCGTATAGACCAACCGGAGTTATTTAGCCCGAGGAATCGCCAAGCATCAAAGCGCATCTGCACTACTACTCTGGGCGGGGTTCACTGCTATAATTCGGTCATGCGCCATCAATCACAATGGCCCAATATTCTGAAACTGGAAACCGTATAGAACTTTTGTAGCCACCACCACGCAATAGCAGCCCTGCGATAACGCACGCGTCAACCTGCATAGGATACAACCTCTGTGGCCAAGTCTGTCACCTAGTTGCCAGATGCACCTATGGCAGCGCTTATGCCAATACCTGTTGCATCCTATTCCATCGCCTACCTTCCAAAGATAGCATCTATCTCCGTCTTATCTTTTCTTGTCGATCCTCCAAGGCCTTCTCGAATGTTGCGGGATATTCTCCCGCTATGCTTTACCAGTTCAGCTTGTAGATCTCTGCGAATAGATGCCTTGATCTAGAGCTGAGGTAGATCACTTTTGGAAGGTACTTTTGATTGGAGAGCGCGTAAATCAAGTTTGGAGGGGTGCTAGACGGACTTTGCATAGTTTGAAAGAGGAAGGACGTGAAGATGGATGAGGTTCATGATCTGATGCTCACCGTATCTTTCAAGGATCGATATGTCGTGTCGGAAGTCTCCACCGTCAAAGGTTGTAAGAATTCGGCACCATGATCAAAGTTCCTCCGAAGGGCTTTTTTGCATGGCTCGCATATGGACTTTCTAAGATTGGGGACAATTGAGGCCCGAGACACTCGTATTACCCAGCAGACTGCTCCGGTACGGATGTGAATCGTGCGATTGGCTCTGTCTGATATTTGTTCGCCTCGTGTTCGATAAACCTTGATTATCCTGAGAAATCATTGCGAACATGATGAGCTTGTCAAAAAAGGCGGCTTGGGTACGCGCTGAATTGGTCGAATCTCATGACCAGAAACCATTATTGGCTGAATGAGTCAAATGCGGAATGTGAAAGCGATGCATAGAGTTGCAGTGAGTGATCAATCGCCTGGAATTAACACGGCTTTGCTGGAACTTTGTTCTAAAACAGCCACTTAATGTTGCGTGACAAGGCGTCAATGCGCTGTGATGAGTTGATGAATCATGCAGCACAATACCTTATAAGCATTTTTCACATGCCAAGCACTCAAAGTATTGACATAGTGTCTGCAAACAGATTGCCATAGTATAATATCCGGCCTATATATTGTAAATAATAGTAATACACCAGGACTCCCAACCCCACAATCGAAGCTGTGCATAATATACAATCTTCAATGATCAACAAATGCCCAAAATGCAAAATATCAATGCAGGGTAGGGAGGAATACGATGTTTGTTGGCAATCCACCAGCGATTACGCCACTAATTTCCCTCGCCAAAAGCTGAGCCCCAAGAGCCAATAATCGTGGCGCCGCCCCTGACAACCCCTGTAAGACTAACGGCCTCAGCTCGAATCGCGCTGGCACTATCGATAAAACCTTTCTAAAAACACTCAACTAACGAGGCGCTTGACATTGTTTGGGAAGACTAGTTATCAATAGCTTCAGAAGGATCTGCGCTAAATAATAATCCCCAGGCCCAACACGAGGTCAATAGGGCAGAATTTGTCAGGGGAAGAGAATGATTAAAGCCAGGCCCCCCCAAATTCTCTTTTCTCCAGGTTGTCGTTTTTTTTATTACCGAAAAAATCACGATTGTCGTAGAGATGGCTCGCCATTTCGTCCGTTCGTTTGTCATTGCTGCGGCGCTCAGCCCCTTCGTTAATGCTGGGCCATGCCGCCCCTCTTCGAGCTCAGTGGCGGTCGTTACGACTATTTCTGAGACCAGTGTCGCGACTGGTTCTGCTACGACCCACACGAAGGAGTCAAGCTTGACTGAGTCTTTGTCTGGTGCCTCAACCGAGACTTCTGTCACTGTTAGTGAGAGTGCCTCAGCCACTGGTACTTCCACTGAGACCAGCCTCACTGTTAGTGAGAACGAATCTACCACCGAGTCGGCTTCCGCGACCTCAACTGAGACCACTCTCGCTACCAGCAAGACGGAGTCTGGTTCCACCAGCGCCGAGCAGTCGACCACCACGGGTTCTGCTATCCCAACTGACATTACCACTACTGCCAGTGAGAGCGACTCATCCACCGGCACCACCCTAGCTGCCACTACCTCGACTGAGTGTACGGAGCCGGAGCCGCCTGTCTATGATGACCCCTTCACTCACTACACCACTGAGGAGGCCGCCGCGACTACATCTGAAGCCGCTACCACCACCGAAGCTGTTAGCATTGTCCCGAGAAACTTCATTCGAAGAGGTCACCCAGAGATATTTGTCAGGGATGCCACCAGTGATGCGGCTCCCGACAACAGTGAGGATGCTACCACTACTACCGCAGATGCTACCTCCACTACCGAGGACGCTACAACAACTACTGGAGAAGCCACTACTTCCGGGGAAGTCACCACCTCCGGAGAAGCCACTTCTACTGGCGAGACGACTGCCACTTCTGAAGACACCACTGCCACCACTGAAGGTCCTACCACCACAACAGAAGAGGCTACCACTACTACTGAGGAGACTACCACTGCTTCCGAGACTGCTACCGGTTGCATTAACAACATGGAGAGACCAACACCTGAGGGTGCCGTCTGCGGATCAAGAGGATGGGTTCAGGGCACTTCCAACGATTGGAGATACTTGGGCGAAGGTCCAAATACCTCTGTTCTCGATTGCTACACGGCCTGCCAGCAAAAGAGTAACTGTGTGACATTCCTTTACGAGAAAAACGCCCAGTGCAGTCTCTATATGGGTACTGTCACTCAGCTCAGCTCCGACCGAACTGCTGTCAAGACATATGAGACGCGCTGCTTCTGCGACACCGGCATTGAGCCAGCTCCGACCTGCTCATACAGTGATCCATTTTCCAACGGCGGTTTCGAGGACGGTACATTGAATCCGTGGGTAGAGGATCCTAACCCTGGTGGCTATGACCCCGTCTACTCCAAAGTCGTTCCTGGCGGCGAGGGTGGTTCGTCGTATCATTTCCAAACCGGCCAGTTCGATTTCGACAAGAGCCTCTGGCTGTACCAAGACATCGAGGCATGCCCTGGTACCACATTTACCTGCAGCTACAGCTGGTGGTGGAATGAGTACTACGCCATCCGGCAAAATGATGGGAGTCATTTGGTTCCGTATGTTCACGTTTATCAAGGTGACACCAACCTGGTTGGGGAAAGGTGGCCTACAGGGAAGGACCAGACCAAGACGTGGGTTCCCGCCGAGTTTACTTTCACAATGCCCAGAAGTGGCTCAACGAGAATTTGGTTTGTTGCTAGCAGTCCCCAGGGTGAATGGATCAACACTAGCGATGACCCTTGTAACCCCAACTGGGTTCACCGACCTAACTGGTTCGCACTGGACTCGGTATCTTGCCGCAGCTAGAAGACAACAGGTAGATTTCTGTTGGGTTCAAGCATGCTAGTTTAGAAATTCTCTGTAAATATGTTTAATACTAATACATTTCCCCGTTTATGCTTGCTCATTCATGTTGATGTTACTCAACCTGCCATGCGGGTATGTTAGTTAGTCTATCTTTGGGCTAAGCCCGTGCTCCTTATACCGTGGCCAAAAGGTATCTCTGATCCAGATAATTATTCATGGAAGTCTGGCAAGTTCCATAGAGTTCCCATCTTGACGGGCTCAGCTGCAAATGAAGGTGCTTTTTATGTTCCCCGAATGGCCGACAAACCCGAGGATTTCGCCGACTTCTGCTCGCCGACTTCTGCTCGCCGACTTCTGCTCGCCGTAATTGGGAATTCTGCAGTGGGCATGAACTGAGTATGGTTGACTGACCCAAAGCGGTTGCGTCGAACTGGGCATCTATCTCGTGCGATTGGTTCGCGAGAAGGGTCGACGTATAAGACTAAAATCGACTTGTCCTTTAGGGACTGGCTTCATTGGGGACTGGCTCTCTCGCCTTGTGCGTCTCCATTGCTATCTTTATGGCTTTAAGCGCCACCTACAGCTAGGCTGGAGAGAGTAACAGGGCTAGAGCAAGAGCAAGTATCGCCTTCATCTTCATTCACTCCAGGACATTTGCCATCTTCTTCGGTAAAATCTACGTCGTTCCGTCAGAGCTATTTCCAACATTCTTTCGATCAAGCGGCATGGCCTCTGGTTCTATGCTCTCATCATCGCTTGTATCACTGATACCGCTATCTTGTAATTCTTCTTCCTGCCTGAGACCGGTGGTATGACCTTGGAGGAAATTACAGAGCTCTTTGGTGATACTGTAGCGGTGGATATGTATGCCAATATTGGGAAGCTTGATACTACCAGTGTTGACCATGCTCAAGGCAGCGAGCCTCGGAAGTAGCTAGACCAGTATCTACAATAGGGAAACTGAGCGTTTGCCGAAATCTAAAGGCATTTGATTGATGGTTTTTAGTATAGTTTGAATGAATGACTTTCCGACCCAATTCCGTCCCTGTAATGTTGAATTACTTCGTTCAGCGGCCAAATGAGCGACATACGATCCCCCTTCCTTGTGTTTCTCCCTCCAAGCTCCCTACCCACTACTTCCTCCACGACGACCGATCTTGTATGGAGTAACCGCAAATCCTGGGCAAGCGATAAGTTGTTTCGTCTGCTGTCGCTGGGCAATAGCTACTTACATAGTATGACTGTGGTTTACTAACCATTCCATTCCATGGGAACGCTCGGGTTTAGTCCTGGAGTCGCCGAGTTAGAACCTCAACATCTTCACTTAAGGTGTGAGGCCACGTTCAATTTGATTCAGTTAGGTACAGAGCCCATTCGTCTTCAAACTAAGCCTTCACCGATGTGAATGCGAGCAGAGACTTGAGAGGACATGTCGACATTACTCCACAGTTACTTCAGGATCCCCCCATGTTATCATCCCATGATAAGCGGGGTTTGTCTAAGATGCTCCCCAAGAAGAGATAAGAAGGAGCTCCAATGGCAACCACGTTGACAAAGGGTCTCCTTCTGGCGCCTCTCGTGAAGGCAGCCTAGGCAAACTCCCGTTATCACAGGTCGATGTCACGGGGGAATTCCATCGTAGCTGCGAAGGCACCTATATAGATCAAGTGAGTTAGGTTGTCAAGAGGAAAGAACTTTACCGATCCGAGGAGAGCATGGTCCGTGAGACCAAGATGCTTCATAACTCGAGCGAGAGCATCGCGGCCGCCGTCAATTTCGACAGCCCCGAGAACAGCCTCCACAGCTGTTGCGACCATCCCAGAACTGACCCTAGTAGTTCCTCCATTCATGTTGATGCACTTGTGGAGACCTTCCTCCCTACCAACTCTAGTCAATTTTTCATTGCTGATGAGGTCGCGACGGAGTGTGGTCCAGCAATCTTGACTATCAGCCGGATACGACGCCAGATAGATTGGAACATGATCACTCACACTTTGGCAGTCCTCCCTTGATCCAGAGGCTGCACAAGTAGGCTGCAGCTGCGGCGTCGCCGTAAACAGCAAGTCGATCATTCTTTGGGATCCTCTTGAAAGAACCGTCCATAACGCAGATAGACATGGAGTCGGCGGCTGTGTTCAGTGCTTGGGCGCAGAGAGACTTGGAATTAAACTCGTAAGCGATAATAGACTCGCACTCCCCGACCTTTCGACTGAACCTCGGGCAGGATGTCATGATTGCGGCGGGTTACTCAAGGTTTAATGTTGTGGTGGGATTGTAAAATTGTGAAGTTTGATGAGGAGCGGTGAAGAAGTGTTGAACTGTTTCAGTGTCAGCGATGTCATGGATGAGGGGTACATGCATAGGCGTGCTGTACACGTATCATTGGCTGACCACGGCTGGCTACAGGCCGGTACTGCATTTGTTATTATTTGTTAGGATATACCGCTACATGGCGACCTTGCTCTCTCATCATCAAGTGTTTTCTATCGGTTGTCATTGCGGCGAATGCTAACTCAAGCCATAGGCCAGCATCATTGCTCAGAAGATAGTTCACGCGCAAAGCTCGACGGGCCACTGTCATCGTTTGTGAGAAGCAAAATAAGTGAAGAACAAAGAAGAAGGAGAACAAAGTTAAAACAGCTTTATACTGACTCCATCGTTGACTTGAGTATATGCATCGAGCTAAATGGGTCGGGGTTTATGATTCTCTGTGTTATTAGTTGTAACGAGCCTATGGCATTGCAAATTCTGTCGTTTTACCCAGCACAGTACGTACCAGTCTTCCACTGTATTTGTCAAGAGGAAGGATTGGATAGGTAGGTATCTTGGTCTGAATTAGCATGCCCGAGTCAAAGGCTCACTTAATCTGCCCGCACCCGCTGGTCTTACAAGGAATAACACAAATTCTAAGCTATTACATTCAATCCGTCCGATTGGTTTTGGCGTAAGGAATGTGAGATCTATGCAACTAAGTGTCTTTGTTTCCGACTGATCCGAAGCAGTGGTTTCATAAACAGCACCGGCTATCATCTGCCTGAGCAACCCCCCTAGGGAGGAAAGAAAACCCAGGACCTTGATCCTAAATGACCAAAATATTTAAGGCTAATCTAGGATGTCTTCTATGAGTTTATTTTTGACACCGTATATTCAAGTCTGAGTTTTCTTGCCCCCCGAGGCCCCTCTTCAGCATTTGAAGATGCAAGGCAACTAGGCCAATGGTACCTTAGATCGGACATCTCGGCTACCTCCTGAGTGGCTATGCGGGAACTGTCCATATCAGAGATCAGAAGCGAATGTTTCCGGCGTGAGTCTGTTTCAAGAAGGTCATCAAGTCGGCCCCATACCTCGCTCGCATCGCCACGGCCCTTCACGTTAATGGCACTTCTGGTCTGCGTGAGTGCCAAAACAAGCTTTCTAAGAGCCGGGGATTAAATCGCCAGTCTAGATCGTGTGCCCCAAAGGACCATCTTTTGCAATATTACTGGCTGCCGTGCTGTAATCTGCCTCGGACCATTATTATATGTGGAGATCCCAATGTCTAAGCCTCATGATGATGACTACTATTTTCGATATTGACTTTCGGAACGTGCCGGTAGTCCCAATGCCCTGGTCAAGGGAGACGCTCGGCAGCGATATCCGCTCCGTTTTAGCCGCTTTTTTGCTGAGGAGTATCATGATGCGCTGTTTGGATCTGGACTGTTCGATTTGAGGGCATCGAGAGTCCTGGGGGTGCGGAAGGGCGGTCGTCCGGACTCTAGGGAGGACGCGTCAGCTCATAGCTTCTAGCAACCCACAGCTCTTGAAAATCAATGGCGGTAAATCTCCTGGGATAAGAGAGTGATGATCTACGGACTAAGATTGCTTTGTTTGTATCAAGTATCATTTCCATCATTAGTTGGCTGAGGCCGAGCTTTGGGACTTTTGCTTGTAACGCAAGGTTTCCGTGTTAATTAACCCGTGCAAGGTCTTCTGTCCAGGTACTTGCGAGATGACTTTTTCTTTTGAGTTGCAATAATAGTAGTAACATCATGTTTGCCAATTGGAAGACAAACCTCCTTGATGAAGGTAGTGGTAATAACGGACCAGCACCTTGAAGTTTGGCCAATTTGATTGGACCTCTCGTAACGCGGGCTGGAGCATAGCCCCGTGAGTGGCTTCAATCAAATCTGGGGTAATCCAGGGCGAAAGGGGCATTGCATTGTAAATTGGTCAAAGTATCGAATCGTGAATACGAACAATGCAAGGCAACTCGGTAGTGACGGAACTTTTCTCCACTTATACGCAGTTGACATAAAGGCACAGCTAGCTCTAGTAGTGGCAGTGCTCCATGTTTTTATGACAGCCCTGTCAGCTTCATTGCCGATCAGCCGTACAATCCCAGTGTTTGACTAAGAGGCCGATATCCGAGACGGAAAGTTTCAATATCCATAGTATACATGTGCTTGCAGTTCAATTGAGCTCAGGGAGCTTCTGCATAGGCCAAGAAGTATATAACCTTATGACCTCCCCAGCATCTTGTCGTATCATTCACAAACAAGACAACTATCTCATCGATCCTCTCAACACAAACCAATCACACACACTCAACTACCAACTCAAACCTTCATCATGCTTCTCAACAAGGCTTTCCTCGGCGCCCTCCTCGCCATGGGCACAGTCGCCGCACTCCCCAACCCCGACGCTGAGCCCGCTGATCTCGAGGATCGCAGCATTCTTCACCACTGCGGCGAGCACGCTTCGTGGGATCACGCCAAGAGCGAGTGCGTGTGCCACGACTCTGGCAAGGTCTACACCAAGAAGCACCACAAGTGCAAGTGCCCCAAGGGCGAGAAGTGGCACCACGTTGAGAAGAAGTGCAAGAAATAAACGCCTGCACTAGACGTCCCTACAATCACGACATGTCCACTTCAACATCCATCGCAAAGGAGTTCATATACTCGACAGATTTATATCTCATAGGTGGACAACTAGGTTATACTGGCGATTTGGCATGGCTAGAAGGATCTCGGAAGGGCTGTTGTGTAACTGTACTGTTTATATATCGCATTAAGAAACATATTCCTTTAAATAAGTCCATTTTACCTTTCTTGTCCTATATGGCCCCTTCAATACTTTTTAGGCTGAACAGTAAATGTTTCTCATACTCACGATGCCGAAGAGCCGTGCTATTGCATACGAGAACCGAATATCAGCATCAAAAGCGTCCTAGTGCCATGAAATCATCAAGTCGGTCCGAATAACATACTGATAAAAGATCTCAAGCTTAAGTCGAGAAAGTCTGGGGACCCCAGGTTTTATTTTAATTGCAAGTTCCCATTCTTAAATATCTGACATGAAGATCGTTGCGGCGCATTTCCTTACCGCTCTACTGTCCTCCAGCGTGTTAGCATCAACATGTGTATGTGCCTAGGGGGAAACATAATAAAGTGATGATAGCTGACAGCTCCAGTGTCATCAATTGAAGGGAAGCCTCGGCGATAAAATCAGCTTTCCTGATACAAAGAGCTACAACGCCACGCTGAGTAGCTACTGGTCGAAACAAGAGTCTGCACTTCACCCCAACTGCGTTCTACAGCCTACCACCGCCCACGATGTCGCCGCTGCCCTGAAGATAATTAGCAAACAAAAAGACTGCAAATTCTCAATCAAGGGTCAAGGCCATGCTCCCGCAGCAGGCTTCGCCAACTTCAACGGCGGCGTGACCATTGACATGACAACTCTTTCATCCGTGTCTCTTAACAAAAAGTCAACCATTGTAAGCATCGGCGCAGGTGCAAAGTGGCTCAAAGTTTATCAGCATCTCGACCTCTCAGGCGTACAAGTTGCGGGTGGCCGAAACGGAAATGTCGGCGTCGGAGGCTTGCTCCTTGGGGGAGGAATATCTCACTTCACTACCCAAGTCGGATGGGCTTGTGACAAAGTAGTTAACTATGAGGTTGTTCTCGCCAATGGTACTCTCATTAGCGCAAACAAGAAAGAAAACTCGGATCTATTCCTTGCTCTGAAAGGAGGGGGCAATAACTTCGGCGTTATCACGCGCTTTGACGTTGAGGGGTTTCCGCAGGGCGACATTTCTACGACTAGCATCTCCTACGATATCAGTGAGAGGGACAAGGTGTTCCAGGCCTTTACAGACTTACTTGACTCATCTACATACGATCCTTCAGCATCGTTAGTTACTAGCCTTCTTTACAGCTCCGTTTCCAAAGCGTGGTCATTGTCAGCTTCAGCTGTATACACCAAGCCAGTCTCCCAACCAGAGATCTTCGAGGGTCTTTCGAATGTGCCTCACACGAAGCTAGTTAATAACATCACGACGTTGGCGGAGTTTGCTGACGAGAAGGATACACCGCCATTGTAAGTTCCTATGTTGACCTCGACTGAACGACTCTGACAGACATAGGAACTGGCTTTTTGCGACGTTGACTTTCAAGCCCTCCGCACAAAATATGCAATATATGTTTGAGACCTTCAACAAGACGATCTATTCGTTCAATCCACAGGACGGCGTGACATGGAGTATCGCTTTTGAGCCGTTGGTAGCAGCGATGCTGGATGGTCCCAAGCATACCAATGTCCTTGGCCTCCAGTCCACACATGATGGCTACAGTATGTACCCACTGAACCATCTCATAAACACGTGCTGACAATTATAGTTGTTCTTATCTCAGCGCTATGGCCGAACTTAGCTGTCAGCTCGAACGTTGACGAGACAGCGAAGAAGGTACTGTCAGTATGGGAAGAGGATGCTCGTGCAAAGGGTCTGTTGCAGATGTTCCAGTACCTCAATTACGCTGCCCCATACCAAAGGCCCTTTGAGTCATACGGAGATGACGAGCTGGAGTTTCTCAAGTCGGTTAGCAAGAAGTATGATCCTGCTCAAATCTTGCAGAAGAGAGTGGGTGGCTTCAAGCTGTGAACTCAGTGAGAACGTCTATGGCAGGCAAGAAAACCTAGGACCTTGGCGCTAAGCGATAAGTGTATTTTGGTAAATCTAGCCTAAGCTTAGGTGACTCTTTGCTAAGTTTACTTAAGCATCTTCTCTTCGAGTCTGAAGTTTTCTTACTATCTAAGGAACGCATTACAGCGTCTAACTTGAAAAGGATATCGAGAGTAGTGACAGCACTCGTGATTCAGCGCATCTGAAAAGCACAGGGAAACAGGCTGTCAAAGCTTCCAGGCAAATATTCTAGTGTACATTCGGTGTATCTCATGTATCTCGATCTACTAGGTATCACATCTATACAACATCACATCCTAAACCCTCGACGCCTTCGACCTGAATCCAAACGCACCAAAGAGTATCATGAAAATGTAAGCAATCATCATATACAAACCTTGACCAACAAAACAAACCGCTGCAACAGGGTCGCCAGCGCCTCTCCTAACCGCGCCAAACATCCACTTTGCATCTTTCTTCGCCTCGCCGACAGCCCATGTCAACGGTGACGGCTTAGCAGGTCTCTCCTTGATCTTGGGTCTTGAGCCAGGGAATTCAGCGACGCCTTTCCTCTTGCCCTCGAGATCTTTGAGGGTGAGGGTGTGATTCTCATGCTGGCGGTTGCGCACGCTCTCCTTTGTAAGCATACCACGAATAGTCTCTTTTTCGGAGGCCGTGTTGTGGTTCCACCATTCTTCGACGGCGGTGAACATGTACTTCTGGATGGGTGTCTTGTGGCGAGGGAAGGCGGGATGATGCATGATTGTAAGGATCTGGCGGATTGTTTCTTCTTCATTGCGGAAGGGATCATCCCAGCATTTGACGACCTGTTGCGTTGTCCAGTTTGTAGTGACGGAGGAGACCAGGCCTGCGGGTTGGTTGAGGACGTTGCTGAAGTGATCCTTTGAGATGTCCGAATGGCTAGGATCAGACCCATCGCCATCGAGGTATACCTCAGCAGACGTGGACTTGGCAGCCTCAGCATCGACGCGATCTTTTGCTGCCTTGAGTGCATTGCGCAACTGCATGATAGAGCTCCCAATCATGAGCGACAAGTACTTGAAGACAAGCTGGTCCGTCCATTTGCCCAGCTGCGTGCTCGACTCCTCCGACAGCGGCTCAGCATCATGTTGCTCTGTGCGCTCTTGTATCCATTTCTTGATTCGATCGTGGAGGTAGAAGACAGGTTCGATGGTCTGCCAAAGCTGATTGGCGTCGAGGCTACTCGCGACGGTCGAGGTTTGTTTGTCTTCCTCCGCTTTCTTGAAGAGCACGCCGACGGTCTCGAGCTGTTGGAGAATCGGGTCGTTCGTCTTGGAGGCTAATTTACTAATTGCTTGGATCGCGGCTTTGAGGAGGTCGAAGATGTGCTGAAAGGCGATCTCGCCGAGGTTCAGTTCCTGTTGGCTGTCAGCGTGGACTTGTGAAAGGAGGGAGTCGGCTTGCGCACATTCTCAAGGTTCTCTAGTGAGCCTTTGCACTGGAGAATGGCCATGTCATCGGCTTCACCAAGAATACTGTGGAAGATGTCGAGCATTCCGAAAGTGCCGGTCACGATGGGCGGTACCATGCGACTTCTCCATCGCGGGGTCTTGACGCGACAGGCTTCGCCGACAAAGGCAAAGACGTCATGCTCGCCGAGTTCATGCAGGCAGAGTTCCGTAAAATTGCTATGCGCCGAGAAGTCTTCGAGGGTATGAAGCGCAGCGCCAAGATGAATGAACGCTTCCTTCTTGGACTTTGGGTCCTTATCGCGCCCGAGTCGAATGCACTCGCGTAGCTCTCGCGTGACGTAATCAGCAGATGTATCCCAGCCTTTGCCCGAGTTCGCGATGTAGTTCTTCATGCCCGTCTTGGGGTCAAACTCGAGTTCGCGTGGATCCAAAGGCCCTCTGAGCCTCTCGTCAATCTCCTTGGCATTACTCGGGTATCCCTTGGGGTTGTCGATATGCTCCACGTGAGTGTAACATCCCAAGCGCTCTCGCGTCACCTCAAACTCGTCGGTCGCGAAGCCAAACTCCAAGAACCCCATAATGCTAACAATAGCTCTGAGAACCGGCTCAGGAACATTGTCAAGGCCTGTTGTATCGATGATTTGCGAAAAGTCTCGTAGCCAGTTCCCAAAGTAGATTTGTCGTCGCTCGAGTGTTGAAAATCTGTAGTGCGTTACGAAACTGGCCGGAAGGTACCGAAGAGCTTCGACGATGTCGCCATGACGCCAGACGTAGCCGTTGAATTCGCTAGTGCCTGCTACTTCGCCTGCCCCAAAGGCGGCGACGCGGTCGGCGAACAGGAGGCATACGAAGGCGACGAGGAGAAGTCGTGTTGCCAATGCCATTTCGACGGAATGAGATGTGACGTCATAAATGCATTCAAGATTGACAAAATGGAAGGATCAGCGTCATCGATGTCTTGGTAGGGTTTTGCTTCCGGATTATTTTATCCCCGCGCCGCTTCATGAATCACGAGCATGGATCATAAACTAACGGAAATAAACAGAAACTGCCAGTGATAACATCAATTTTATGTCAGTGATAAAATAAGGCCATTGTCAATTATGCCCTTCATCACAGTCTATAGCTACTTTCTACAGCTTCGCGCTCGCTGATAAAGTGAAGAGATTTCGGCCGTCATTAGATCTGATCACATGGCCCTTCATACCAATCGGCTCGCCATTAGCATTCGCAAGAGTCGTCAACGTATGTTCATCACCATGGTTTGCAATGAATCTATGCCCATTCTCAACCAGCCTTCCAATTACATGACCGAGCTTGGGTGCCCTTCGATCATAGTCCACTGTATAAGTCTGTAATCGCGTTAGATTGATGCAAGTGATCGGGTCACGACACAAACCTCAATTACAGCTTCACCTTGTGCTGTTGGGGTAAACGCCGGACCTTGAGATACATCACCATTGTCAAGAACTTCGCTTTTCACATAATTGGAGGCACTGCGCCGTGGCTGGGCTGATAGACAAAGAGCATATTGCCACGATAGAATGCCTCCGTTGGCAAGTACCAGGCCGTTTTGATGCTTTCGGCTTCGAATGACTCTTGCCATCTCGGCGATTGCCTATCGAGAACCTTTAGAAGATTATCATTAAGAGCACAAGAAAGCTTACGTGAAGGGAATAATTGTTGCCTGCACCGCCGAATGAAGTAAGGCCTCCAAGTAAAGTGATAGGTTTGGCTGGCTTCTGAACCTCGAGACCGACATGCTTACAAGCAAGTTTCGGGACGATGGGAAAGCACCTATGACTATGTAAGTTCCACTTCAATTCTCACTCTACTTTGACTCACGAGTAGAAGTCGAAGCAGTCGATCTCGTTCTTAGTCAGCGCAGCGGATTCGAGAGCCTTGTCAATGGAGTACTCGATAGCTGGGCTTGAGAAGTAGTTGGCTCTCTCCCAAACTAGACGAAGTATCAGTGATAGTCTGATTTGAAGTGAAAGAGTCTACTGACAATGCGAACTGTCGTTTGAGCCAGCCCCGCCAGTGATGTACACCCATCTATCCTGGGGGACACCGAGTTTGGTAGCATATTCGGCAGAAGTGATGATACAAGCCGCCGCCAGATTCACACCGTTGAAGGCGTTCATGAGCAATGGATCTAAATAGTTAGCTGATAGTCAGAGTCCATAGCGACTATATACATACAAGGTGTGCAGATCATGCGATTCTGCTTGGTTATCGTGTTAATAGCATCAACGTCTCGTGGTATTTCGCCTGCTCTCCAACTGATCGGATGATGACAGGCGATCTTGTCGAATTCAGCGTAAAGAACTGCTGATTCATGATGGTTCTCATGGAATGTCTGCTGGTTATGCTTTCTGTATGCGTTTTCATATAGAGGGTATACTTGAATTGGCATTCCAATGGAGTGCGAGGCACCGACATCTTTATCCTATCAGACAGTCTCTAGTTATAGATGTGAGTCGAGGCTCACCTTTCAAGAGTGCAGGGTCACTCGGGCCGTATAACTTTGCATCGGGAGACATCTCAGTCCATCCTGGAGGAGGAAGACGCCCAGCTTTCTGACACGCAAGCACTGGCATTCGTCAGCCAAAGGATCTCCAATTCGGTCTGACCTCAACTTACACGACGCCATCGCCTCTCCTCCTGTAACGATAGCTAAGTTAGTCTCCCCTGCTGCAACTCGTGCAGCTGCTGCGTCGCACAGCAACGCAGGCGTATGACCTCCGTGGCTTGACAGCTCAAGATGTGAAGGCTCAACGCCCAGTTTCTGAGCCAGATGCTTTGGTAGATCATCATATGTCCAGGACCACGGGGGAACAACAGAAATACTATCTACATCTTTGATAACATCGACTGTTGTATCTTTGGCAGCATCGTGGATTGCTGATAAGATAAGCTCTGCTGGTTCAAGGGTATTTTCGATGGTGAAATTCTTTTGGCGGAATTCTCCGACACCGATAATAATTGGGTCTTGAGGCGATGGAGACATGATGTCGATCTTGATTACTGGAAGTTGAAGAAATGATAATTTTGCATTTAATAATTAGTTGGTATGCGCGACAGGTACTGGTCAGTGTTTAATTGCTGTATTCGGAGTTATGAGGGGTATTTTTTGCCTCGGCATCTCGAGGCCTGCCGAGTCTTACTCAGCCAGATCATGAACATGAGGGATCGCCGAAGCAGCTCTCTTCCTCGGCCCATTGTTTATTCTCCGACTGCTCTACAGGTCACTTAAATATTTGTCAGAGAATGACGATTAATTGGGCTACTCTTACAATTTTTCTATGATGATGAAAACAGGACGGGCTTTACACGTTATCGGACCCCCTAAATAGCCGAACGCCGCAAACATCGTATTCCATGACTCAGAAAGGACTTGGCATGATACGATAGCTTCAGAAAGTCTTCATAAGACACAATGTCCCCGCTTGAAGATGATAGACCGATACTAGATTCAGTGCTCGTTCTCTCAGTATGACGCCCAAACTGCCATCACTCATTAAAGTCGACAGCCTCGACATTCATGTCTTGATCAATGATGAGATTGACCAAATCTCACCGAGCCCAAATCCGCGGGTTCAGCATGCCCAATCTTTCGCTGGTGTCCCATTGAGCCCTGTGTCAGACCCCAGTTCTCGAGGAGGAGCTCGGTTGGAAATGCCAATGCGAAATATCTGTTGCGGCGCTCATGGCCTGTCCTTGTTTATCGTAAGATTGTTCTCTCTACTGCTGGTATCGTGTACTGAGCGCTCGGCAGACAGCGAAAAAGGGCAATAAGTCTCACACTCTTCTTTTCGATGCCGGGCCTGAGGAAGACGTTTTCGAGAAAAACGTCCAGAGACTCAAGCTCCCAATGGCTGAGATTGGTACCATTGTGCTTTCGCATTGGCATAGAGATCACTCTGGCGGGCTTCTCTCAGCGATTGGGCTCGCCAGCAGAGGGAGGTCAGACAGCGATCAGGTCATTGTTGCGCTTCCTCCAGATATGCCAGCATTGAGAGGAATTATGTTCGATCAACCTATTTCGCTAGAGCCAGATCCCCCCATAGATGAGATCAATAGTGCTGGTGGCAAGACAGTTGTCTTGAATGAGGCACTCACTGTTCTAGATGACACCTTTCTCATATCCGGCGAGATTCCGCGCCAGACAGAGTATGAAGGTGGTATCCCAGGTGGTGTTCGATATGACCCGGCCAAGGATGAATGGATAAAGGACGAGTTGATCATGGAAGAGCGGTTCGTCATGTGTAAACTCAAAGGTGAGTTCCTCTTATCACCTAACAAACTACCGCATCTAATGTTCATGAAGGCAAGGGCCTGGTCATCTTCACTGGCTGCAGTCACGCTGGCCTCATTAACATTGCCAGACATGCTAAATCCATCGATGACAGCCCTATTTACGCTATTGTCGGCGGATACCACCTCGCAGATGCGTTGCCTGATAAGATGGAGCAGAGCATGAAGGATCTTAAGGATCTCAAGCCAGGTTTGCTGATGCCGGGACATTGTACTGGGTGGAGGTTCAAGGGACTTATTGAAAAGGAAATGCCAGGTCAGATGGCTCCCTTGTTTGGTGGAACAAAGTACACACTGTAAAGCTGACACTGATCATTGATTCTGGTCCGGAGTTTTTACTGGCTACATACCTCAGTCGGGCTTCAGTCGGGATGGTCAATGCTACTCTGGACATGGTGGATAGGTGCAACGGTTCAATGCACACATAACCATTTGGTCGCCTAACGACGTCAATGCATCTTGCCCTCGGTATCATTCAATCTCCGTTTCGGGATGTAACGTCAAGCAGAAACAGGGAAGGGTTCCCCGCAGGTAAAATACCCCATGCGTCGGCGATCGACATAGCTTAACGCAAATTCAAGATGCGCACCTATTAGCAATTGAATCTGTGATCGTATGTTAGCTCCTGAGGTAGCCGCACCTATCATATCGTGACTATGGTGTCATAAGTTTCCATTCTCGTCCCGCCTGCATCTAGGACGCGAAAGTCTTATGGTTAAATGCTTAAAGTACGGATCGAATACGCGCTTCCATGGATAAAGCGAGTATAAGAGCAATGGCTCACGCTGTATTTATGGGTGTTTTCCAGCTTACATCGGTAGCTCTCCCATCGTCATCAATATGACTTCCCTTGTATTTGCCACGCTTCTTGCCAGCGCATATGGCAAGACAGTCAAGTCTCCTACTCCACCAATGGGATGGAACAGCTACAATCACTACAACTGTCGGCCATCTGAGGACATCATCAAAATTAATGCCAAAGGGTTGGTTGATCTTGGTTTCAAGGACCTCGGCTATAGTATCGTCACCGTCGACTGCGGATGGCCTTCGAGAGACCGGGATAGCAAAGGAAGACTTCAATGGAATGAGACTCTCTTCCCGTCGGGTCCTAAAGCCCTTGGAGATTATATCCATGATCTGGGACTAGAATTTGGTCTTTACTCGGGAGCTGGATACTTACAGTGCGGTTCAACCGACATTCCTGCTTCCCTTGGTTTGTCTATCATTCATTCTAGGGAGTTCCAAGTACACTCGGCTGACTGCGATAGACTATGAGGAGATCGATGCTAAGTCGTTCGCGGAGTGGGGAGGCGACACTCTCAAGTAAGGCATTCTGCGATTTCCGTTCTAAACCTACTGACATTCTTCAGATACGACAACTGTTACGCGACATCCAAGACCAATATGGTCGACGCCAGTTCAGCTGAGGCAAAGAGCCCCAACCGCTTCATTAAGATGGCTGCGGCTATCAATCAGACTGACCGCGACATTAAGTATTTCCTCTGCCAATGGGGCATTGGCGAAGATGTTCCTCAATGGTAAGTTGTGACAGCAAATTCCAGTTTCTCTTCTCACAATAATCAGGGCTGCTCCTCTCGGCAACTCATGGCGAATGAGTAACGATATCTTCAATGCCTGGAGAGCAATCTGGCGCATTACAAACCAGGTTGTCGCTCACGCCAAATACAACGGGCCAGGCGCTTTTGCTGACATGGACATGTTAATGTGAGCTACGTTGTCGATCCTCGGTAGCATATGACTGACCACCGTAGTATTGGCCTTGGTGCACTTTCGCACGATGAAGAACGCTTCCACTTCGGCTTCTGGTCTATGATGAAATCTCCTCTCATCATTGGTGGCGTGATGGACGCCAAGCAAATCCCTGCCGAATCTCTCGAGATCATGTCCAACAAAGAAGTCATCGCTATCAATCAAGATCCTTTAGCAGGAGCGGCGAAGCTCGTTATCCGATATACCGAGGAAGAGTGGGATATTTGGGCCGGAAACCTCTCTTCTAACCGCAAAGTCCTCGGCGTTTTGAACTGGAAGAACGAGACTCAAACCGTGAAGGTTGACCTGTCGCTGATTGGTGTTGGCGAGGCAGCGGCTCGAGACGTATGGGCTCACGAGGACCTTAGTATTTCGGGTATCCAGGAATTCAAGCTTGCACCTCATGAGTTACGACAGCTTGTCTTGTCCGACATCAGTCCGGCTTCACCTCCCAAAGCCGCGGGTTACTATCCAGCTCAAGACGCGACTCTCTCAGGTTCCGCTTCTCTCATCAACTGCAAAGACACAGAATGTCTTCCAACTCACAAGAAGGTCGGATCGATCGGCAAAGATGCTAAAGTGACCTTCAAGTCCGTCAGTGCTACCAAGGACGGTTCAGTCTATTTAGGCATCGATTACATCAATCATGAGTACCATCACACGATCGGCGATTGGGAGACAAACTCCCGGAACATGTCAATCTCAGTCAACGGAGAAGATGCAAAGCGATGGGCGTTCCCGAATGCTGGAGGTGATTGGTTCGAGAGCGACCGGCTCACGATCCTTGTTGATGGGTTCAAGAAGGGGGATAGCAACGATGTGACCTTTACTGCGTCCACTTCCGGCAGTTGGGCGCCTGATTTGGTGGGATTTGAGGTCCTGGAGTAGTCGAGAAGACCTCATCAGAACAGCTATGAATCTTGATTCATAGAAAGATCAGGCTATATGGATAACTAAGCCCTGTTTCAGCGATGTTGCATAAATTTATGTCTCACAAGAATATGTTGGGTGGACCAGAAATTCCAAATATCCCCATCATCGCCATCGGGTTTAGCTCCGTTGGCAAAACATCATTTTCAACAGAATACCCTAGAGTTGAGTGTCAAAGTTGAGAAATGGAGCCTTCTACAGGAACAAAGTAACCTAGATTATGATAAGACCTCTGGACGGGAGAATGTCTGAGCTTGGGATGATTCCATGTCACAATTGAATGTGGTCTGCGTAAATACATGATATAGGACGGGCAACAGTCTTGTGTCGAAAACTGCGAATGATAACAACGTTGGAAACTCGATAAGCAAGATCCAACGCCACAAGAATGATGTGAACTACTGTTGGAGAAGAAAACTTTAAAAAAGCCGTTATCCAACTTTTAGTTATTTAAATAACAAAGAATAAACCAATATCTGGAATATGCTGAAATGACCAGACCAAGACACTGTTATGGTTAAGCCCCGGGTAATCATGGAGTGATGCCCACAGCGGCAAACTGACCTTGAATTGTTAAGCGAAAGGACAAACCACCAAAACAAAGCCTGCCAAAAATGCAAAACGAAATCCCCGAAACCTGGATCGAACAAGTGACCTTTCGGTGAGATGTGTTATCAATTACAGCCGAACGCTCTTCCAGCTGAGCTATTCGGGGATTGTTGGTGTAGAGGCGTCGCAAATTGGCCAGATGTCGACAACCGGCATTGCCGATCGTGGTATCCCGGATCCTTGATGCTTGCAACTGTCGTCCGTGTTTCATTTTGAGTGTGACTTGAGAGTGTCAGAAGGACACGTTAGTTGTGAATGGTTTCGATCAACATAATAAGACATTGGTCTCACTACTGTCACGATGCCAATTACAGCAGAGACACAGAATTGAATGCGAAAAGAGGTACGAAATCTAAACGGCAAAAAGCACAACATGGCAAATAAAAATGACAAAAAAAGATATAGCTAGCAGCTATCAGTTTCGATCTGATGACCTCCGGGTTATGAGCCCGGCTACGGGAATCGTTAGTGCATTTCGAAGATGAGAGGATGAAATTACATACCGCGCTTCCACTGCGCCAAGCTGCTTTCTTGCGATGTTTTGCCGAATTATTTTTGCGCTCTATCAAGGGTCTCGTTCCGCATCAATTTGGCTCTACTGTTTTGTTGATTGCGGGGCTCGCTTGGGTTTAACAGTTTGTCAAACTTCATCATTAAACTCGGGTAGAGAGCCGATGTCTGCAAACCTTTAATGGCATCTATGCATGACGCGTGACGATGTCTTCAAGGGTGTTTTCAGCTCGCTTAGCACTGACCATCGTGACAGCTTCTTGAGACGAAACCATGTAACGATCTCATATGCTCGGGCAACTTTCCGAGCAGGGATCATCCACCTGTCAATATCTTTCGGCCGATTCTCTTGAAATGATACCCCCGATACCGTCAACCGGGAAAGATGCACCCGAAAGCCCTGACTAGCCCTTCTCCTTAATCTGACGCGTTCTCCAAGATGTGGATAGTGAGTCAATGCGAGCTCGGAAGTCTATTTGCGGAGGAGACGGGACCCCTTTTTCGGGAGCACGTGGATTTTCTTGTTCAACGGCGCACGGCTGGCCTGGATACGAGTTACCCGATTATTACCGTTTGCGCGTGAGTCAGGACGATCCGAAGTCTCATAATTGCGGGTTCAGTGATCGGGAAATTCCGATGCTGTTAGCCGGACAAAAGAATCCTATAGTTCCTTTTGGCGGACTTTTGTGCAGATTAGAGCGCTGACTCGGAGGCTTTTTATTAGCTTAAATAGTTTGGCTGACAGTTTGGGCTGCATCATCGATTTTGAGTCAGGCCAAGAACATCAAGACAAAAGACCCTTACAAGTAGATGGACGGAAACATCAATTACTTAGGTCGGAAAAGGTGATGCAAAATTCGAGAAATTGAAAATGGAGACAATAAACAAGAAGGACCAAGCTATTATGTATTAGACACGAAAATGAAGTAACTGGTGACATATAGAACCATAATAAATCATCGTCCTCCCTGAGGAACCCCATAAAATGGATCCGAAGCTGAATGTCCAAAGACCAAGGATTATCCGCAACCGCCGTCTACGCCCGTTCCCAGGTGATGGGAGCGAGTCAGTCGAGGCATAAGCGACGACATTACTGAGATCTCGTTGGTAGATCGAGCTCATCCCTGTCTTGGTCTAGTCCCCCATTGAGACTTAGTCTAGAGCGGATTTCATGCCAGGCCCCAGACTCAAAACTTTAGCCAAACTTTAATGGCAAAGCCAAAATGCGTGATTGTCTTTATGGACGGAGCAGACTTGATGGGAGATGAAGGGTCGGGTTAAGGGAGGATCGTCGTGGATCTTTTGTATTGTTCGTGGTTGCAGATGCGCGAGACAATGGGAAGAGATCATCGATTTGCGAGGGTTGACGAGGCTCAGCCACATGTTCCAGACTGAGATACATACCAGCTGATCATGAATCGAACATGGAAGCCTCCAGCCCTCTTCCCCGGCAATATTCTTCTTCCCCAGTGACGGTAGTGGGAACATCCTTCGTGTGTCAAACCTCAGCCCACCCCAGCCAAGCCTAACCACACGCAGACTGGGCAAGGAACACAGACGGTTTACCAGAAAACGCCATCTCCATGGTCCCCTGCCTCCAGTCCCTTTTGGACTCTGCCACGCTCTGCGCACACACATAAGATCAGCGCGACTGTCTCTCCCCCTCCTTGCGCTGTCGCAGTTTGTCTCGCAAGTCTCGTTTCTTGGCAGGCTGACTCGAACGACCATGGATTACTTCGAGGTATGCTGGTCGATCTTCAGCACCATCTGTCTCGTCAATGTTGTTTTCGGTATCTTGGTCTGTGAGATTACTACGTTTACTGTTTTAGCTGCGGTGCCGATCTTTTCGTCTGCGGCGGGGGCTATTGCGAATGGGCTTTGCTATTATGTTTACTACCTGAAGAATCCTGTCATCAACGAGGTGGTAGCTGCTGTGTTCTCAGACTTCTTCTGGCTGGTATGATACCTTCTCGATCAATTGAAGGTGAATGTTACTGACCGGATCAATAGCTACAAGAAGCCAGTCTGTTGCTGTACAGTTATATCATCCTCCAACGAGTTCTCCGACCGAAGCAATGGCGCGTCTTTTCCATTCTGTTCTGGACTCTTATGGTCTTGACGGCGATCACTCGAGTTTTTATCGCAATCTACCGTGCCAAGTTCTTGATTGAGGGTGTCGCTCGGTTCGAAGTTATCATCAATTATCTGCACATTGGCTACTTCACCTTCATGGCCATCTCCGAATGTCTCAGCGCCTATTTCCTTGTCGTCATCTTCGCCTCAGCCAAGACCGCCAGTATGAGCGCTGCTCTCAAAGTTGGACTTCTACGATATTTGACACGTAGCACCGAAATGCGCGTCGCTTTCTTGGCTGTACTGGGAGTCGTACGAACTATCATTCATCCATTCCAAACTCCTGGTCAGAAGGCTGTCAACATCGCCAGTCAATTGGATCGCTTCTTATATTGCCTGTTCTGTTTATATCCAATTGTTCTATAGTAAGTCTTGCCTCATCTCATCTGCGATAAAGCTAACCAGGTGCAGCTTCGACACCCTTGCCTCCAAGCTCCGCTTCAACGAAGACCGATCGATATATACCCATAGCGACCAAGCTGCTGCTGGTAATCGCTACGGCTTGAGCACCCAAACAAGATGCTACACGACAACAAAGTCCAATTACGCCTCGAAGATGTACGGGGCCGATACCCCGGGAGATAGGAATGCTTCACAAGAGCAGATCGTCCCAGCCAATGGATCCACTCGCTCCGGGGTTTCGGAGGTTGAGATGGAAGACATGGATGTTGAGGGATTCGTTATCAGGAAGACGACTGAGGTTACAGTCACATGATTGTTTCGTCGCATATATCACGCCGAACAATATCATAGATCTCATAATACTTAATTGTGCAAACAATTCTCCCTTGCAAGATTTCAGAAGTGACAGCGATGGATAGCGTAGACGAGGCAAGAAAGCGAGAACCTATGTCCCAAAAGAAGAAATGATATAGGCGACTTTCATGTAGTATGGTGTATATTTAAAATAACTAAGAGGGTTCGTAAAATGAATCCAGCTACCTCCGATGTCGTTCAAAGCCAGGTGCTCAACTTCAAGACCGACACATACGCCCATCATTTGCAATGATCCAAGCCTCACTACCGACAGCAACCGTTGAATAGAAGATATGCTCAGGATCGTACTTCTTTTTTATCCTCAGCAGCTTATTATAATTGACCCCGTAGAAAGTCTCTTGCCAATCTCGTTGTTGAAAGTCTGCTTCGTTGATGTACGCACCGGCACCAGGTGTCGCAGCCTCAATCACTGATTGAATATCCTGAGTAATCCTCCTCTGAGTAGCCAGCATTTCCTCCCATGGGACCTCATTATCCCAGGGAAGTGTCAAAGAAACCTGCACAATGGAATCTCGCCACTGGGGTAGTACTGAGTTGGCATTGCTGCCCCCGAATCTGGATACGTTGAGACCGACGCCAATATAAATGACTCCCATCTCAGCGAGCTTCCGAGCCGTTGTAGAGAAGTCTTTCAGATTGTTGCGTGGTAGTAAACGACCCCCGAAGAGTTGTGTTCCTACTTGAATATTGCCTGCTGGGAGGGGACCCCAGTAGTGATCGTAATGCTCGTAGTAACTTGGGAAGTGCGTGAAATTCGGATCGAACTTAATACCAAGATCAGTCAAAGAATCAGCGAGGGGCTGAAGGATCTGTTTGACCTCGGCCTCGGTCTTGTCGTACGCCGTCAGAGCGGGAATCTGAAGGAATGAGTCCGAGAAGAAGTAGATGACCATGACCCCAGAGTCAACGATCTTGGGTAGAGCAGCATGAAATGCGTCGATGGCCTTATATATGAGCTCTGACCTTCCCTCAGGTGCAGTGACAAGAAACTTGGCTCTACTGACTTGAGCTTCTGGATGAGCCCTTACGGTAGCTGAGATAACGACACCATAGTTACCCGTGCCACCTCCACTCAAAGCCCAATATAAGTCGCTATTTTCACATCTGCTCGCTTTAATAAGCTTTCTATTGGCGGTAACGACCTCGAATTCGAGGGTGTTATCTGCTGCTAGGCCGAAATTGGTACTTAGAGCTGAATGGCCGCCGCCTTGAGTATATCCCCCTGCAAGACCAACGGAAGGACATTCTCCCGTAACGACAACTAGATTCTCGGCATGGGCAGCTGCCAGAGCTTCAAACCCTTGGACCCCGGCGCCTACTTTGAGAGCTTTCCCTTGACACTGATCGTCCTTCCAATCGATGACTTCGTCGCCCTTTAGGTAGTGAGTCCAAACAGCAAGGGATCCTGCCCCGGTTGAGCGGCCGAGGTAGTCATGACCTGTGTTACGGATAACAAAGCGTAAATTCTTCTCTTTGGCGAAGTTTAGAGTAGCTGCGACGTCTTCTGCAGATGTGGCATTGACGGCATATGTGACGTAGTTGCCCAGCGTACATGGCTTTTCCCTGGGCTGGAATGGGTCGCAAGACTGATTGGCGAACAGAGGAGCCATCATGGAAGAGGACGATTCTGAACTTGCATATGTTAGCAGGCAATATGATGCATAGAAGCAGATTGTAACAATGCATGGGAATGACTGGATCCGGACTCACTGAACTGACGAATACAGCCATTCGCTTTGAAGGCGTTGACACTCTTCAGCATCGTAATTCGGATCATGGCATGAACTTCCCAGCGGAACGGTAGCTACCAATCGGCCACCAACCGTACTGTTGAGGTGATTCCAGTCATCACCAGGGCCAACAAGAGTCACCAGGAAAGCATTTGCAATCAGCTGCTGTGGCGTTACAGCCAGCAGCACCGAGCAGCAGAATCGGAACGAGGAGGCTGCGCATTGTTTCTAGCGACGTCCAATGGTGAAAGATCTCTGATAGACTCAATAGGCGGTAAGAATGCATGAAGTGACTGTCTTACTTAGATTTTCACCCTTCCCCGCAAATGTGCTTTTGCTTCTTTTGCTGCCCCTGTCAGCCAAGCATGTTGAGGTGGAGAACTATGTTGGTGTTACTGGATAAGGATATCTCTGCATTGAAGATCCTGACAGCTTTATCGCAGACAGAGGGAAAGATCGACAGCTGCTTATAGTATGAATGAAATTACAGTATCTATGATAATCTAAAAGGGAGAAGCAACCTTCTAAAATCTAGAGTACAGGCAAGATATGTCAAGTTGCGTCAGTGAGAGCTAAGCACATCTTCAGAACTTAACCCTCAACCGCAGCTATACCTTCGTCATCTCGGACCAACTTGGCTTGATTATAGGCTTCGTCATCTGTTGGTAATTGCAGGTTGACAGCTGCGATCCGAGCTGCGCTGACCTCCAACTCACCATCGCCTTCCAATGCTAGCACATGACCACCCGAGTCTCTAGTGGCTGCTAGGAAGTGAAGGTGGTCGCCTGCGACGCTGATGCCCTGCATGAAAGCTGGTGATCTGAACCCGATGATTGTACCCTTGATGTTGTGGAACGTATGCGAAGCCTGGCGCTTTCCAAGCTCGGCAAGACTCTCGCCTGGTGACTGTTGTCCCCCGACAGTCCGTACAGTGACTGACTTGAATGTGCCTTCGATTCTGTTGACCAGATAGTGATTGTTTGTCGCAGGAAGAAGCTGAGACAGAGTTTCGGTGAAGGAATCCTTGCTCGGTATTTGTTTCGAAGCAGTAACAGTCGGTTTAAAATCCGTGATCATCGCAAAAGGCGCCGTTTGCTCAGCGCATGCATTTTTATCCAGCGCTACAACAGAACCATCAGGTTTCATATCATAAATAACCCCATCAAGAATGATCATTTCGCCAACCATGTGTCGAAAGGTGCCCAGGCCATGATCGCCATGTGTGAGAAGTTCCGAAAGGGTGATTCCTGTCTCGGCGACGCCATCCATGAGGGCTGAGACAACGGAATATTGGAAGAGATGATTGGACGGCATTTTGGTGGGTGATGTGAGATGTGAGATGGTGTTGCGTGAGTGAGAGGCACAGCTTGTCCTTGGTTGAGAAAGTTGCACGAATGCGGGGTCTGAAAAGTCCAATCAAGTGACGACTTCTGGATCAAGACGTCATTAGAAATGAGGGAGGTTAGCTCAATTAACAAGAGATGACAATGCAATGTCCCTTGAGAAACCAGATGGAATCGGATTTATAGTCAAGAAAATGAAGCGCAAATCAGAAATAATCTGTTCAACTTTGAATGGGCCCATCTAACTAGCAGCCTGAAATGGCAGAGACTGCAAGAACACCCTTTGTTCAAGCAATGCAGCAGCCGCAGGCTTTACCAGACCAAGCTGGGAGGTTTCAGCTGCTTACTGGTTTCAGGCTAGTGCTCTCGTATTCTGATAGCCTACTTTCCATCTCTGTAGAGCCAAACAGTGACGGTAATTGCCGATTTCCTGGCCAAATCTGGCGATCTCTATATCAACCTTACAGGAGGCTTCCTGGTGAAAGATTGGCCCTTTTACGATTGACACTCAGTATCTGCGTTACATGACACACCGAACGCAAGGGCGACCTGCCCGTGACACGGCAAGAAGCGGTATCGTGGCTGCTAAGTTGCGGGTTGCCGGGCGGGCCGACTAGCTCATGCATCTAGTTAGTGGCACGCTGAGCCGTTTCCCAGCCAAACGTCGACGGTTCAGCTCGCCACAATATGCGCGAGTCTCAATATTGTTGCGCCAAAGTGAGGGGAAACCAGTGGGTGGAATGTGATATGCTTACTTTTGTGAGACTGCAACTGTGTCGAGAGGGGGAGTTCTGCTGGCTGGCCATGGGTATAAAAAGAGATGGCTTGCTTAATCAAAGCCACTACCCCCTTGTCCTTCGATTTCGACAGTCTTTGAAGCTTAATCGCTATCTTTTTGCTCAGATAAATACTTAAGATTCAACTTATCACTTAGTGAAAATGGCTAAACGTGCTGAGCATCTGCCGGCGATGCCGCCCCAGGACCCTTCATTACAGGTCCCAAGCGGTCTGCGGGTTGCTTACGCCAAGCATCTTCTTGACAAACATCTCCGCAGCCTGCGATTTGAACTGAACGATGGTGTCAGTCGCAATGAACCTCTTCCCGCTATAGGCCATGCACCATATCACGGACATGAAGATCCCTTGGAGCATCTCTCAGAGTACAAGGGTCGCGTTGCCATCGTTGGCGCTGGTGCCACTGGCTTGTACCTTGCAATGATGCTCAAGTACCTCAAGATCTCCAATGTGGATATCTATGAGGCTTCGGATAGGATTGGTGGTCGGGTATACACGTATGACTTTGATAAGGAAAAAGCATCCCCTCATAACTACTACGACATTGGGGCCATGCGTATTCCGGAGATCGATGCCATGCAATCGTTAGTTCGCCAGTCTCTCGAGTTGACCAATAAGCTAAATTATCACAGGACACTTACTCTCATCGAGGAGCTGAAGCTTCCCAAAACGAAATATGTCCTCGACGCTGGTTGCGAGCCTCAGATGCATTGGTACTCCAATACCGAATCGCCCGAGTAAAGAGACCCCCCTCTCCCTTCGAGCTGAAGAATACTGACCTTCAATAGCGGTAAACCATACGATGAGCGAATGAACGAGATCATAAAGGGTCTTGGTTCAAATTGGGACGAGAAGTTTGAGGAATGGGTCAAAACTGGCAAGGACAACCATTCTACCAGAGGCTGGCTCATGTTCACCGACCCGAAGTAGGTACCTTGCTGAATGGCTTTCGCAACCGCTAACATGCCTTCAAAGATGGTCCTATGACCAGACTGAAGAAGCCGAGTCTGCTTCTACGTAAGTCAACCACCCGTGATCTAGTGAGACCATCTAATAATAACACCATATAGCTCTACCGGTCTATTCGAGCAGTCATTCGTTGAATCTCTATGCGACTTCAGCGATTTCCAGGCCACAGCTGGTAAGCCTTGGTGGCGTCTTGAGGGCGGCATGACAGTCGTCACCGAGAAGATGAACAAATGCATCGAGGACCCTAAGTGGGCGCCTCACAACCCCGTCTCTCTGAAGGTCACCAAGAACACGCCTGTTGTAGCCATGTCAGAGAACCATCAAGAGAATAAAATCGAAGTGACTATCAACGGGGCTGAGGGAATCAAGACAGAGGCATACGACATGGTCTTCAACACGACAGCCATGGGTCCTCTCCAGCGCATGGACATCTCGGGCCTCGTCCCCGGTTTTGGTCTACCTCAGACTCAGAGGAAGATTCTCACTGGTATTCGGGCTCTCAGCTATGATCGATCCTGCAAGGTCGCTGTCAAGTTCAAGAGTCGTTGGTGGAAGAACATGTACAAAGCTTCCACGAACGGTAGCACCTTTGGAGGAGTATCGGGCTCTGATCTGCCTAGCAGCAACATCGTTTACCCATCTTGGGACGATGGCGATGATACATCTGCTGTGCTTATGACGTCTTATACCTGGGCTCAGGATGCTACGCGAATGGGAGCTCTGATTCCTGATTACACAAAGCAGAAGCCGCATATCGACGATGCTGTCGTTACCCAGTGCTTCCAAGATCTCGTCAAGCTTTGGGGACAGAGTGAGGATCCCAAGATTACCGTTGACTTCCTGAGAGGCGAGTATCTCGAGCACCACGCTTTCGCCTGGTCTCACGATCCCTACACCGGCGGCGCATTCGCTCTTTTCGGCCCCGGTCAGTTTAGTTACATCTACCCAGAGTTCCAGCAGCTCCTCTGCGATGGAAAGTTTGCTATCTGCGGCGAGGCTCTTAGTCCTCATCACGCGTGGATTTCTGGATCCTTGGATAGCGGATATCTTACCTTGCTGAGATGGCTAGTCCATCTTGAGGATAACGATAGAGCTGATGCATTGAAGAAAGCATGGTTTGGACGTGGAAAAGGTGAACATACTGCTGAGTATGATGGGAAATTGATGAGATGGACTGTTGAGTTGAGCCAGCAGGCGGCTAAGAGAACTCGAAAGAAGCACTACTGAGACTGTTGAGTGGCCTGGCTTCATGGAAGCTTCCTCGTATAACGCTACTGTTTTCAACGAGCCACGCGAGCTCAGATGGAACAAAACGAAGGCGGAGAAAGTCGCGTATGTCGGTTGCACCGAATTTGAAGTTCCCTTACGCAGTTGAATTTACTTGAATCAGAAGCAATAAAATCCAAAGTATCGTGTTCGTCCATAGTCGCTTCGGCGCACGTGTTCGCCATCTCCTTTGGTTAGTGACATCTTATAGCGGCCGAGTTCTACCTGCATCCGATCTGTATCGGCATTTCACTTCCTACTTAAAACTTCTGACCATGTCAGTTTGCCCGAAGGCATCTTTGCAGCCTAAAACCACTTGAAGAATGTCGCCTGGAATTCTTGGCCGCATCGGGATTGGATCTTGGCTTGACACATTCCTCACGCCCCATGGCCCGTCCCGATATGAGTGTGCAATGTACAACGTATGGGACACGAAAGAAACAGTAATTATTGGTGAAATGAAAGAAAGGCATCACAGGATAGATATAGGACAACTTTAGCATTTTCTTTACACAGCTGATGCCCCGTGATTCGCTGTTGTGTATGATTCAAGAAAAGGCCATCAACAGCATCAACGGCACCAGTGCGTTAGTTTCGGTTGCTAGGCTCTAGACTAATCGAAGCCAGCCAAAATTGGATCTTGGGTCTCTAATCGGCCCAGTCTAGTCCGTTCCTCTATGCTGGAATGGGCTGGAACGCCTTTGCGTAACAGAACGACTTTTGAAAAGGTGCCACAAGTGGCAAGCCAGATCGTACATAAAACTGCGGGAAGCGCAATCATGACTATATAATAATAACGTCGCAGAGAAACCGAGATTTAGGAAGCAGAGGTCTTTGCTTGTCTACACCATCAACGCATCCAAAGATTAGGCCATGAAGCTGACTACCATCTTCCAATCTGCAGCGCTTGTCGCAGCCTCTCTTACCGAGCTGTCACAAGCCCAGGCCTTCACCCCCCGTGGTTTCACGACACCCAAGCGCAAAGAGCTATGGCAGCCAGAAGTCGGTACGCCATGGCAGATCATCCTTTCCGAGGTCGTCAAAGTCCCCAAAGCAGGTGTTAGCTCTATGACGCCTGATGTTCCCATCTGGGATATGGATCTCTTCGAGACCTCTAAGAGCACGATCACCGCTATGCAGAAGGGAGGAAAGAAAATTATTTGTTACTTCAGCGCAGGTTCGTGGGAGAACTGGCGTAAAGACAAAGATAGCTTTCCAAAGAAAGATCTCGGTAAAGTCATGGATGGCTGGCCTGATGAGAGATGGGTGAATATCAGCAGTGCTGCTGTGCGAGCTATCATGGCGCAACGGATCAAGCTGGCGGCTGAGAAAGGATGTGATGCTATTGATCCTGATAACATGGATGGATACGTGAGTAACCGACGCAGAGCTTAGAGCATTCTACTGACCATCAGCACAGCAAAACGACAACGGTCTCGGCCTCACTGAAAAAGACACCATTTCATATGTCAAGTTCCTCTCTGCAGAGGCAGCCAAGTACAACATGGTCATGGGTATGAAGAACGGCGGAGACGTCACGGAAGAGGTTCTTCCACACGTTGCCTTCTGTATCAACGAGTCTTGCATCCAATATTCGGAGTGCGACTTGTATCAGCCCTACATTGACGCAGGAAAGCCAGTCTTCAACATTGAGTACCCTAAGGGTGCACCAAAGGTGAAGGCTAAGGACAAGCAAAAGATTTGCTCTACTAGTGGTGCGGCGGAAGGATCAGATGATTTCAGCAAGGTTATCAAAAAGATGAATCTGGATAAATGGGTCATGTATTGTTAAGGATTATGGATGTTTATTCACGTGAGTACGCAGCACTAGCAGGTTGGCTCATGCGTTTCTTTTTAATTCAAGTTCATCTTTTGTATCATAAATCATGACAGGTCTTCCCGAAAGAAAGCATTTGAATGACCTCTCGGTGGCATGTAGACATACAATAGGGAGTCTAAAAATGGACAAGCAGAAGGAGAGGAAGTCATAGTATGTATTTTAATGTCGTCAAGACAGATGATAACTATATACGTGTAACATATGGCCCAGAAGCCAGAATTGAATGGCACGAGAGCTTAGTTAGTGCCGCTGCATCCAACAAAGTTGTTGCCGGAAGCACCAGTGTGAGTAATGGCACCAGCATACTGGCAGCTGGTGTTGATGACAACACGGTCAGCACCGGGAGAGCCTAAAACGTGTCAGAAAAAACCTTGAATCGTTGCTGTTTCTCAACTTACCACCAGTGTAAACGCCACCGCTCTTGATGGGGAATTCCTGGTAGGGACCATTGACAGGGAAGTCGAAGCCCTCGTAGTTGTTGTAAGTGTGAGGATAGGTAGAGCTGCCAGCAGTGTCGTCGTTCTGGTAGTACTGGCAAGCAGCATTGGCGGCAGCGCGGACTTGAGCGGCGGAGTAGTTGGTGTTGCCGCAGGTAGTGGCGGACTGACGCTTCTCAATGGGGCCGGCGACAGCCAGGCTGACAAGAGCAGCCAGAGAAGCGATAGACTAAGAGCTGGTCAGCATTGAAGAACTTGATTGGATGTGCTTTTGGAGGTATGGTGTACCTTGAAGAAGAGCATCTTGTCAATGAGTTTACAACAACTAACGATGGATGAGAGCGTGTAGGAGTAGTTACATCATTGATAGAGTCCTTTCCCAGATTATATAGTTGATGATCACTATGTCCTGTGTATGCTCGGAACACCAAACATATCAGTCCATCGAAACCTCGGTGTCCCAAAAGATGTAGATCTTCAGAGAGAGAGGCAGGTGGATGAACGCATGAGTGCGATTGGCCGCATAATTGACTAAGTTTCGAGATAGTATCACCACCTGCTTAATTCGGATGTAGGTCCGGTAGATGGGCAGATGTAGCTGGGCGTAGTCTGGCCAGTCACATCAAAATCCCGCACCGAGAGCGGGTCGTGATCGGCATATAATTGTCTCAGCCAGCGCCCATGTGTTGCTCTTATCGCAACCATTGGAGCCCTTTTGTATTTCATCCTCGGAAATCGGATGTGATACGCCGTGTTAGCGCCAATCGTCTATCTTGTAATTCCGCTTCCTGTCGCAATCCCTTCATCTTTTTCATGCTCTCTCTCCTTCGCTTCTCATCTCTCTCATTCATCTCCGCACGGAAAATGACCGACCTCATCAAATTGCTGAGCGACAGCTCCGTGTCGGCTCAACAAGCTGCTGAAAAGCTCGCGAGCCCTTGTCTGGAGGCTATCAAGAAGAATGAAGACGCTGCAAAGATTGAGGGGCAGTTTGACAGTCTTTGGTCTTCGGTGCTCTCCGCTGCCGAGCAGACCCCCCACGACAAGCAAGGGAAGCTAGTGGAAACCTTGCATGCGATAAAGAGCCTTCGGCCATCTGCAGAGACAGCCAAGAAGGTTGTTGTTTGGGGTGAGGAGAAGCGCTGGGATGAGCTACCCATGTTTGGGGGTAAGGCACGCGAGCAGCTCGACATCGGTAAGCTCCGCTCTCCGACAATCTCAAAGATATACTGACTCTGATAAGCAAAAGAAAAGTCGGATGAAGCCTTCGTCAATATCACGGGCTTCTTTGCGCGCGCAACTGCTGCTGGGGTCGATGACCTTAGCCTCTTCGCTATTTGGACCTTGCGCGAGGCGCTTGAGGACCCTGCCGCTGATAAGATCTCAGAGGCGTCGCCCAAGCTACTGAAGTCTTCTTCTGTCTGGTTCATCTATGCAGCCGATGCTCTTGCTAAGGCAAGCAAGGATGGGAAGCAGTTTGACGGCAAAGTCGCCAAACCGGGTGCTAGCTTGGCGGAGTTTAAGGACGAAGCCGGATGGAGGGGCTTCAACAGTGATAGATGGAAGGTCTGGCTGGATCGATTCTCGACCTTGAAAGAAGCCGACCTCCCTCATGACTCTAAGTCTTTGGTGAACCAGGCGTCGGATAGTCTCACTAAAGTCTAAGAAATCGGCCATCAATCAAGTATTGCCATCCCCAATATTCCGCTGTGCATTTTCTCAGGTCGCCCCTCTGACTGATGATCATGGCATGCGATCATTGCTCATTCGCATCTGCTTTGTCGACGTCTACACCATGTGCTGGGTATATGATGATTTAATTGACGACAGTTCTCATTTTGGCCTCTCCTACAAGCCTTTCAAGGGTTCGATAGTTGGAAATATAGCAAAACAAGGACCATCGTCGAAAAACGCGCAAATGCTCACATCCTCATCTGTTGTCATTGATTCTGCCTTGCTGTGATTAAAAGGATATTACTGGCTGGAAGGCCTCAACCCCAGCACTTTCAACCAACAGCCTGATTTTGCACAGCCTTATGCTGCAGCCCCAATGCAGCTCAGCCGCAATGGGTAATTTCCCCTCAATCAGTCGCCTTGTCTGACAATCATCATTCACCACGAACTAATGACATCTCAGTAAACTTATCGTCATGGCGCTCTCTTTGCGAGATAGCGCTCGTCTCAAGCCCGATATTCGTCTTGCTCAAGCGGTATCCGAGTTCGAAGCAATTCTGACCTCTGAGCAAAAAATTGCGTTTAGAGCCTCGCGATCTTCAGCTGCCACCACAGCCCCGACTATGTCTGATGTGATGCGTCTTACCGCTGAGATAGACTTGAAGGCCACGTCCCAGCATGGACGCGGAAGGTGTTTTGGTCCACGAATGACGAATCTTCTTCAAGCTATCCAGCAGTTCGCTGCGCTAGGTGACGTCGTTGTTGGAGGTTCGCAAAATCTCATTGCATGCGGTGTTTGGGCTGCTGCAAGAATGACCGTTCACGTAAGCGCATCCGAAACCACATTCATCATGACTTTCCCATCGGTATTAATCAAATAATGGGTAGGTCATAACCGGATACTTCACCTATCTAGAGAAGCTTTCTTTTTTATTCATGGCTGTCGGTCGAAACGCCCCACGCTATCAGGCTATGGCCGCAATCTATCCCAAATCCAAGAACCTCCAGCGTTATCTGTGTGAATACTTCATTATTGTTACCAGACTATGCTTTCAGTCAATTTCATGGACACGCAAGTCCGCCTTTAGCCGACTGTCAACATCTATCAGCGATCCAGATATGAAAGAGTTCCAGTCGGAACTTGACATATGGTCATCATCGATAAAGGAAGAGGCCAATCTCTTACTCAATCAGAAGATAGACGAGGAAGCCAAGGAAAATACCAAATTCCGCAAACTCACAACATTTCTGTCTGAGTCTTCGTCACATCAGCGGAGAATCAAGATCTGTGCTCGGTTTCTACAGGCATGCTCACAGTACGACTATCGGACCACATGGAAGCAAACGAGAAAATCCGGAACTACACGTCTCTTGGAATCCTTCTCTGAGTATCAAAGGTGGAAGTTTAACCAGTCCAGCTATGACTCGGTACTATTCTGTGGCAAGCTAGGAGCTGGCAAGTCAGTCCTTTTGGCTAATGTCGTTGACGATTTAAATCTTCAGAATAATGCGATCGTTCTCTATTTCTTTGCTCGTTATGACAGACATGATGGCCTAAATGCTAGGATAATACTTGGATGTCTTATTAGGCAGCTTTTGGAACACTTCGTCGCGAACAGGGACCTCGATCACATTTTCCAAAAGAATGCAGACATCCTGGACGTGGATGATATTGTGGGGATTTTCAAGCAACTTCCACCGCACACCCAGCGCCTCTTCATTGTTATCGATGGTATTGACGAATGTCCTATGTCGGAGCAACATGACCTGCTGAAGGCATTCTCAGTTATACAGCCATGTGGCTACAAGCTCTGCATCTCTGCGAGAGTTCTCGAGAAAACTCTGCCATGGAAATCCCATTCTTTTGCATTTCAGGTCTGCATTCCAGAGGACAATCCAGATATCCTGGACTATGTTCAAGTTGAAGTAGGTAGACGGATTCAAGAAGGCCGGCTTGTTATTCAAGATCCAAACTTGGTCCAGGAAGTTAAAGAACAGCTTATTAATGGAGCTTGTGGCATGTGAGTACACGCCGGATTTCTTCCTGCCTTCGTTCATTAGACGGTTCTGACACTTGATAGGTTCCTTTGGGTCTCCCTGCAACTTGATTCTATATGCTCCGAGGTGACAGACCATGCCATACGTAAAACAATCCAGAATCTTCCACGGGATCTGACAGAGACCTTTGAGAGAAATCTGGCTAAGGCTAGCTCGGGCGATACTAATGGCTATCACATAATCATCTTCAAACTTCTAGTTGCAGCAAGAGAATTGCTTTCAGTCGAGCAACTCCGAGAGGCTGCCAGCGTGGTAGTAGGGCAGACCACATGGAATCCGGGACAACAGATCAATCATATTGACAGAGTTTTGAGGTTCTGTGGAAGCTTAGTCATGGTGGACGAGGAAGATGAAACGGTTCGCTTTATCCATCATAGTGCCCGAAGCTTTTGCCTCAACTCACCGAACAACTCTGCCGCATGGACCTTCAATGAGGATGAAGCGGAGAGGTCAATGGCAGAGACGTTGGTCACTTATCTTAGCTACAATGTCTTCGACACAAGACTGAGCAGAAACGTTGTACCAAAGATTGAAGCAAACGATATGCCCAAAAGAGTGGCACTTAGCACCATCAGGACCAGTTCAGTGGGCAAGGAGATTGCAGGCCGATTGATAAACATACGGTCTCATCTCAGACATGATGTTGGACCGGTTCTCGCTAAGTCGGCCAAGGGCTACTGGGAGGACGTTTCCCAACAGTTCTTCCTACTTCCTTACGCGAGCAAGAACTGGATTTTCCATACCTCCCATGTCGAACATCTTGATCCACTATGCCATTGGTATTACTTACTTCAACATCCAACGTTTGGCATTGATCTATCCGATATACCAGATAGCTTCGTCGCTCGGCGGCTTTCGGTTGTACAGTTTATGCCATCAGATAACATGGTTTGGGCCTTATCCAACGGGCATCTTCTACTTTTCAAACACGAACTTGCCAAAGATCGAGGAGCTGCAAAGTTGCAGACTTACGCAACACTTTGGATCTTCTTGCGATATATTGAGCCCGAATTTATTAAGAACGACATGGACTATGGGCTTGTCAGGTGGCTATCTTGGATGCTTGTTCGATTACACATGACGCATCCAATCAAGCGACAACTATTGCTACGTCTCTCGGTGTTTGATGAGTCCTATATGGATACATTGCGAATAGCGATTAACTTATCTGACGTAGAGGCGGTCATGGCTCTTCTATCCCGCGATATTCTGGAAACAAGCCAGCTACCATCTGTGGGCGAGGCCTTGATGGATTTAGCAGTCTCATATGGAAACGTGACCCTGCTCAACCTTCTAATGCGAGAAGACTTCCCAGTAGACATCACTGGTGCCCTCGCAAAGATCGTTACATCAGGAATGCCAGATCCCATTGTAACACATTTTTCTCTGTATCTGCTTCAACAAAGGGAGATTCATCTGTACTATTTATCAGACAGTGTACTGTATCTAGTGCTCCAAGGGCCTCTGAGACTACTAGGTCATGATAGGATCCCGACGCAACTCACCGTTTTGCCATGGGGCGACTTAGAGGGTCATCGCCGCAAGGTCGATCGCCTTTTACACAAAGCATGCATGAGAGGAGATCTTCCAATGGTAGAAATGATGATTTCTTTGGGCTATGATACCAATGCCTGTACCAGTGAAGGATCATGTCTTGATGTGGCGCTACATGGCATCTCAAAGGACAGACTGAAAATTGTGTGGCGTCTCTTGACGTCCTCTGCGCTACCAAGTTTCGCGACCCTTAGTCGGGTAGTATTACTACAACAGTGGGCGTTCGTGTTGTACTTCCTGCAGTTCAACATATCTTTCGATGATCCTTCATCTTCGCATCTTGATCGTGCGGCTCCCAGCTTCAAGATCGTAGTGGAGGATTTAGATGATATTGATTACCCATTTCTTGGCAGATTTCCCATAGAGGATGATCATGAACGTGATATCACTGCGTTGTTACCACTGCCAGTTGTGCAGTCGACTTCTTGGGATGACTGGAATTTCTACTTCGTGGCCAACTTCCGAAAAGACAATGGATGGAAAGCAATGGTTGATTCTGAAAAGAAACAGTTTTGCAACGATTTAATCGGCATAGTTTCTTATAAAATGAAACCGAAGGAAATAAGACGAGATAGCGTTGTTCGAGGGTTAGGTATCCCAGAAACACCGAAAACAGTTGAGAGTTCAGTTGAATTCGTCTATTGGCACCCAGACCTTGGCCCTTGGATTAAGCTGACTACTCCCAACACTTTCTCAACCATCGCTGAAATCTCTAGAAGATGGAATTGCTTGCATTCTATGGAATATGGTTACGAGTTTGATCACAACTGGATACTTAGGACAAGGGAAAAATCATTGCAACCGTTGTGGGATGACTCTGGCCGATTACATAGCCTAGGCTGCTGGGTGATGCACAGAACTATTGACACTCTCGAGAAACGTTACCATAACTATGGTCTTGTTCGCGATGCACTTTCCGATGCGGCATGGGCTATCAAGGGGCTCCAAAACTTATACCGTCTTCTACAAAACTTACCCTCAGGATCCAAAATTCACGTTGTCGAGGACACATTCCCAGCCACTAAATTGCCGCTATTCCGACAACATAATGTATCTTACATGAAGGCATATTCCTTCAGCTTTGCCTACATGAGCGTTCGAATTCAGTTCTTGAGGATATTGGGAATCCTCTCCCGGAAACATCTGCTGGAAAGGGTCAAGATCGATATAGCCACTTTACAGGCAGCATTGTCACTAGGCAAAAAAGAATTACGAGGACATGACGCATCAACCTATTTGTTTATGCCTGAAGTCCTCGAGGCTGCATTCATCGGTACTGAATTTAAACATGTTCTCCAAGACCTTGTTGCAAGCTATCCCCTCTGGGTACCGGAGGTCGCCACTTGGATTGAGACGATGGACCTCGGGATTTTCACCTGGTCTATGGGACAGGATTCACCCCTTTGCTTCAGGAGGGCATTTCAGTCTTTTAGAGACATAGGCACAGCTGAGAGAGATATGAAAATCCTAGAGGACGCCTTGGATTTGTCCCGTCGTAGGATTCCAGAGCTAGAATAAGGACTCAGTCTCCCGTCTTCCCGGTTACAGTCTCCCCGTCAAGCGAAATACTGCCCAACGCGCCTTTGCTTTTGCATATTCCTTTCCATTCCCATCTTTTATGACCGCATAAGCCACGAATGAAGTTCCGTCATCTGATACCTCTCCCAAACTCGCGGTGACCTGGATGACCTTGGGAACTCGTAGCGGTCGGAGATATTCAACCTCTATGCCTTGGGTGGCTATCATATTCGCTACCAAGTCGAGCATTCCAGGATTTGTTTTAGGTGAGCACCTCTCGGTAGCTTGAGTAGGGATCATGCCACTTCGTAGTCGAGCGTTAAAGATGCCAAGAACGCCCATCACATCGTCCAGAAGTGTTGCTTGAACACCGCCGTGGCAAATGTTCCCTTCTTATGGAAGTTTCACCGAACCCATCATACAACTAAGCACCCAAGCATTCGCCTGACTGCATACGAAGATATGGAACAAGAAGTCTGGGACATGGTTGGTGCTCCTACATTAGCGCATGCTACATCAAGGACTCTCAATATACCATTCGACTTTTTTATGTTGTGGATATGCCCTCACTATATTCTTTACACAGAAGTCAGTGGTCATAGTGGGCTCAGAAGATTCCTGGTTCCCCCATTGACTCTCAGCCCGCTGTTAAGCTATTTTGATACAGAACTATCTATTGAGGATCATGACTTGCACCATAGATACGGCTGGAGGGTTGCAAAGAACTATGGAACGCAGACAAGGAGTATGGGATAGAATACTTGGTACATGCAGCGAAAGGGTGGAGTCGAATGCCTCGAATATAGACTATAAGAACAGGATAGAGATAATGTTTTCTTAGGAATAGATCAGGCCTAAAGCGAAAGTCATTAATAGTCGAAAGTAACTAAAGAAGCTGTTATGGGATTGTATCGTGTATATAAATATCTTCAATTCCATATTATATAAACGCTAAGTTTAGTATGAATATAAATACTTAACATAATAGTTATTCTAGTTTATATTTACTTTACCTACTGGCTTTTGTTACCTGTGCTGCCGAAGGCATTTCCGGAGTTCTTCCATTTCCATCAGGCCCACCAAGCGCCTTTGTTGTCGCAGTGTACTCTGTACCTACGCAACCATTTCTAGCCGCCGTAACTCTCGTTACCCCAATCCCGGTTATTTGTTCCTACATTCACATCATTCTTCCTAAGCGACACACCTAGCCAGAAGGCTTAGCGAAGTACGCGGCCGCTTGTCTCTACTGCGCCTTCATCCATGGGTCATCTCACTGGGCATTTAGGTTTTTTGCAGGGGGTTTTAGGCTACACCTGGAGGCCTGAGTCAATCCGTTGTCCACAGCGAAATCTGAGCTTATTCTAGGCACCACGACGCCCACCATCAACCTTTTATCTTCATTACCCACTTCGTCAATCATTCCATCAATATTGGACCCTTGAGGAGCGTTTTTGGGTTATGAAAGACAAAATCTACTATTTCGCCACATTCAACCTCCCGGCGCTCCTCTCCCTTGCGGAACAGCGTCGCGGCCAATCTTGCACCTGCGATGTAACCCAGATGCCAAAGTGCGGCAGCTTGAACTGGGTCATCTTTGTTTGCTTCCAAGACGGGGTTGAATGGGTCTTCCGCTCTCCGAAGAGCGGCATTGATAGCTTTTACTCCGATGAAACTACCTCCAAGATTCTTGTCAGCGAAGCATCTACATTGCTGTATCTCAAGACAAACACTTCAATTCCGGTTCCCCAAGTATTTTCATACAGGTATGCAGTGTTTCTTATCCCCATGCTTTTGTTATTGACATTGTCTAGTGGATCTAGCGACAACGATATTGGCATTCCATATATTCTCCAGAGCAAAGCTACTGGCCGCTCTCTGGGATCGTATGCCTGGAGTCCGCCTCGATACCAAGTCCCAGGGCTCCGACATCGTAGCCCCCCGATGCCTATATCCGATCATGACCGAGGCAAAGTCATGAGCCAGCTTGGTGCCTTCATGTCAGAACTATCCGCGCACCGATTCGATAGGATCGGTTCCTTATTCCAAGATGGAGATACGAACTACGTCGTTAGTGAATGCCTCTCGCCGTCTCTTACGTGGCAAGAAAGAGATTCACTTGAATTGGATCGCGGTCCATTCAATAATGAACACGATTATCTTGCTTCTATTATCTCAGCTTTCACCTCTCACTCTAAAGCGCTTTCGCTTACGCCGCACACCTTTTTCGCGCCAGTTCCTGACATGGTGGATTATGAAAGTTTGTCAAGTTATCAGAAAGCATCGAGACGGTGGAATGATTTTGTCGCAATCGGCCAAAAGATCGAGCACAGTAAAAATATCGTCTTTTATTGCCTGGCAGGTCAATTTCTATCCGAGATGGTAAATGATCTGTCCTCGGACGGAGAAACTGGATTCACGATCTCCCATCCAGACCTACATCTTGGTAACATCTACGTTGATGAAGACTTCAACATTACCTCTATCATCGACTGGAGTTCAGCATCAACCGGCCCAGTATCTGAGATCCTTGCTGCACCGTCACTGGGTAACTCAGCTGCACCGCCATCAGTGTTTCTTGCTGCCTCCTTTCGGTCAGGGTTCATCCAGGAAGCTACCCAAAAGGCCCAAGACCTACCTGATGGAGTTCTCTGGAAGAGGTCAGAGAGAATGTGGTATTTCAATCGACTAACGCGCCTACTTTCCAAAAACGACTACCAGCTCTTCGGAAAGCTATTTGAACTCATATACGAGAAGGACGCCTCTGTGGATGGAAAGGGGAGGATTTTGGGGCTCTTTCACGAGCGCGCTGGTCAGGACGAAAATGTGAAGCTTCTGGCTAAACTTCAGGAGGATGATCTCTCGGTCGAAGAACTACAGGAAAGGGAGCGAGCTTGCTTCCCCCCCAAGAGAACTGTCAACACAGACTCTATTGCTGTGGCGAGGAAGTTGACGCTGATGTCTGAAATGAACCCATTGTTTCTTGCTGATCATCGATTGTGGAAATGGGTTGAAGAAGCTCGTGAGCAGGATGAATCTCAATAGCTTGCTGATCATACCTTATATCAGCACTTGAGTAGACAATAGTACTTACGATATTAACTAAATAGCGCTGTGGCTTGTTTCTAGAGAACCACGCATGGGAAAGCCGACATGGTTTCTGAAAGTTTGTACCTTGTTATGCAACCTGGATAATTTGATGTCCGGAGGTAAATCGCCTATCTTCAGTAAGGCTAACATGGATACAAAGAAGAGCATTGATCCTCTGGAAGGGATGAGGTGATCAGAGGGACTGAGCAATGGTATTCATAAGGAGCTGCCATCCCAAGAGCCATCGAGAAACATGTCTTCTTGGGCACGCACAAGGGTCTCACTATCTTGACCTAGATCGTACGAATTATCGCAAGCTTTATTTGAATCATATTAAAGACAGCTATGCGCACTACATATTGATGAGTAAATTCGAACTAGACTAGCTAAGGTAAGCCACAACCATACATTCATGACTGCCGCTGCTTATAACTATTTGAACCGTCATCAAATGCGCCTTATTGTCGAGAGGAATATACAAAGATCCCATGGCAGTGGGCGCACCACTAGCTCACAGAAAGCGACCAAACGGGGGAGTAGGATATTCACATGCCATACACATACTCGATTCTCTTCGGAACTTGCTCCCACGTTCCATCAACCTCGATCTAGAATATGTCAGCCTCTCCTATGGGAAGACTTGAAAGAGTTTAGTACGAACCCAAGGCATCATTGTGCTCCCGCTTGACCCGTCTGGAGGTGAAATGATAGTTCCAGTTAGCCATTGACCAGAGTCGACTGTCCAAGCTTATTAGCAATATTCTAACCCGTAGGTAGCTTGACCAACCGTCATAAAACCAGACCTTGGTCCCTTCATAGAAGGCTGGATCTGCAGTAGCTCCATCGGGAGGCTCAGGCAGTCCGCGAGGGGGGGGCAGGTCGCTGGGCTCTTTTCTTCTTGGCCATGATGACACGCGCAACAGGAAACTAGAACTTTAGCTTGGGAGAGTAGTAACAGTAAAAGTATTAGATAGATATATTTAATTTTCTAATTATAATATTTAGTATTATAACATAATATCATTAATCTTATATACACCAAGGTTAGTAGCATCATTCCTCACTTTTCACTGCAGCGTCTCGCCTTAGAATTTGCCTTGCTCTCTTTAAACCAACACGCAGTTGACGGCGCTTACGTAATCTGTCTTTCAACCTCGCAATACAGGAATCCCTCTGGCTTTCCAAGACTCGTGGACTATAATTCAACGGTTCATTATCTTCCAGTAGAAAGGGTAGTCAAATGCTGTTAAAGAAGCACGTAAGCTCAGTATAAGCATCATGCCTATTCTCACACCCTACCATCAATTGCCTTGTCGTTTCTGAGATTCTTTCTTCGGCGGTTCCTGCTTCGGGCATCTCTGGGTCACTTGTCTCTTACACGTTGTCATTCGTAACCAAGACAGGCATGTACTAACTGGAAGATGCAACTAAACCCCGCCCAACACTCGTAGGGATTTCCTGCGCTGAATGATGCATTTTTACAATTTGAGCTGGCACTTGGACCGGGTCTCGAATTGTTGGCCGTTGGACTGCCTGCCTTCTATTCTAGATTTAGTGTTCTGGTGTGGTGATATCTTAACATGATCGGTCTTCGTGGACGAATTATTCACTTACCGCTGTGATGAAGCACAAGACGCACACCCAGGCCCTATCCTCATGGATGGATTATCAGTTTGGAACTTGCAGGACCCGATACCCTTGTAGGTGACCCCTCTCGTGCAGCGGCTCGAGAAGACAAAGGTCGGGCAAGGCATGTTCCACTGAGTGGCGGGCGCTCTTAGTGCCTGTTGGACCATTGAGTGCAGGATAGTTGGTACATCACCAACAACTGATAGGGAAGCCGTCGCCTGGTTCGCCGACCGGTCTAGGCAGCAGACCTCAACAATCGGCCTTGAGGCCGGAGTATCAGAAATGGCAAGTCTGCTAGCTCTGCTCCCTTGCGTTTCGTCTCTCCTTGCAGAAATCACTCCACTCTAGTTCATTTTTGCACTTTCTTTTGACGGTAACCCTTTTGGTTTCTGAGAGTTCTATCACATATCCACGGAGTCAGCCTGTTCTAAGACCTGTGGTTTCACTTGTCTCTGGAGGTTTTCTCCGTGTTGACACATCTAGAAGATACAAAAAGGGATGTATATCTTAGTTCTGCGCTATTGATTCCCTGGCGCTTCGTGTGGTCTACTGGGTTCATGCGGGTGAAACACTGTTTATTTTCATGATACTTAACTTCAACTTCGTGTGGCTTACTTCTTCAGTGTACCTGCAATCTGGGGCTTCAGATACTTTTCGATGTAGTCATCGTTCTTCCAACCCGACCAATCAGCCTTCTTCAAGCCCCAAGAATCATCAAACTCCTGAATGCCCTGACGAGTATAGTACCGACCAACAATAACCCAGATGAACCAACTAGCCTTGATCTCGGGCAGATACTCCGACAAGCAGCTCACATAAGTGTTGGCGGTATTGTAATCAGCACCATTCATCGCCTGGCCAAACTCAGTCAGCATGACGGGGAAGACCTCAGCGACGTTGGGATCGCTCTCATTCATTGCCTGGAAACCCTTGTTGTAGAGGTTGTAGCGAAGAGAAGAGCAGCTGGTTCCGCTGTTCTCGTAGTTATGTATCTCAAGAACGAGCTTATCCTTGCCGTAGCCGACAAAGTCATCTCGGTTGAAGACTTCACCTCCTGGCTGGAGCGTCTCACCGGAGTAGAGAGGAGTAACGTAGGTGTCGTAGTTCATGCCGGAGATGACGATGATTCCATTTGGATCGCCCTCATGAACTGCATCAGCACCTTGGCGCATGTACTTGTAGAGATCACTCCAGTTGTATGACTTGTCACGGAGCGCATTGTTGTTTGTAGGTTCGCGGGGCTCGTTGCGCAGAGACTGTGTGATCTTGGCGGGCCATTTCTTGCTCTGGTATTCATTAGTATCGGAATTTTGGGGGTACGGGGAATAGTAAAAGAACATACATGAGCTGCCATGTACTTGACACCTCTAACCCAATTGTCAACATTAAACTGGGTATCTCCCCACCAAGTGTTACCATCCGTACCGCCGCAACACCATTTGGCCTCGGAGATGTGGTTATCAAGGTCAATGTAGATCTCTTGACGGAGACACTCAGCAGCAATGGCGTCGTAGACCTAACAACTGGTTAGTCATACCTCTATAAGCAGAGTGTTACTTAAGCTTACCTCAAGACGTGTTGTCTGAGCGGTGAAAGAAGGGTTGTTTTTCAACACTTTCTGAAGAATAATTGTCCCGTTCTCTTTTCCAAGGCCTTCTTCGAAGGCAGTCTGGAGATCAACGTCTTTACCATTGTTGGCGTAGATCTGATCGACAAGCTCAATGGCGAAGGTGAGACGAATAGCGTTCATGCCAATGCTCTTGATATCGGAGAGAACGTCCTTGATGGATTGGTACTGCAGACCCTCAGGCACCATGACTTCGCCGTGGCCGGGCCAGTTGGCTCCAGCGAGGCTGATCTTGTCACCATTGGCGTTGACGATCCAGCGACCCTCTGTTTTGAAAGGTCCATTGGGCCATGCTGCTACAGCATTGCCGATGAGGCAGCTGAGTGCCAGGAGAGGGCTGACGAATAGCTTCATGATGGAGAGAGATGACGAAGCTGGGAGTTTGACCCTGATTCGAAGGAACGAACTGGCATGAGAATCTCCGAGACCTTATACTTTTTCCAATACGATACCTAATCAAACTCAAAAGCACCGACGCTCCGGAGCGGACCGAGCTTCTTGGCAGTTCTCATCTCGAACTAGACGCGCAGCAACACCTGACGTATGTCCTCCTGAACTAACGGCACGAGCAACAGGGATTGCAAGCATCTAAAAGCTGGGGAAGACAGATATTCCCCCAATCCAGGGAAACAAGCTGTCGATCTTGACGCTATTCAGATGCTTGTCTCCCCCGCATAACAGACATCCAGCGCCGATGCGACTCCAGAGTGCCCTGTGCGCCTCGGCTCCGGTATCCCCGACCCCGCAAATTCCTGGTTAGAGATGCGGGGTGGCTATCACGAGTCTGAGTAGCGTGAGGGATCCTCGGCATTGGAGGCGCTAGAAGAGGAAATCTTGGGCTTCGGAGCCTTTGGGAGCGAGAATACGATGGTGAGAGGTGCGGATGAATATGCGGACATCTTGCCTCAAGGAGGCAAACAGGCGGGGCCGTGCGGATATAAGAGCACAATGATCCATTCAAGAATGTTGAGCCGATTAGTCCGCTTAACTTGCAGCTTGGCACCTACTCAATCGAAATAATTCTAACTATGCTTTACACTAACATCTGCTGAGATTTTACAATTCCTCAACTATAATAACGCTCTACGGGTCTGCGGCTACGGTGGCCATGTGATGTCATGTCAAAGCGACCTCTGTAGGGTAGGTAGCTATGATCCATCATAAACCGTATTGACTCGTGGAGTCGCGTTAGAGGGGCGTACGCGCTGGAAACCTCACACAACAACGGCAGCTCAAGATTTAATATCAGTTCTGTATAAGGGTTGTCATTTTGATAGTCATAATTACCTTTCCAGGCATCGCAAGTAAAGTCGGTATCCACGCTATCTAAGCAGCTGTAGTTTCGGGCTTCTGTCCCCAAACAACCTTTTGAGCAAAATAACCGTGGTGTTTCCCAGAGCGAATTTCTCTTCGGAACTGAGCGACATAAACAAGAATCTCTTCTCTCGTCCATCCAAGTGTATGCGCCATGAACAGAATAAAGCCCTCGCTATCGGTCTCAAGACCATACTTGGAGTAAGCACCCATACGTTTCTCAACGGGGTCGTTGGGCCAAGTGCCAACAGGGTTCTATCACATTTATTAGCACCCTAATTCAAAAGCGCGGGGGGGGCAACTCACTCTAAAGTCGAACTCTTGGATGTTGACGAAGCCGGCCTTCTCCATCGCCTTGCGCTGAGTACCGTCCTCAACGACACTGAAGCTGGTACCGATCTTCTTACCGCCCTCCTTGAAGAATTCACCCCAATGACCCATAGCGGAGTTAGGGGCGACAGTGCCATCATCGCTGCTTACGTTGCATGAGGCTTCGTGGCTTTCAATCCAGGCGCCGGGCTTGCAGACTCTGTATGCTTCGGAGAAGAAGGCGTCCCAGTCTCTCACGCTGCCCATTAGCCATCTGACATGGATGTAATCGGCAAAGTCGGACTTGAAGGTCCATTCGCGGGTACAGTCTTCGATCTCACTGTACATGGGTTAGCTAGTCAGACGACTTGGAGACATCACGTACAATTGCACATTGGGGGGAACCCAAGAGGGCTGGATGGGCGAGAGGTCGGTTCCGATAATCTCAGCGCCGGGGTATTGGTCAGCGAAATCACTAAATATCAGTTAGACGATTCATCAAGGTGAAGAGCTCGACGTACATTGCCCAAATACCGGTACCGGTACCGATATCAATAGCTTGCTATTAGAAGTTAGCGTCGATCCACTGGAACAGGCACCAATGAGGAACTAACATGAAGCTTCTCTTCTTTGAGAGGAGCCAGGTGAAGCTTATCTCCAAGACCAAGGGTGAGAATATGGTGACTGATGCTATGTTAGTGGTTGGCCATTGGATTGTACAGTGAACTTACGTGAGATCCATCAAATCATTTTGCTGTTCGTCATTGGAGGCCCTTTAAAACTGTCAGAATTTGTAAATCGTCATTTAAAGTAATGCTACAATACCAATATTGAGCATTTCCCTGCTCGCTGTGATATGTGCGACCATGGATAGTTCTGTACTCGAGGATGCTAGAGGTGATGGAAGCAGTTGATGAGGCGTTATCCGGGTCAAGGGTTGAGTCAGCATCGGCATTATCATCTTCAGCCTCAGCCTGTGCTTGTTCCTGCAGTATCCAATGAGCATCCCAATCACATCGAATTAGGTCTCTTCACACACCTCATTGACCTGTGCCCAGTGCTGCGGGTCAAGAATAGGACCCGACGTGGCAGCGGGTGGAGAGGCTGCTGACTCGGTAGTGGCAACCTCAGCCGCAGGCGCTGGAGACCCTCCAGTAGCCGCTGGGGCCTCGGGAGCAGCCGAGGCTTGGCGGGTTGGCTCAGGCGTTTCCGACATTGTTTGCTTGCACTAGAAACAGAACAAACAAACTGATCGACAGTTGCAATGACTCAAAGCGAAAGATGAGGATCAAGCGTCAGTCAGGTGGGAATATATGAGGGATTAAACATAGGGAAAAGAGTGGACTGATTCGTTTGGTAGGGTAGTACGGACTAAATACTGCTCCGGGAAGAACCCATGTGAGTGTCACTCTCGCGATTGGCCTGGAAAGTTTTGAGAGCTTCCTGAATGGGAACATCTCTTGGGGCTAGACTCGTGGCACTGAAGGATAAAAACGCCAGGGAGAACAGTTAAAAAGACAATGAAGGGCACTTTCTATGTATACTATAATCACCACTGATCTTTTCTACTGAAATTACCTCTAAGAATAGTGCAACAACTCACTGGAATGCGAATTATAGCTTATCGTTTCATGAATTGGCGGCTGGGAGATTGCGATAGTGGGGTTCTTGGCTTCGGACAGCACCCAGATCAGGCTAATCACCATTTTACAGGCCACGCAGCACCTGGAAAAGATATCATCCGTCGCAAGTAAAATGCTAAAGGATGATACGATTATACTAAAATCATCTGATTATATGCACAACTCTGCCGCCCTTTGATCTACCGAGTTAACATGCTCCGAATCATCAATATCACCAATATGTAACCCCATGGCCATACCCCGCGCCATGTGAACAAGCATATGGCAATGCAACGCCCATATTCCCGGGTTATCAGCCACCAACGCTAATACGACATGACCGCGCCGTGGTACGCTAACGGTATCTTTGCGCACCGGAAACTCAAGATTCAAGCCGTTTGGTGGCGCCTCGTCTGTGTACGGATTGTAACTGCCCCAGCTCCCGCGACCTGGATTTCTGTATGATGATAGAACGTAAAACGAATGTCCATGAAGATGGAACGGATGCGCACCATCGTCTAAGTTGTTGATGATAATATCGACTCTTTTCGGCTTGCTGCTCGATATTTCGATAAATGGGATGAGTTGGTTCCCGTCCCATGAGGTCCGATTTTGAGCCAGTAGAGGTGGAGATTGTGGCGTCCAGGATGTATGGTTGATGAATCCGACTGGTGCATAGTCCAAGTGCGCCAGCTTCTCAACCTTGGCGTAAAGAAGAATAGTCTGTTCTGCCTTTGCTGGGAGATCCGATACCCTGGTTGCAGCTTTGAGATTCTGCGAGTCAAGGGCCTGGATCTCCTCTTGTTCCAACGATTGAGGAACAGGTTCATTGAATGATCCCTTTGTGCTTGAAGTGAACATAGGGAAGCTTTGAGTTGGGTTCAGTGCTGGGTTGGGATAGCCAAAGTTCCTGCCAAGCTGGTTAGTCTCCCATCTCTACCAATAGTGAAACAGATAGAAACGCACTCGTCATCCAGGTAAATGGTAAGCCAATGCTCTCTCGCGTGATCCCCCTTCCACTCAACCTCGAGGTCAACTCTCTCACCAGGATAGAGAACACCGACTGTTTCAGTAGCTTTAGCTTTGACAGCGAAGCCTCCATCCACGCGAACTGGTCTAGTGATTGCCCCACCAACATTCAAGGAAAGGCCTGCGACTGAGCCTGTGTTGACAATTCTAAGTCTGGCCTTCTTCTGGCTCCCTGAAATCATGAGGGGCTTGAGGTCATTCAACTGGACCTGGGAGCAAGACACTGGTCGCGCAGGAACAGCCATGGAGCAGTTGAAGCGTCCTTGTCCATTGACCAGCAACGAATCTGGGACCGGTTCATTCCCTCGGCTACTTGCATCAGCATACCAGCCTAGCACTTCCGTTTGGTTTCGGTGGAACCAATCGCCGATCATGAGCAAGTAATCTTCTGGTGGTACTTCAACCTCGTCTGGCGAGTGGACGACCAGACCTCCCCATAAGCCGTCGGCACGTTGAACATCGGAATGCGAATGCCACCAGAAGGTCCCACGTTCTTCAGCGCCAATGGTGAAGTTGTAGGTGAAACTTCTGCTGGGAGCGATAGGGCATTGTGTAAACCCAACAGCACCATCCATACTGTTCTGGTCTTTCATATGCAGGCCGTGCCAATGAAGAGACAAGCCTTCATCCTGAAGGCCGTTGTCAACATGAATCACAAGTCGGTCGCCAGATCGGGCCTCAATGAGGGGTCCTGGAAACTCATCTACGATAGTCAGTAATAGCAAACCCCATGTTGGCAGAGAACTTTACCATTGACAAGATATACTCTCTTTTCTACTCCATCCGGTGATCTAGTCCCAGTTGTGATAGTCCAGTTCAACGTGAGTGTTGTTGGGGGGCGTCTTGCGTGATCTTCAGGATGGAGTCGGTACCCAAGATAGCCGGTAGCATCATCGGTCAACCGGTTGCTTAACGAACCCTGAAATGATACCACTACAACCCCGATTGCCGATAATAGTGCGACCACGATAAGAGCTGCTAAACATCTCCAACCGCACGTGCAACATAGCGAAGGCGGGGTTCGATCATGCACCTTGACCTCCTCTCTCAGTTCAAACTCCTCAAGCAGAGCATCAGCTTCTTCATCGTGAGCGAACATTTTGTCTGCACTCTTCAAACTAAGCTCCCTCTCAAAAGCGCATGATGGAAAGGTCTTTTGAGATGGAAGCGAGTCCCATTTCCGTGCCGTACATCCGCTTCCCGATAAGAAAAGTCCCGAGCGCTTGTGATCGCAAATCTCACAAAGATCCCCCACGAGATCAATCCCTGCACGCTGATTGGCTCGCCACCCAGCACCACCATCGGTCAGCGAATTAGTTAGTATTAAAACAAGACCTCCCAACTTAGGAAAGATATTCAACGTTGCAATTTACATCCGATGCATGATCATCTGCTTCTTGCTAATCAGATGGATATGATTTGAAACGTGTGAGTTGAGAAAATCTTGTGATCATCGCTTTTGGACCCAGATCTTGCGGTGTAACGCTACTCCACCGTCGACGAGGGTTTTTTTCCTCGACTCTGCTTTTTCGTACGATTATTTCCGATAAGAAAGAGGGAGGTATAAGTTGCCAAGATGTGGCAGTATCTCGAGTCTTGGCTCCTCTGGTTTTACCAGCTGGTTAAGGATTGGCCTTGGTTATCAGACATGATTTTCTCTCCGAGACTTCGTTGGGCCCTCACGGCCCTGTTGGCGGCTTCGAAAACGGCCAAGACTGAGAGCTTGGCTGATATCGACCATGTAATCTTGTTTATGCAAGGTAACATCCTCCAATGAGTCTCTTATATCAGCTTTCTAATATGTCATAGAGAACCGTGCTTTTGACCACTACTTCGGTACCATGCCCGGAGTTCGTGGCTTTGCTGATCCAAACGTCCAGTACAACAACGGCATCCCTGTCTGGCAACAGCAAGTCACTCCTCAACAGAGCAAAGACACTGATTACATCACACCCTGGTACATCAACTACCTTGGTGGAACTTGGCCTGAAGCCACTCAGTGTATGAGTGCCGGGTCCAACGGCTGGGATACCAACCAAGCTGCTTGGAACCACGGTGCCAACAACCAGTGGGCAGTAAAGAATACTCCCTACAGTATCGGCTACTACAAGCGCGATGATCTCCCTGTTCATTTTGCTCTTGCTGAGGAGTGGACTGTTGGTGATATGTACCAAGAGTCCGTCATCGCTTCCACCAACCCCAACCGTGTCATGTGGATCAGTGGATCCATCAACGTCCCTGGCTCACCTCAGACCAAGGATGAGGGTGGATACCCCTACATCGATAACAATGAGACACCTGGTTGTGATAAAAACGGTATCAACTGTTACCCTCTCAAGTGGTCCACTGCTGCTGAGAAGTATGAGGCTGCTGGTGTCTCATGGAGTGTCTTTCAGGATGCTGATAACTTTGACGACAACCCTTATGCTTGGTTTGAGCAGTTCCAAGATTCCAAGGCAGGATCTGACTTGAACAAAAAGGGCATGAAGGGACAGACTTTGGACGCTTTCTATGCTCAGGCTGCCGCTGGAACTCTGCCTGAGGTCTCATACATCGTCGGTCCCATGCAGCTATCAGAACATCCACCCTACTCCCCTCACGATGGCTCTTGGCTTCAGCGAAAGGTTGCCGAGGCTGTCATCAACTCCCCCAAGTACTCCAAGTCCGTCTTGATCATCTCTTATGATGAGACGGGTGGCTGGGCCGATCACGTTAGCCCGTACACTTCTCCAGATGGCACTGCTGGTGAATGGATTGATGATCCTTATGGTGCAGCCGGCCGCACTGCCACTGGCCCAGGTTTCCGTGTGCCCTTCTACATCATTTCACCCTTCACTCGCAAGGGTGGTGTGTACACCGAACACTGCGATCACACTTCTCAGGTGTCGTTCATTGAGAAGTGGCAAGCTGCAAAGGGTCGTGATGTCACCACTGATGAGATGGTTCCCTGGCGTCGCGAGAACATGGCTGATCTGGTCAACGCCTTTGACTTCAAGAACCCCGACTACAGCATTCCCAATCTCCCTGAGGCTCCTCAGCCCCATACCAATAGTAAGGGCGTTTATGATGGTTCATCGTACTGTTCTTCGCAGTACGGTAACGGCCGTCCCCCTGTTCCCTACACTGGCGTGGGTGCCAACAATGATACCGCAAGTCTTGCTGAGGCTGGTTTCAAACCTGTTCGTGGACTGCTCACTGAAGGCCGCACACTTGTCCTTGAGTCTTCCGGCCAGGCTGTTAGCGCTACATCGTACAGCAGCAAGGTGTCACTGAGCAAGGCATCAAAGAACCATGATAACATGCAGCATGGATGGGTTCTTCATGCCGTGGATATCGGGGGCGACCAGTTTACCATTAGCTCTGTCAACAACGGTCAGTATATCTGCAAGAATCTTAAGCTCTGTAAAGATTCTGGTTCAGCTACGGTGTTTGTTGTGGACTTCAAGCCAAGCAAGGGCCATTCTTTCAAGGATCAGAAGACAGGGGAGTATCTAACTAGTGGGCGAAAGGAGAAGCTGGGTTGGCAGAAGGGTCAGACCTTCTGGAAGGTCTTTAGTGTTACTTACTGATTGGAGGATACTCAGAACACACGGTAGATGTAACAAGGAAATAAATGAACAAATAGGTCGCTTTAGCCACGAGGTAATCACATCTAAATTATGAGATGAAACTATGTTCGTATTTCTCTCAGAGGCTCAATAGATATCAGGGACCATCTCCATCACAGTGCTAGTCGGAGGACCGGCTATATCACCAATAGCGACCATGTACCAACACGACCTCACCCCGCGGCCCATACTATCACGGCTTTTTCTCATTTAGCTTTTCAATAAGCTCTCTTTCCTCACGCGCGGTGCGACATCCAAAGCATTCCTCGGTACCCTTAACTGAATCGAAAGAGTGGATTATGCCGATTGAACAATCTGCGAGGGTGCCCGTCGAGTTGGCCTCATCACATTTGGTTAAGCTGTTTCTAACTGAACATTCCCATGTACATGTTATACATTGGACAGATGTGCGGAGTCGGTAACACATAGCCTTACTAAGCGGCGTAGTTCATATATAATAGATGTTATGAGGTGGAGGCTATAGAGTTTATATATAGGTAGATATAGGAAGATTATTGATGGTTGATAGCGGAGGATTATATCTATTGTTGGTGCTGCGATTTAGATTTATACCCCTTCACCATGGCATAACTATTCTGTGATTCAATGCACAACCAGTGACAGACGTGTTGATGCATATAAATAAGGGCCCTTTCTTACTGCTAATCGGGTCTGTAAGTTAAGGTGATTTTGTGTCTAGAAATGGTTAATTACTGACCCGGTGAAGTTCCAGCAAACATGGCATGAGTAACATGGAAGTCACAGAAGTAAATGGCTGTGATGGTCAAAAGATTATATAATATCTACTATAGAACTACCTGTCTTCAAATATCTAGATAGGTTCACTAGCTACAAGCTAACATCTAAATGATGACGATAGTAGTGTAAAGGCCACAACGAGGGATTTACCATATACGAACGGTGTACGGACAGCTCATTCTAATGGCCACGCATTCTTACCGTAGGACAAGCTTTGACTGCCGCTCCTTTTCCTCCCTTTTGATACGGCATGGATCACATTCAGCTTTCCCCTTTTCAGTCTCATTATCCTTCCAAATGCCAATAGAACATCTTGCATCTTTTCCGTGCCCGTTGACCTCGCGGCACCTGTCGAGAAAAGTTCGGTTTGACATTTCTGTAGTGCATGAGATGCATTGAATAGACGTGAAGAGAAGGCGACACATTTTGGTAATGACGTTTTGCTGGTTGTGGTATGGAGTTTGGATTAGAACATCAGAGGGGATATGTCGAGTTTGTTGAAGTTTGGAAGTAGAAGGACGTTTGTATTCTTGTTGCTACGAGGGGATTTTGTAGTCCCCTGTTCTCACGTAGCTAGTGATTTAACGCAGACAGTAAGTGACAAAGGCGGTAATGCACACAGACAGGCACCGTTTTTCACTTCCAGTGACATTTGTAAGTAAATGCGATTTTTTGTTTGTAGGGATATTTCCTAAAGGTCTACTCAATCCATAGTCCTTCATCATCCACTAACAGAGTGTCCAACAGTCTCCGTTCTTCTGCAAGTTCACTGGCCTTCCTTGAACACTTGGTGCATTCACCGTTTCCTGTCTCCTCTCGCTCGGGCGTGACCCGGCCTGATCCACATTGACCCCAAGCAGATTGTTCAGTGACGATCCCACACAACTTTATGTCGAATGTGCCTGAGTACTTGACACCACAAGTTCTGCATAGAAGTGATATCAAAGTCTGGGAACACATTTTGTAAAGAACAGCTTTCCTTTCCGACGACCTTTTCAGTGGTGGTGGGAGATGTCAGGATGTATATGGTCTCGGGCGGATGATTCGTAGCAGATGTTGAGGGAATTGAAGTGTAGGTTTCTGATAATGACGGCCAATGGGACGAAGGTCTCTTTATATAGTTCTTTTTCGTTCATTCTAGCAGTGATACGATGGGCAGTCCATTGCGTTCAGTGATGAACTATGAATAACAACCTTCATTCACCTTGGATTGTTCGCCTGTCATGTTCACAAATAATCGTCAGGCATATTCAGAAGGTGTTCCTGTTACCGATCCTCCTATTGATACTAGCAATCTTCTGAATCAAGTTTCGACTAACCTAATATCTCGTTCACTGTCCCCCCTGAACCAATCTTCCAAAGCTATGTCAATTCTACCTACTCCTCCTGAATGGCCGCCAGTCTCTCTTCTTCCTCACGCTTCTTTCGACACTCATCACATTCTGCCCCCTCCTCCTCCAGTTCTACTTTCATAACCCCGGTGTCGCATTCTCCCCACTCAGCCATTTCCGGTAAGTTATCGCAAGTGCTAGTAGTTGAACTAGTCCTGTACGCATGCCGGCAGGTCGAACAGAGAGTCGACAATTCGTAGAAATAACACATCTTTCAAGTCACTGCGCTTTGTATTCTCTGGTCTTAAAGAAGCTGGGTATTCTGGTCAGGTGTGTCTTTTGAGTCGAGGCTGTTAAACTTGAGAATTCTCCGATTAGAGATTCTCCCGATTCGCTAGGCCACAAGATTATATAGTCGGAGCTGAAGCGGCGGTTCACTGTTGAGTCGCCAGGCTGATGCCGACGACTTAGGGTTAAAAAATGCTTATGGCTCCCCGGTATGTCTATGAACTACAGTATTCTCACTCACTGGTACGCATCATCCGTTGGCAGCAAGTAGGACGAGGCCTTGTTAAGGTATATTATGTACTAATCCAGAGGCACCATGGTGAATAGAAATAGAATAAGGCTGTGTAAAATATGTAACACTTGCAGAAATGAATAAGGCCGCTCTCATCATTAAAGTCTTCCAATTACTGGAGTGAAAAGTCGTCAAAGGCGAAGTCAGGGAATCCACTTGCGTCTGTGCACTCAACAGTGATGGACATAGAATCAGCCGAGTCACCAGCTGTGAAAGTATTTTCGAACAGTTGATACTGATACGCAGTGGCCTGGGCGTCGAGATCAAGTGTTTGAGATACTGAGCCAAAGACAATCTTGAATGAGCATGTGCTGGGCACGTACGCAGATCCAGCTGCCCAGTTGAACTGGAGAGTATACGCTGTGCCTGCATCCAAGGGGCTAGCCAGTGGCTTGGTGAGCGTGGCGGATTTCTTGGTGGATCCAAGCTGGACGTATCTGGGAGAGTCAGTATACTGTTACACACGAATTACGGGGTCAGGTACTCACAGGAAGTTGTCGCCCGAGTTAGGCGAAGGGCCATCAGCTGTGCTTCCAGCTCTGATTGTCATGCCGTTGGTGCCAAACCAAGCATAGGTACTATCATCAGTAGCTTGGATCTCGAAGCTGGGGTTCTCAATGAGCGCCCCAGTTACGGGATATGCCTCACAGCCACTAACCTTGATCAGTGCCGTGTCATCAACGTACACTGCTCCAAGAACTGTGTTGTCGTCATTGTACTCGCAGTAAAAGACAATTTGAAGTAGCAAATTTCCGGCCGGCATTGCGAAGCGAACTGAGTAGAGAGTGTAGCCAGTCGACGAAGTTGCCCCAAAGTCGATAGTTGTCTGTGGGAATTGTAGGTCGTTATAGCCAGCGAACATATAGCACGTTCCGCTATCTGGCAGAGTCTTGGGCTTCCAGAAGAAATGGTAATCGTAGAGCTCGCCTTCTACTAGGTTTGATGCGTCGATATTTTGTTCCAGGTAGGTACCGTCATCCGTGGTTTCACTGGGGAAAAGTCTGCCGGCTGTTAGTTTAATTGATCACGAATGGTAAGCTATGTGTGAACTTACGCCTCCCACTCTCCAGTCCGAGCATTGGACTGGTCGTGCACAAACTCTCCTATGTCGTAGAAGGCCCATGCCTGGTTGTCCGCATCAGCCTCAAAACCAGGGACTTGGACAAGATTCACAGGACAGTGAGGTGACTCTGGCTGAGCGGGAACAAGGAGTGTAGACTTTGGGGGAGCGTTGGGGTCTACGGGAGTAGCATCACACTCGTTGTTAGAGTCCATTGCAGAAGTATCATCGATGTAAACATAGGCTGTGTACCCATTGCCTACACTGGGACAAGAAACGCCGATCTCGATGGCCGGGTCCAAGTTGTCCTGTGCAATGAAGCTCGCGGTGTACTGGTGGTATTGAGAATCATACACAAGCGGTACTTGCTTCAATGCCGTGTAGTAGTCGAAGATAGCAAAGATAGTACATTGAGTGTCGACTGATGGGGGGTTTGCGACAAAATACCAGAAGCTGATAGTGTACTCTCTTCCTGGAGTTATGTGAATACGCTGCTCCATTCGTCGTTCTTGACCATCTGGGACAGGTAGGACACTGTTTCATATTAGCTTACGGTTCAAATCAAGTGGAAATACCGACATACCCAATGTAATCACCAGTTCGAGCTTCTACGGGGTCGTATTCAACATCGCCACCATCCCAGTAGAATCCCCAGACGTCTCCGACATCTGGATCTTCGAAGCCAGGCCGTCTGAGCAGGTTGGTAGGTTCAATACAGGCCGAGGTTGTGGTTGTAGGCTCTGATGAAGTTGTCGTGGCATCAGCGGTGGCGGTGGTGGGATTGGCAGTTGTCGTAGTATCAGCAGCTGTCGTGGATTCCTCAGCCGTAGTAGCTTCGGTGGAGGTCGCGTCAATAGAGGCCGATGTTTCAGCAGTGTTAGTCGGGGCGCCTGACGTCGTGGAGTCGACGGATGCAGATGTCTCGGTAGACATGGTCGAAGCACCAGAGGTCGTGGACTCAGCAGATGTCACAGCATCGCTTGACGTGGTAGGGTTGCCAGACGTAGTGAGGTCGACAGAGATCGTGTGACTGCTCGAGGTCTCAAGAGTTGAGACATCGGAACTTGATGGCTTGCTTGAAGAAATGATAGTTTCACTGCTCGAAAGCGCCGTAGTCCCAGATGTCTTAGTATTGGCAGCACTTGTCTCATCAGTCACTGATGTTGTGTCCGTTGATGCCGATATAGCGATGCTACTACCAGAGGCAGAAGTCGAGACAACGGGAGCCGAGGTCGTGGTTTCGGTGGCTGACGCGCTCAACGAAGTCCTGGTCGATGGGCGACAAAGACCTGCGTTAACTCCCAAGATGTTCGCGGCCGCATAAGCGACTCCAAGAGTCTTGAGCGACACCATTTTAAAAGAATGGCTATTAAACGAGTGGCTAGTCCACGGCTTGGTGAACAATGGGATGCAGTGCCAGAAAATGGCTTGACAAGGGAGCAGCCACAGAACATATAACGACCACGGGAAAGTCGGAGAAAAAACCCCGTATCACGCCAAGTCGCACCACTTTGGTGCCCAGGGGATTTATTAGACCCAAACTACCAACACAATTCTCAATCGGTCATTAAGCGCTGACTGTTGGCGAGCTGAATTGTTTTTAGTGAGCTCGTGAAGGATCAATAGTTTGGTTCGCCTTATCTAGCGTTGAGCTAACATTGGGTGAAATACTGAATGTGGATCGGAAGTAGCTGTATTGAGATATTGGGGGCGTTTAGCTGCTGTGCCTTGCATAATTAAAATTGTGAACCCCTGAGTTTTAATCCTAGCGTCGTGCTTTGTTGTAAGACGCTATTGATTTCAACAGACACTATTGACTGATCGCTAAACCTCAATAGATATCAGCCTATAAGCTTTCCTTTCCTGGAACTCCTTAAGCCCGGTGATGCCGGATCGGAATCTGTTTCTAAAACTTGATTGGTTGGTTGGTTGTCACGTCACCGAAGCACGGCAACGTTATCGGAATTAAGAGACCTGTGCCAGTGCCAGTATTCACAGCTCAAAGCTTAAGCTTATATAATATTTACTGCATATTGCCAGTAGATCGCAGCCGCTATATCCTTCAGCCGAGCGCTGCTGTTGACTAAGATCAAGATGCGATCCATCCTTTCTGGAATGGCGCCGGTGATAACGATATCTTCTTTGCCAGCTTTTATGGGGACCAAGGGGGAATTGTTCACCAAATGGGAATTGCCCCTGGGACCAGCCCGTATGTGGTTCTCTTCAACAAGAAGGTGTATGTTTTCTAGAGTGGCCGTGGAGGAAACGAAACCTGGTACTGCAATTTGGAAAAGAGTGGCCGGAGTCGGCAGCGCTCTATCTTTTTTATTTTTTTTTTATTTTTTAGATGTAATGTAATTCTACCCG